GAATGGTGCAAAAACATGGGTTTAGATATTGTAACTACCCTTTGTATAACACCACTTATGAAATGGAGTATATATTCATCAATTAAATCTCATCTGTTTCATCTACAAACAATCCAATGAGTAACAAACAATGCATTGACTTGCTTATTCCATACATATCATCAGATAGGATTCAGAGTCCTGAAAGGATTACATACAGTATAAGGCTTTGTGATCTTTTGGTATCTGACTTGTAGGTACACTTAATTGTTTACAAAACAGACTAATAATATTTTCCATATGCAAACAAAGTAATCATGGTGGGGGATATAATGAATCCTTACAGTAAAGAAGAGTTGTAAATTAGTACTTAAAAATGTAGGTTGTTAGATAAGACCCAGTTGGTCATTAAGGTCTTTGCTTGATGACATCTCATTAACACAGCATAGGGTACTAGATAAGATATCAAATCTGACATCTTGCAAACAGACCATCAATTAAAAGTGGGAGAGGAAGCATTGAGTAAGCTAGTCTACAAAATGTTTTTTTTTATGTGCCCTAAGACAGTAATGGCAAAAAGGGTCACCTTCCTTCTTTGTATATTACAACTGTGTTTTGAGCCTCCGTGATTATGTTTATTTTGCGCACATTCTGGCTCACTTTCTACACCAGAATAAAAGTAATATATGAGAACACCAGGCAACAGAATAACTGAGAGAAACCGCTCACGTGCATTACATTAGCATTATAGAGCAGACATGTAAAATATATATTTCAGGCTCACATCCGTAACAATACAATAAAGGCACTAAAACAACTTTAGCTTTTTGAAGCAGTTTTGGTGTATAGACCATGCCCCTGCAGCCTCGTCGCTCAATTCTCTGCCATTTAGGAGTTAAATCTCTTTGTTTACATAGCCCTGGTCACACCTCCCTGGACGTGACTTACCCAGCCATCCTAAACACTTCCTGTAAATAGAGTTTAATGTTTACACTTCCTTTATTGCATATTCTGTTTAATTTAGAATCTCTTATCTCCTGCACTGTTAATATCCTTCTTGACACCACAGAATCATCCTGTGTGTGTGACTAAAGTTTATTTAACAGAGCAGGAGTTAAAAAACAACAACCTTCTAAAACAAGTTAACATCTTATTGAAAACAAAACTTCTACATAGTTTAGTTTATGTTATTGCACAGTGTGTTGAACTTAGAATTACTTATTTTCTGCTGTGTTCATTGACTGCTAAAGCCTGCAGCTGCCGCCTGTATACAATTGATTTAAAATGAAACCATTTTTTTCATGGAGGCTGTGTGAATCACAGCCAGGGGAGGTGTGGCTAGAAACAAATGTGATTTAACTCCTAAACAACAGAAAATTGAAAAACTACAGGTGCATGAGCTATACACCCAAACTGCTTAATTAAGCAAATGTTGTATTGATGCCAATAGTGTACCTTTAATCATGTATCTCGTGATATTCTGAAGCACTGATACGATTTTTTAATATACAATGTTTAAATAATATATTCAAATCAGTCATGATAACATGTGAACTGTCAAATACCTGCTTACCCTCTATGGCATTCAAAAATATAGCCATGCTAAAACACTCAAAGCAAATGTTTTTTCAATGCGATAATGGCATGAGTTCAGCCAACATTCACATATTAGATGCATCTGACACTAGGAATGTAATTGAAAAATACTGATTAATGGTGCCAGGATTAGCACATTGCTTTGGAAAATGTCAGTATTTTGAAGAGTATTTGGTTTATCCTATTGAACTGCATCATGAACAAGCTGCATATGTAGATAGCGAATCTGTAGTTTTCCAGGTTAAGGCTGTGATTAAAATCGGTTATTGACCAATCCCCCTCTAATCAATGAGTTTGTTCCTTGCACATTTTAACACTTTTAATGCCAATTCTGCAAGGTCACAATCCTTTCAATAATATTACCCTCCTCATCCATCTAGAATTTGACTATTTAAGTGCCAGATGATTTGATCATTATACTACAAAGAGAAGGTCAAATCACACACGCTGCATTAGTAAATATCTATTTAGATTAAAGGCATATTACATCCTTGTGTCCTTTCCCTATCTACACTTCGAGCGGATCGAAGTGCTAAAATAAGACACGATAGACATGGTGTGTATTTTTATATGTACTGAATAATTAAAGCGTTGAGGATAAGCTTATCAGGTAGCATTAATAGGAAGCATTTTCTCTTGTCATCCCTACTACAAAGTAAAGCCACCATCCTGGTTATTCAATATAGGCCATGCATGCCCTGAGGATATGAATAAACCCTTTGAGGTGTTAAAATAATGGCCCTTGGTAAATTAAAGTGCTACCCAGTACTTAAAAACATGAGTTTTCACAGTGTTCTTTATAAAGAGTATGGTTTCAATAGAGAACTTGCCAGGCAATGGAACTAGACCAGTCAGAGAGCTGATCAAAAGCAGGGAAAAGAAAGATTACAAAAGGTGGAAAAGGGGATTAAATAAAACATTTAAACGCAGGGTTGTTAAGAGAAATATGGAGAGTTTATGAGTTTAAACAAAATAGGTGAGATAAGAGTGAGTGTTAAAATAACTAAAAGAAACAAAAATGGATACAAGCTGTCAAAACACGGATAGATGATTTAAAAGAAATCAGGTTAATAAATTAAACGTGAGAAAAGTTACTGGTTTAAGACTAGGGTGTGAAATGGCCCTCAAGTCTGAGAAGTATAGCTCCCTTAGAAATCCCTCTTCTCTCTGCTGGTAAGGCAGGGGAATAGGAGAGCTTAGTTCAGATCAGCTCAGCTTCTTTGTCCCCCCTCTCCTCTGATTTGTTCTGTATTATTAAAAAAGATGTTCTCTGTATTATACTTGCTCCCCCTCTCTCCAGATGTGCTTTGTATTATCACACTCGCTCTCCCAATCTCCTAATGTCATCTGTATTGCACTGTGCAGGTGTTAACACATTATCATTTTATGGTAAAATACATGAATACAGAATAGGGAAAATGTAAAACAAAAGCAAAATGCAAATAATTTGAATATTGCTGTAAAAGAACTGGAATAATATTTTTTTTAGGTAGGTCCTGTTATCAACATTTAATTTTAACTTGGCCCAGGGTAGTAAAGAGGTAGCAGGTTAACTTATTAGGAACTGTTCACTCTTAGAAAATGGAGGGTGACGTATGCCTAACATTTTCAATGCATCTGGAAACATGGCTGGTCTCTGGTAACCTATCGTAATCTGGCTACGAGTATAGTATTGCAAGAGAGGAGACTAGGGAACGGTGCAGACATTGGAAGGGTTTGAAAAAGTGGAGAAAGAGGGCACATACAATTGTAATTTATAGTCTGATGAGAACTCAGTTTAGTGAATAAACCACAATGTATGATAACTGGATTGCTCATTTTCATAGTGTTATAGGTAGTGGGGATTATGTTTGTCCATTGGAGTAACTAAATGACCTCCATTTGTTTAAATATACATAGGGATTTAGGAGAGAGCGCAGGTAACTTTTTCTTTGTTTTTTTTACTGTATGTATTGGGGCTGATGTGCACTGTGGTCGTTGCTGCCGCCCAGGAGTGATGGGAGTGAGCGCAGGACTTGTTTTTTTGTAATTATGTTATCTTGGGGCATATGGAAATCATTTAAGTACTTTGCTCACTGCACAGTAGGGACCTACCTTTCAACATTTCAAATGTTAGGGCTTGTGACCACAACAGGGATAATTTATGACCTAGTGCTAAGTATTTAAACATACAAAGCAATTTAATACAAAGTCATATCAGTTCAGTGGAAATTGTTTATTGATTTTACTTACTTTTTTTCCTTTACTATGTTTTAATTGACAATGCTTTGGGATATATGTTGGTGGAATGCTGGTATTTTCATACAAACATTCTTTAACCCTGTAAAAGGGGCACACGGTTAGACAATTGCAGATTTAAGCTAAAAACAAACACAACAAAAATCTCTCTGTTACAAGACAAGTGTTTTTTGGAATGTATGATATACCCTAGGAATTCAAAATTACTGGGCGAAAACAAATCTAAAAGTATCCTTCCTGGAAAGACAGTGTGATAAATTTTGTTACATTTTTCTTCAGAGATATTCATTCACCAGCATAAAATATTGACAGTAATTAGTATCAGCAGTAAACGACTAGCTTTCAGATGAAGGCAGCTTTAACCCCTTAGGAATCAGAACAATGAAACTTCTATCATGTATAGGTGTTTGCCTGTTGTTCCAAAGGGGTTAATGGTAGAAGTAGCTGATGTCTTAGAAGTGTACATAATATTGCACCTTTTTCATGTCTTTGAATCAAAATGCAGACTGGAAGGTGTTATTCTGCTTATTCAATAAACATGGCCCCAGGTAGACCAGCTGAACTGCAGACTGAGGATCCCAGCAATAGATCTGAAAGCAGTGGTGTCAAATGTGACACCCTAACGGGATTAGAGACGTCTCCCAGCGACCTCCCCTCCCATCAGATTTGAGGAGGAGAAAAGGAGGGGCGTTCTACTGAGCTCAGTAAATCTCACCTTACTTAGCAAGGACTTTCAAATGTAATTACTACACTGAGATTAACAGCAAAACTATTGCCCATGCATACCCACCATCCTACAACGCATCTGGGATTGTATTTCCTTTTTAACCCTTCCAGGTACTGTGGAGGCTCCAGGCTTTTAAAGAGAAATCCCTGTTCACCTTCACATCCTTCGCTGCGTTTTGCTAGATTAAAGTAGATTACTGATCATCTCTGCTTTCTTTCCCCAAGAGATGCAGTGCTGCTGCTGCTGAGCCCTGACTCAGTCAAGAGAGGCTGCATTATAGGCAACACTTTTGGGACATCGTTAGGTAACCTGTGCCGGGTTGAAGCTCCATAATTTCTTTTTATATTTATTTTTATATTGAAGTTTTTTTTGCCCATACTTTAGCCACTTTTACACGTCTTGACTTTAGGCTTGCTTGATCCAAATCAATGGAGCTTTTATGTATCCTTCTGCAAACTAGGAATACTGCAAGCTCTCCCACTCACTGCTAATGTTAAACAGGAACAGAGAAGACTCTCAGGCACACACGAATCAAACCAGACTGAAGATCCTTCACAAGACCTGGAGATCTCACCTTTAGGTGTGTATATACTGCATAGAGCTTTTCTGACCTACTCTGGTGGACGTGAAGGGCTACTGTGTATCTTTTCCCCCTCCCCGTAGAGAATGTTATGGAGAAGGTAGGCTGCAGGGTTACCTTAAGAGCAATTCAACCCTTCACACTGTATCTCTCATAAGCTTGCAACTGTCGGGTTAGAGGGACAGTGTGGTCTCCATAACAATCTACAAACCATGAGTGTTTTTAGAAGGCTATCAGGGGACCTGACCCTGATTGTATAAATTGCTGGGCAGGATGCTGACGATTGCTTTGTGCTTGTAAGGTTTTGTTTATTTTCAGCAAGTTCTCAAAAAGGCATGGGAGGTGGGGTGAGTATGTGTGTGTAATTAAGTTACTGTCCATCCTCTTTATGTCTCTATTAATTAATGTCCTTATTTTTTTTTTTTGCCTGTACTATATTCCTAGCTTCTCAGATGAGCTGCTGTGTGGACCAGATTTCAGAGAGGACAGGACTGTGTGGAGACACAAATCGGACCTGGGAGAAGTATTCAGATAAGAAGCTGCAACCACACAGCCTAGTGGCCTGGAGGCAGATATAGGGTGACTCTCTTATGTTTCCTTGGGAGCCCTATCCTTACCCCAGCACAGTCAATCAAATCATTTTAAACAATCTCTGAAGCCCTGTTTATTAGGGTTAAAGTTTGTTTGTGTGGGGTTTTTTTGGGGGGGGGTTGGGGAGCGTCTGTAAAAATCTCTTCATCTCCACGTGCTCCTCGTTTTACATCTGATGAGACCAGGAATACTCATTAAAATTACATCCTAGCCTGCAGCTGTGGGTTAGAAGCAACGTTATTTGAAGGCCTGCCCCTGAATTGCAGCCATCAGTCTATCTGTAAAGTGCAATGAAAATGCCTTCCTGGGTCATTCTCCTCCTCCTGGCTGGTTGGACCCTTTGTGAAAAGTTCTGTTTGTGCTATGGGATGGACTATGATTATTCGAACTATGAAAATGAAGAGGAAAAGCCAGAGGGCATTGATTATAAAGATCCATGCAAAGCTGGTAAGTGATGACTTTTTTTTTTTTTTTTTCTATCTTCATTTTGTTTGGTAACCTTCAGAGTACAGGATGATGTTTGTTGTGCTTGATTATGTTTAGGAATATTGCATTTAACAACAAGGATATATACTGTTTCCATTCTTTTTATTTACTTGTTTAGGACCCTGTGGTATCTCCTACTAGAAAAATGGTTCTGTTTTGGAACTTGCCTCAATCAGTGATGTTTACTAATACTGTACCAAATGGACAATCCATGCTCTATATTTATAAGCTAGCAAACATTTACATTCTTAGTAAATATATGTCTTGTATACTAAAGCTGGTTGACAAACTCTCCCTTTAATTCTATTGTGTGTGTGTGTGTGTGTGTGTGTGTGTACACACATTTAAAAAAATATATTTTTATGTGGTCTTCCTGCTAAAATGTGTCTGTGTTGGTTTTTTTTTAATTTTTTTTAATTTTATTTTTTATGAACACTCCAAACACCATACCGGTACAGTGTGCTGTAGTGGTTTGGTGCCTGGAGTGCCATGGCATTTATTTATTGTGAAGCATTGACTTGCCTCCTAGGGCCTGCCACACTCCTATATTTGCATCTACTACTGATCACGAAAGCTGTTTTGAGCCAATGAGGCAAGCCCTGGGTTACTGGTGGTGAGCAGACGCCAGGTGTGCATAATTCCCACGGTTTGATGGTGTGCACCATAATCACTCCAGAGCGCTGTAGTGGTTAGGATGCTTGGAGCGTTCCTTTAAAAATTCTCCAACTTGGCAGTAGTCCCAACTTGGCTATTTTAATATTATTTGCCATTCTGTTTAATTATAGTTCAGCATTTGGTGAGTAAACCTGCAACTTTTAACTTCTGGAAATGTCTGGTGCATCGGGAAAGCTGCTCATCCATGTATAGTCTAGTTAGCAGGACTGATTGCAGTTGGTCTCCGCATGTGCTCAAATCTTGTATTGACTGGGAACATATGTTCGGATCTTTATCTTTATACCGAAGGTGGATTGGAGCTTGGGAATAATTGGTTTAATTATTTTATTACGTGTGTACAATATCTATATCACTTATAAATACCACTGGTTACTACTTAAAAACATAATACCCATCCAGATGCATTTGATGCTTGAAAAATTACCTGGCTGTTTAAATCTATAGTTGCCTAATTTGCTTGGAGAAAAAAAGGTGTCTTTCAGGTGTAACTTTACTACTATTAAAATTTATAGCGTCAACATATTCTGCAGCGCTTTACAATTACAAAATGCAATTTTTGAAAAATTGCAAATGACATACACAAATAGGCACAGGGGGAGAAAGCCCTGCTCAAACATGCATTCAGTATATAAAAGACATCACCCTGATGGTGAATCTCCATATGTATTTTTTTTGTAAATCTTTAAAAAAAAAAAAAAGTGAACATGTGGTATTTAATGTGATCACTGTCATTTTACCCCAGATTAGTTGCTCCCTCTGTAAACCTGCGCATGTGTCATCGCTTGGGAATATTCTGTGGGACAGTGGAGTATATTCCTGCGAATTTCATTTAAATTAGCTTCTAGTATGCTTTAAGTGAAAAGATCTGACGTCTGCCATTTCTTTTTGACAGCTGAAGTAAATAGAGGGGCCTAGGAGTTCGTGTTTTTATTTTTTAAATGTCTCTAGTTGTTTTTATATTTAAGAAAAGTGGTCAATATGACATCTAAAGGAAATTTGCCACCTCTCTCTATGGAAGTGGCAGTTCTTTATCCTCTCTCCCTAGTAAGCCCTTGAGCACATACTAAGGTGAGTAGTGCAGTGAAGAAAGTTAAAAAAAAAAAAAATAAATCAAAAAGAAACTACAAAATGTATGTTGCTGGCACTATTATCCCACAATGTACACACATTCATAGAAATGGTGTAAATGCACATGTACATACACACAGGCATTCCTGCAGTATTTTATGAATGCACAGCAATGTGGGTTATAAGGTAAACAACATGGAAAAACGGTGGAATCTATAGATTAACTGATTTTATTGTATGTTTCAGAACTCCTATACAACCTAATGGGTGTGAGTACACTGTGCTGGTATAATCTTTCTTGATGGAGGACAATATACTCCCCACCCACCCCTCTTTTGCCTCCAGTGAGCACTCAAGGGTTCCTCTTTGTTGATGAGCATGTCACATCCATACAGTGTTTCACATGTAAAGAGTGAGCTGGGTGTAACGTTAAACAGAAGGAGGAGGTGCTGTCTCCTTCCTTTTTGTATGCTTTATTACATTCTGATATGTAGAAGAGGTTTCTGTGCTGTCTCCTGTGTGTCTGGTACAGCCACAATTGTTCCATACAGCCTTGATTACTGTGGGCCCTTGACTACACGTGCCACTGATTTTCCTAATGCTGAGCCGCAGGGAGGGGGTAGCTTATCCTGTTTATAGAGAAGCTATCATAATCCTCCAAATACGGGTTTTACCAAGGGACTGTGTAAAAGATTGTTTCATTGGCACTCCGCATATCTTTTCCTCCCACATCAATGTTTAAATTTACAGTATTCGTGACAAATGACTGAACTGTTGCCTATCGGTGGTGGTTCTAAGCAGTTGTAGAACACTGTTTAAAACCCTACCATTCATTGATGACTTGTTTTATGTTCCTGATTGATTCTGTTTTCAGGTCATTGTAAAAAATTTTTTCAATTCTTTTATTTTTGATGAAATTCCAAGATGAGATTGCCAATGCTTAGGGAGGAAAAAGTCTTAAATAACTATGTATGATCATTTGGTTACTGAAAATTTATCTGCTCAGAATTGTTTTACTAAAACCAGGATTTGATTAAAAAGAAAAAAATTGTCTCCCATCTGCCTCATGGAAGCTGTAGAATTTAATCATCAGGAGCCTCTTGCTTACCCCCTGCTTGGTCAAAATGCATTCCCTGACACAACCCTTTTTGTCTGCGACAGTAACCAACATTATCAAGCTGACCAGATTTGGAAGCTATGAATCCAAAGCAAACTAGACTACCCAGTGCCCCAAAGCGTAATTTCTGTTACTGCTGAATCATGCTAATTTATATTTCCATTTGAGACTATTGGCCCTTGCTGAGAGCTAACTGTTTTGCTATCTTCCAAACACAAGATTAAGTCACAGCCTACAGTTTGAAATGTGTACAAGATGTGCAGCTGGCTTTAATTTTACAGGGGTTTACAATACACTATAACTGGTAATAGTTTAGAGTACCAAAACACTTTATGTGGCAATGCCTCCTTGCTCCATAATAACCCTTAATGTTTTCAGCTTTGTGTTTTAGGACACACTCTGCTTCATGCGACTTTTACATTTTAAACTTAATCGCCTTCCCTATATTATGTTACCCTGAGGGTAGAGGTGTCTGAACACCTGCAGTTCCAAAGGGCAAACCACGGCACTCTTACAGGGTTTGGATCAGGACATAGTGGCACATCTGTGTAGAGAGTAAGTACATTCAATGGTAGATCTGTATTGCAAACTCTGTCCTTAGTAGTAGTTGATCAACACACTGTAACATTTCTTTCAATAACTCCACAGTGAAGATAGTTTACTTATTATCTGTGAATTCTGGGGGCTTTGCTGTATGTCAGGGTTGAAGTTGGATACCCGATTTCTTCTGTTCCTTGAACAATGGTGAAGCTAGGTATTATATATTTTTAACTTACTTTGCGATTAGTACTATTAAACATTTAAATTTTAGAATCTACATGGAGGGTAGAGGTGTCTGAACACCTGCAGTTCCAAAGGGCAAACCACGGCACTCTTACAGGGTTTGGATCAGGACATAGTGGCACATCTGTGTAGAGAGTAAGTACATTCAATGGTAGATCTGTATTGCAAACTCTGTCCTTAGTAGTAGTTGATCAACACACTGTAACATTTCTTTCAATAACTCCACAGTGAAGATAGTTTACTTATTATCTGTGAATTCTGGGGGCTTTGCTGTATGTCAGGGTTGAAGTTGGATACCCGATTTCTTCTGTTCCTTGAACAATGGTGAAGCTAGGTATTATATATTTTTAACTTACTTTGCGATTAGTACTATTAAACATTTAAATTTTAGAATCTACATGGACTGCCCCAAAATGTCTTAAAGGGACATTTCAGACTGGATTGACCAATTTGTAAATGTTAGATTTGACGTGCAGCGGATTCACGTCCGTTTAAAAAAAAAAAAAAAAAATATCTAAAGTCCTCTCCTACCAAACCTCCTATTCCACCCCCCACCCCCCTAACTGCAGATTGGAACCATATACCCATGCAGGATGGTAAAAAAAACAAAAAACAAATACTGTATTTTCTGGCGTATAAGATGACTTTTTAACCCTGGAAAATCTTCTCCAAAGTCGGGGGTCGTCTTATACGCCGGGTATAGGGTCTAAATGGCTGCCGTCGACGCCCTGCGCCCCCATCGCCGGCCCTTCTAATGCTGCAGCCGCCTGAGCGCTCTATAGAGAGCGCTCAGACGGCTGCCGCACTGCCTCTCTTCTCACCTCCCCTTCCCTTCCCTGTGCAGAGTGGGTGGCAGAGCTCCTCTTCGTCCTGTCGGTCCAGCCAGGTACCGCGTGGGAAAAGGAGATTCAGTTACCTGTTCCCGGCCGGACTGAAAGGAAGTGCACAGGGAAGGGGAGGTAAGAATGTAGGGAGGATTGGGGGGGGGGGAGTAAAAATAATATATCGCAATTGGCCTCCTGTGTGCTAGACCAGCAGGCATGGATTATATGCCCAAACAGCCTGGCACATACCTGGGCTTTAAATGCTATTTCAGATTATCATTATTTAATGTCTTGCTGTGTAGCTCTGTCTGCTCACTGTACATCATGGCTAATTTTTATTTGGTGTGCATTGGAAGAGGGGTAGTCTTATACGGCGAGTATATCCCAAACTCTATATTTTAACTGGAAAAGTTGGGGGTCGTCTTATACGCCGGAAAATACGGTAACTGCATCCTACCCTACACATTGTACCTTGTGCGTGTGATTGACTGGCATACCCCTTTAAACCATCAGTATTTTCTATTGATATGTTTTTGTCCTCCACAAAACGTTTGGAGAGTGGATGGCACACTTATTTTTGATTTTGCCCACTATACTGTGAACTGACTAGAAAAATAATTAAAACATTTAGATAAAGTTTATTTAAAAACAGTTTCGTTTTTTTTTTTTTTTTTTTTAAATTGTTATAACACAAATGTTGCATTTGGTAATATTCTTGTTTCATAGTTTACGAAGGGGTTAAAATAATTCTAAATCTCTATTTTCATACAACGGCACCAACGATGCCCATTTAATTTTTACATAGAAATCTTAGTTGGAGCCATGTTGGAGGGAGAGAAAGTTTGTTTGTGAAGTGAGTGACCATTTCCTTTTGAAACAGAAAATCACATTTTAGGTCAAATTTAGGTCAAAATAGAACCTTTTATTTTTTTATTTTATTTTTTTTTTAATCTCCACGTTAAAGGACCACTATAGTGCCAGGAAAACATATTCGTTTTCCTGGCACTATAGTGCCCTGAGGGTGCCCCCACCCTCAGGGACCCCCTCCCGCCCGGCTCTGGAAGGGGGAAAGGGGGAAAAACTTACCTTTTTCCAGCGCTGGGCGGAGAGCTCTCCTTCTCTCCTCCTCCGTTTCTCCTCCTAGGCTGAATGCGCACGCGCGGCAAGAGCTGCGCGCATTCAGCCCGTCGCATAGGAAAGCATTTACAATGCTTTCCTATGGACGCTTGCGTGCTCTCACTGTGAAAATCACAGTGAGAAGCACGCAAGCACCTCTAGTGGCTGTCAATGAGACAGCCACTAGAGGAAACAGGGGGAAGGCTTAACCCATTCATAAACATAGCAGTTTCTCTGAAACTGCTATGTTTATGAAAGAATGGGTTAACCCTAGATGGACCTGGCACCCAGACCACTTCATTAAGCTGAAGTGGTCTGGGTGCCTAGAGTGGTCCTTTAAGTGTTCAAGTTGGCTAATTCTGCCTTACAATTGAAATGCACCCAAGCCCTTTTACACACATTACACTCTTAGACAAACACTATGCACTCTCTCTGCAGCCCCTAAACGCACACGCACTTTAAAGCTACATACACACTGTAGCCCTTCGCCACATATATTAGAACACGAACAGCCCCTCTACTTGCACACACAATCCTTCAAGAAGCCTCCTAACCCATACACCACAGGCCCCTCCCCAGACACACACCTTTTACACGCACTGTCCCACTTTTGCCCTCTGGTACACACTTATTGGGGTCCCAGAGACTGTTCACCCCTGAATAGAGTGCAAGCGTGTTCTTAAATTCATTTGTGCTGTGTAAAATAAAAACCGCTTCTTCCTTGTGAGAGCTTTTCAGCAGAGGTCTGTGCATGGGATGACCTGGAGGGACATCAAACAAATGTGTATCATTGGTGATGACATGACGTGCTTTTTCCAACCCAAGCTCTCCTATTGGACTGCTCAACATTTAAATGCTTGGGCCAAATTATTTTCCTAGTTGGGACCTGCCCTGACAGACACTCACACAGGTACATTTTAAAGGATTCCTTCTCTTCCTGCATACCAGTTTCCCTGGAAGTGAGGGAGTTTCTCTAGCCGCATTCCCTGGGGTCTCTGTCTCTTCTTCCACCATGCAAGATGTGGGTGCAGTGTTTGGATAGTATGTATCATCCAGGTGCTTTCTTCACCACGTGCTTAGAGGGTACATATGTGTAAAAAGATGCAATTGTGTGGCTGTCACGCAGTCTAACAGAGCGTGGAACCTGGCACCCAAGATGTCTGTGTATGTGGGAATTGCGTGAACATGGCTCACTACCATGAACCTTGCTCAAAAGTTCTTTTCCACCTGTCACAAGTTGTACAGGTGTTTGTTTTTTCGTTTGCCTTCGTGAAACACTATATTTAAAAGGCTCCCTGGTATTTTAATTGCATTTGTCCATGCCATTAGCATGCTTATAACTGTAGCACTGCTGGACATTTCAAAGTGACACACAGTACCTGTAAGTAAAATCTTGTATAGTTAAGTACACATAAGGGATATGTGCCTGTGGGTCTCCCCCCTCCTTTTTGAATGTAGTCTATCTGTTTTTATATTCCTATGACCTGATCATGATCAGAATCCGGTTATAAACATAATTGTATAGCTGGCAAAAGATTGAGTGCTTATGGTGTTCAGCAGTCATCCTAAAAGCTGTGGCTGCTACAGATCTGCGTGGCGACTCAACCTTGCAGCTCTAAATAGGCTCATATCTGAAATTGCTGTCCCTCTTCGATCTATTTTGTACGAATGAAAACTCAAACATATTTTTCTGCTTTTTTTTTTTTTTCACATATTGCTTAGTTTGTCTTTGAACATAAGCTACGTAGGCAATAAACTGCTATATCTTGGTGACCTTGGAGAAGTTTAAATGTGCATGTTGGATATATATGCTGAAATTCATTGGCTGACATCCAGGTTTACAAATTTAATTGTACAATTGCAATTGTTAAGTCCTGCTTGTGACTTAAAGTAACATTCTGGGCACCAAAACCATTCCAAAACAGTTTAACTCTTGAAGGTAAAAAGATGCTGGTGACTACAAGTACCAACTACTTAACCCCTTACGGACACAACTTCTGAAATAAAAGGGAATCTTGATGGAATATTTGTGTCCTTAAGGGGTTAATGTCATGTTTCTTTTAAAATGGATATGTCACCACCTCAAAAATGAGTATTTCATAAAGATAGAAACTTTAGAAAGTACTCTTTCACTGCTTAAATTTTACTGACCTATTTTTAATTTTTTTTTGTCTTTGAGCAACAAATGTACAACTAAATTGTTAACGTTTGATTTTTCTCTAAAGGGAGGGAGGGAAGGGGGACGCACAGACATTTTAGGTGTTTGGTCCTTCCAAAAAATATTTATTTGATTCCTAAAGCTGTGGCACACCAGGTAAAATTGTAGTTTCCTGCTGCATACTTTACTCCTGTATTGAAATAGTGTTTAATCATTACATTTAAAAAAACAAAAACAAAAAACAACAAAAAAAACCCCTAAAAACTAACTATATAATAATATCTTCTGAGAGGGTATATGAAATCATAGCTTGCAAGAGCTGCAGAGCTAGTATCTGCAGCTTCTAGAAGCTTTGTAGACCATATGTGTATAGCTGTTCAGTCAGACTTCTCAGGCAGTTACTCAGCACAAACTCATTCTTGTGCATTTAGTTGCTGTAAGCTAATCTGACAGCCAGGAAGGTTGAGGCGAAAGTAATCTCGCCACTGGCTTTTGGAGGAGCCTATTTGCCAGCCTCCTGCCCTGTGACTACTGCCCCTTTGGTTAAAGATACTATTTGTTCCTTTATTTCACTGTGTGGCTACACTTCAAACTCCAAAACTTCAAAGTGTTGCAATTAGACCATATACACTTCACTGTACCTGGTCTTTGCTTGCTGGGACCAAGTTTGGATGGGTTAATTCATTAAAGCAATCCACTGCGTAAGTGCAGGCAAATGTGCTGTGATCTCACTTTCCTAAAAAAAAAAGTCCTCCCAATCTATGGTATTGGTTACAGAAGCAAAGAAGGCTGTGGTTTGGGTCTTGGATAGATGATTCTGCCTCAGAAATGCAATTTTGACTAGACTGGCAATAATGGATGTATTGTCAAACTGCCTAAGGGAAACCAGTCTACAGTAAGGTTGGTGGTGGTGTGGTGGTACATCAGATGCCTGGGCTATCCACACTATAGAAAGAGGGTGGCAAATCAAATATGATTACATTCTCTTCCCTATTCACATTTTCACTGGCCACTGGTTCACAGGGAAACCTAGAAGAAAATGCACCAGATATTTTGGTGGTAAATCACAGGTCATTGTGTCGACTTCTAAATTTGAAAGACGTAAATCTGTCACTCAAATACTTTTCAGATGGTATCCTCCTATCAGCCATAGCCTTGTTTGCAATCATTATGATTATCATTGACTTAAAGGATACTTGCCTCCATGTTTCAGGGCAGAAAACATTCATACAGTTCTTTATTTCTCCATGTTGAGGATGGTCTTTTAGAATTTCTTCTGCACCAAAAGTGTTTACGAAGATTCTTAGTCGTGGAAACATTTCTCAAAGGAGGAGGAATTGTAGTTCTGTCTAGACTACTGGATTCTCTTAAGCCATTCTCTTCACGATATGGATGGACAATATATACACTCCATATTCCTCAAAAGCATGGCTTTTTGACAAAATGGGCAAAATCCAATAATGTTTCTTCTGCAATAATCCTTTTTCTCATTATAGAATCAAAATTATAATTATGAAAATAATTTTCTTGGCAGTCAAGATGCATACTGGAATCACACAACAAACCTTCAATGCTTATAGGGACACTCCAGGCACCCAGACCACGTCTGCCCATTGGAGTGGTCTGGGTGCCATCTCCCACTACTCTTAACCCTGCAAGTGTAATTATTGCAGTTTTTTTATAAACTGCAATAATAACATTGCAGGGTTAACTCCCCCTCTAGTGGCTGTCTACTAGACAGCCACTAGAGGGCACTTCCTTGTCCACAGCACAGAAAACCTGTGCTAGAGCGTCGCTGGACATCCTCACACTGTGTGAGGACCTCCAGCGTCGCTCATTTCCCCATAGGAAAGCATTTTCAATGCTTTCCTATGGGGAGCTCTAATGCGCATGTGTGGCATTGCTGCGCATCCGCATTAGGTCTCCCCGGCCGGTGGGCGGGATCAGTCTCGCCCACCGGCCGCCGCAATCACTGGGAGGAGCGGCGGTGGAGGAAGAAGCAGTGACGTGGGACATTTCGCTGCCTCTGATAAGTAACTGATTGGGGGGTGGGAGGGAGAGGGTACCTGCAGTGCCAGGAAAACAGATTGTTTTCCTGGCACTGGAGTTTCCCTTTAACAGTAGGAACAGGTTTGAAGACTCTGTGCTATTGGACATTTCAATCAGGAGCAGTTCTTTGGGCCAAGAAAACTCCAAGAAATCTTTCCATTGGTAATTTTAGTTTGAGCAGTGGGAAATCTGGTCTTTCACCTCAACCAATCTCAAAGATTGTGTTTAACCCCTTAAGGACCAAACTTCTGGAATAAAAGGGAATCATGACATGTCACATGTCATGTGTCCTTAAGGGGTTAAAGGAAGTTGGTCCTTAATGTTGTAGGTAATAAAGTCAATATTCTTTGAAAGGACTCCAAAAAATTGACGACATGGCTACAAGGTGAAAAGGGGAAAACTTAATTCTTCCTCTACAGTGTACTAGGGAAAATTCAGATGGAGCAAGTATCCACAACTGTCATCGCACCCTTGTGTCCAAGAACAACTTTTTATTTTTACTTTTTTTTTATCCCCTTAAGGACACACGACGTGTGACATGTCATGATTCCCTTTTATTCCAGAAGTTTGGTCCTTAAGGGGTTAAATAGCAATTCTTCTTTTAAAAATAGCATGAGTATAAAATATTGGGGACTTGTATTGCGTGCGTGAGTTTAGTTATCGAAGGGCACGTTGATTAGCTGGATAATGGAAGCAATTTCTTGAGCTTGTTTTAGCAGCAAAACTTGGTATTCCAAAAGAAATTAGGGCTTATTCCACTCTGTATCCGCTTCATGGAGAGCATCTGTACAAATGAATGCGCATCAGATCTGCAGTGCTCCTCTGCACACATTCTTAGACATCCTAGCCTGTAGGTAGAAGTAAAGACTTGTGTCCTACTCTTAATTTTTAGTATACCACAACCCACACTCCTTGTAAAATGTATATTTTTTTTATTTATTTTTTTGTGTTCAAAGGCTTTTTAAAATCTTTTTGGCATGTTTTTTTATTTACCGGGTATATATTTTTTTGGGAATCTGGATGCCTTATATGAAACAAGATGAAGGAGCAAGGGAGGGGCTATCTCTTATTTAGGTGAGATGTCCCTCACAAAAATCTAAAGTCTATTTTGTGAGGGACCTCTCTTCTACACTTAAATGCCCATATGGTCTTGTATGTCTTTTTTTATCTGTATTTATTTCTAAAGTTTCTGTGAATTACCCCCACTAGAGGTCTCTATAACCTGTAATTCTGTTCCCTTGTGGAACTTTAGTGCTATCTTTATATTTATTTTTTTTTCCTCCTCCTTAATTTGCAAGCTGTCAGTTTACACTGTGGAATAACATATTAAATATGGTCAAAGGGGGCAGAATACTTTAAAATATGAAGCATTGTTGGGGTCAAATACATACACCCAATAACCACTAGGGAATATTGCTATCTAAGTAAATGACATCTGTTGCTAGGTGGAGGAGCTTCAACTTTTATTTTATTTTTTTTAATCCTGAAAAGGTCACACATGTATTTCCAAATTTCCTTTGGTCATGTAACATTCTACCATGGAATGCAACTGTAGATCCCTCACCCCTATGTGATAAAACTGCTGCGCAGGCACCTGGAAACTTTCGTTACATAAACTCCTGCTTCTTTTACTGAACTGCATAAGTAATTGGAGAACAGAAAGTACAAGAATCTTTGCTGGCAGCAGCACTTTTTGTAGATCTGTAAATTCTGGAAACTAGTTTTAAATGATTATGATGATTAGCCAAATGTTACACAGATGCTTAGCTGTCAGAGGATTGAAGTGTTTTTAGAGATTGGCATCCATCATCTTCTAAAGAATTCACAATATGCTAGTGCAAAAAACGAAGTATGACAGCTCAAATCTCTGGTAGGAGGTGAAAAATGCACAGTAGCAAGCAATTCAGATTGTGACTATAGGATCTGTTACATGGTGACTTTTTTTTGTGTCCATCTGTGTGATTACTCCATTTCTATATTCCTAACGCCGTTGTGCCTCTGTCAATTATCCACACGTCTCCTCAGTTTCCAATACAATTTTAATATAAAAATCAAGGGTTTGCTTACTCCTCTGCATTCTTATAGAGCAGCATTGGGAACCCAATGAGCATGCATGACAAACAATGCACACATATTAAAGCTTCCACATTGGGAAAGCATTACTTTTAAAGCTTCCCTACAGGGCTTCCATGTCATGTGACACTTGGTCAGTGCAGCAGAAGCACCTCTAGTGGTTCTCATGACAGTCACTAGAGGTGGACTTAATCCTGCAATGTAAACCTGTCAGTTTCTAAAAAAAAATTGCAATGTTCTACATTGTAGGATTAGAAGGGCAGGCATACTGCACCCAGAACACTTCATTGAGACAAGTCTGGCTGACTATATATAGGGCCTCTCTTGAAAAAGTTAAAAAAATACATCATAATCTAGTTCAGACAGGGTAAGTCTTGTTAATGTAGGAGAGAAATTGAACATTATTTCATTTATCCTTCTCTCTATTCCAGTTGCCAAATGCAAAATCCTCAATTAGAAATGTTATTTATTTTTTACACAAGTTAGACATAGGTTTAAGTAACAATGCTTTGGCACCCTATCTTTTTGAAGTGGTTATGATGCCTGGCATGTTTAAGTCCTCTCAACAAACTGTCAGATATTGTCGCATGTTGGAGTAAGCAATTCAAGGTCGTGGTAAACATCTGATCATGGCAGCCATTAACAGCATACATATTTCTAAAATGTGAACTTGTTTTAGAACGCATATAAAAGTATCGTATTGGTCAATTTCAATGGTTACTCCATAACTGAAGCAACCATAGAAATATATCAAGTCTCAATATCACCGTAATTAAACACTTCGTCAATGATACCTTTTTAAGAATGGAATAGGCACTTGAGCCGCTGGTAGGCTAAGCTGTTTTCACAAAGTAACACTCTAAGCTCTATGACCACTTTGAAATACAATTTGAAATGCTTGAATTGAATTGACTCTGTATGTGCAGAAGTGTTGCCGGAGGTATAACTAGATTTGGCAGCCTCATTAGGGCATCATAAGAGGTCCAACTGATATCAGTTCTGTGTGTATTGGAGTGATATCTGCACACATAGCATGCTGGAAACACTTTCATTGATGTCACAGCCCCCATGCTGCCCATGTTCTTACTTAAGCTAGTCCCTCTATATCCCTCCCCTCCACCGGGGTGGGGGGAGGAACCTCAGTGGAGGTGAATTGGGCTGAGGGACAAACTTGGCCTTGTTGCAGGAACAGAGGCATATTTTTAAAGGACCACTATAGTGCCAGGAAAACCATACTCGTTTTCCTGGCACTATAGTGCCCTGAGGGTGCCCCCACCCTCAGGGACCCCCTCCCGCCCGGCTCTGGAAGGGGGAAAGGGTTAAAAACTTACCTTTTTCCAGCGCTGGGCGGAGAGCTCTCCTCCTTCTCTCCTCCTCCGCCTCCTCCTGAGCTGAATGCGCACGCGCGGCAAGAGCTGCGCCGCATTCAGCCCGTGCATAGGAAAGCATTTACAATGCTTTCCTATGGACGCTTGCGTGCTCTCACTGTGAAAATCACAGTGAGAAGCACGCAAGCGCCTCTAGTGGCTGTCAATGAGACAGCCACTAGAGGAAATAGGGGAAGGCTTAACCCATTCATAAACATAGCAGTTTCTCTGAAACTGCTATGTTTATGAAAAAATGGGTTAACCCTAGAAGGACCTGGCACCCAGACCACTTCATTAAGCTGAAGTGGTCTGGGTGCCTAGAGTGGTCCTTTAACTTTATCTAATCAGACTTCTTCACACATGCACACTAGATTTTATATGGCTATATTATAAATAAATATTTAAGGATCCTTACTGGTGGTGGTGGGGAAAAACAAATACAATGCTAGTTTCTCTGTAAGATTATGGAAATATTGCAAACTTAATTTTCTTAAGATTTTATAAAAGTATTAGATGGTTTTAGCTGTTAATTATGCAACCTGGGAATTCTAGATTTGTGATGGTATGCAAGAGCTTTTCATAGTAAACTGCTGTTCTGTACACACCTAAGAGTTTGTTTGTAGTGGTATTTATTTATTGCCTGGTAATACAGTAACCTTTTCATCTAGATTGCTTAACTGTCAAGTGTGACTTCAAATAAACTGAGCAGAGGGTTCAAACCACTATTCTCCTTAAAAATGCCCCAGGACCTCGTTTTTCAGACACTTCATGAATAGGTAAATTAGCATCAGAGGGAAATGACTCTGCATTTGTAGTCTCAATTATCCTTATTTTATTGGCATAATGTTTGTAAGACGGGTGTAGACTGGATCTTTTGTATTTATAAAAGTATTGAAGACAACTGAAAGCAATCTAATTACAAATGACCATTGTACAGGCTTGCACAGACAAACAACTTTGTACCGCCTGGGTGTTGTGCATTCTGTGACATCTCTCAGAATGTGGGTGGGGTGGCTATAAAGCTGCCAAACTGCTGCAGCTATAATCTGAACAAAGACCGGAATTTTCTTGCCCTGTACTCCGTGCAAGGCAATGAAATAGACCCGGTGCTTGGTTTTTATTTATATAGCGCCAACAGATTCCATAGCACATTTAAAGGGACACCCCACTGTCTAAATATAACTCTTTAGTAGATATGCCACAATGAAAACATGCATATAGTTGTATTTATAGCATTTTATTTAATGCAGGTATATCTAAAAAAGGTTTTAGCAAAAGCTACTGATCTATTGTATGCAGCCTTCTAACCCCGCCCAGACTTTCTGTGGCTGTCCAATCACAGGCTTTCCAATGCAGCTTGTTGAGAAATTATTGCAAGACGGGTGATCTGGGGAATTTCCTGCCTCTCGAGTTTAGCTCCGCTGAGCAAACCAAACCAGGAAGTAACAAGACCGGGTGTCCTGACAGGTGGGGTGGATTATTGTAGGAAGTTTACCTTTGTAATTTCTATAGAAATCTGACACTTTTTTAAAATTTATTTATTTTTTTAACACTTGACACGTTCTGATTTAATAAAGGGATAAGTAAACCGATTACTAAAAATCCAAGGATTAGACAGTTCACTTGAAACTTAAAATTTCCCTTACAACTGCAACTATCAATACTCTGCTGGCACAAGTGCTTATAAAGGAAGCTGAGACTTCCAAGTCTTTTAACGCAACTTTGTTACCCACCCCTCCACATCCAAAATGAGTGTTTCACAAAGATTACATTTTTATGAAAGGCTGTCATTAACTAGTTGAAAGATAGATATTTATTTGGATTAGCTGTATTAGTCCACTAGACAAGATGGCAAAATACCAGAGAACTTTTTTTTGTTTTTAATATTTTAAAGACAAGCTTTCAAGAGTTTCCTCTCTTCCTCAGGTCTGAAGCAATACTGATCAATATGAAAGAGTTTAACACTTAAATCTACCGATGTTAGGGGAGGGAGCAATTTCTCGATCTTTCAACTAGTCAATGTGCGCATTTCATATTGCTCAACTAGTCTGTGTGTGTGTGTGTTATTTACCACCTTTTTTGTATTAGCAGATATCTGAAGTTTCACTGGGACTCCTGATAGGCCAGAGAGGCCTGCTTGCTTCTAGCAACCTAGGTTGCCTCCCCCTGTTCTAGGCAGAATAAACTGATCGCCTGGAAAATAATGTTCTTAATTTTATATTTCTTACCATCACAGACAAGTGCTGTCATTATTTTCAGTTTGTTTTCTGAATGTTATTTTGATCTATGGTTAAAGTAGACATTTATATTAACCTCCTAGAATAGTAACGTCAAATACAGGTGACCTTGTCTAGACCCTAGATCCCACTTTACTTAGCTGGCTTCAAAATACCAGTAAACCAGCTCTGTCAAATGCACATACTGACCAAAGTGAACCTGTGAAGTGCTTGTAAAATATCTCCTGTATGTGTATATCTTATAATTCATGGTTCTGAATCTGTTTGTAATGACGGTTGGATGCTGAAGTGAAACATGTCTATTATTGAGATGCAGCAGGGGGGTCGGGCTGGGAAACCATGATTTTTTTTTTTTTTTTTTTTTGTCAAACAAATCTGATCAGATTGGGTCCAAAGATGCAGAAATGTAACCTTTTCAATGTGCTTTAGTGTTAATTTAAAACAAAACCATATTTGACCTGCTCTACTGGCAAAAAGGTAACGTTTTAACTGCTTCATCATCCTGCCACCATATTGTGAAATGAATGCGGAAATAGCATATCTCCCCGATTTACCACACATGAAGGTGTGTGTGTATATAAAAAGTTTAAATATATAGAAAACTTAAAACCTCAAAAGCAGCAGTTTAGGAGGAATCCTGTTAGGTGAAAGCTTGAATTGCTTCCTCTTGCAATTGTATATTGTAAGAAATAAAATATAATTTTCTTTTGAAATCAACACTCAAATGAAAAAGGACTCGCTCTTCACATAAAGCATATTTCAATAAAGTAAAGTGCTTTAGGAGTCTGGAGTGTCCCTTTGAATCTTCTAAACAGACATTCCATTCTTGTGTAATTCCACCCATCAACCATGCAAATGTGATAAAGGAATAGTATGTATTGTGGAAGACTTCTCTGACTAATGAGGATTGCTTTGGGCTTGTTTTTTCTGTCTTGTCTTGTCTGTATCCTATGTTTTCTATGTCTTGAGGCCTATAGATTAAGGGAAAGGAAAACAATCCTTAAAATCTTTTAGTTCACGTAGGACCCTAGGGACACTACTACTCTTCCTACTAAATCTTTTTTTTTTTTTTTTTTCAACGTCTCCATCCTTGGCGTTACTGCAGAGACCTTATAACATGGCCTAAAACCTAATTGAAAAATTGAAAAAGTCCCACATCTGTAACAACCTTGCTACTCCTTAATCTATCTAACTTCTCCTACACCATTATTGAGGTTAACCCATTCCTGCCATTAAGATATAAGCCATCCTCTAAAAGGTGGTCTTTAGAGACATTAGGATGGCATTCCATGTCCTAAAAATCTTGTCCTTTCATCCCTTGTAATACTTTACTTGCAAGTCCTCCTGCAGCCAATTGCTGCAGTCAGTCACATGTCGAACATTGGCTGTTGGATTGTTCTGACTTTTTCCTCACTTATCTGAGGCAGAGATCATTACTACGGTCTCTTGTGTGCTCAATAATTGAATTTCTGAATGCCCCTGTGTCTGCTGAAAACTGGGTACCTCCAAACCTCATCACACCATCAAAACGAATGCTCTGGTTTTGTTAGCCAGTAAATGATTTTAAGCTTTTTATGACAGATGTATTTTGAGCAAATTACAAATTTCTGTGCCAACCAATATCGCTCTGCAAATCCTGAGTTACACCACAGCAGAAAGACAACTGACACTTCACTGATATCTCTGAGATAAAAGCATTTTGGGTCCTTGTAATGGGTATAGGGAGAAAAACAATATTATAAAGAGCCATGGTACAAGCAACTTCTCAGTTTCCTGCACATGCAGACACCAGGCACTGACCACTACAAATCACTGAAGCTTGGAGTAACCTTTCAACCAATATAACCCATCAAAGCAATACTTTGGCAAATTATGCAAATTCACTAAAAGTTATACCTGGGCTATTTGCATTTATCAAAGGGAAAGTTGGCTATCTTGACTCTTCAGGGTGCTCTGATTCTGTGTGCACAAATGACAAAACTGTGGGATCTCCTCCTTCCCTCAAAAAACAAATCTAGACTGAGATTCCTTGAATCTCCAAGAGGAGCCTCTAGTGTCTGGTAGACAGTCACTAGCAGCTGTCTTGGTACTTCAATGTAAACCTTAGTTTCTTAAAACATGCAATGTTTTATATTGCATGACTAAGGGGGACAGGTACAATGCACCCAAATCCATTCAATGAGATTTATTTTATTTATAAAATATTTTACCAGGAAAGCTACATTGAGATTTCTCTCGTTTTCATGTATGTCCTGGGAAGATGGGAGATGCAGTGGTCTGGGTGCCTGTAGTGTCCCTTTAAGGCAGTGTGCTGTGTAAACCCATAAAGTGTTGACAACCTAAAGTAATTTGACAACCTAAGTAATTTTGTTTAATTTTTTTTTATTTTTTTTTTTGCTATTTTAACTTTTATCTGAATTTGTATGTGTATATGGCCCTTTAAGTTTTCTATATATTTGTATAACTTTTTATATATACACCTTCATGTGTGGTAATTGGGGAGATGTGCTATTTCCGAATACAGTTTGTGTAAACTTGCAAAGTGAAAATTGGCTCCAAGATAAATAGCATGAAACATTAACATTGCCAGGTATTCTTGTCAATGTTTTCGTTGGGAAGATACAATGTGAATAACTGGCCCTCTGCTTATCAAATATCATCTCCACTATTAAAGAGCAAAATACACATTGCCAACCTTTTGTTATCTAGTTTCCCGAAAGCAGTACAGTATTATGAATTGCCAAATGTGCTTGAGTACCCCCACCCCCTCTGAAGCATTCACCATTGACTTAGTTATCTTTTCCTGGTAGCCTGCATCCTGTCACTTAGCTGGAAATGTCACACACTTGCTCATTCATATTTCTGTCAGAAATCTTAAAAGTAATGGAGGGAAAAGTATGGGGTGGGTGGGGGGAGGAGGGGTGTGGGAAACCAGCAAATTACAAGGTTTTTTTTTCCAAGGGTATATAACTTCAGACCACAAACCTTTTGTAAATATAACGCACTACTGTATGTACTAAACCCATGATATTCTAATTGACAAACGGTTTACTGTTTCCCTCCCTCCCTTGTAAATGGAAACTGTAGGCATTATAACCATTTCACCTCATATAATTTGCTACAGTTGCTGTAGTCCTCTAGCACGGTCTCTCCATTTAATATTAAACCATTTTCAAGCCGTTTAACTCTGAATGACTGAATGACTGCTTCTAACCACACAGTCTGCCCCCTACTCCCCCTGTAGCTATGGCTCGGACAGAGACTATACACTTTCTGACCATACTAGCAGTCATCTGACTCTGTAAGTCAGTCAGCCACCCATTGCTGCTCTGGCTAATGCTTCCTTATCCTCTCAGGCAGCAGAATGGGGGGGAACTGGCTCCCGTGACTCACATTTTACAAAAGAAAACAAAAATAACTTTAAATAGAAGTACAGCGACAAGGGATTGCAGACACTATAATTGCTTTAAAGAGATGAAACTATTACGATGTCCCTTTAAAAGAGGTGGACAAGAGTTGGATATCCAAGCCTCCATTTCACTTGTGACTACCTTTTTAAAGGCAGATTTTTAGATTACGGACCCACACACAAAAGAAAATGTCCCCACTTGTTGGGGAAATTCCTGGGAGTTGGAACTACACAAAACAATGCTGTGATGATAAAGGTATTGGAGAATGGGTACATCACTGGTGTTTCAGTACAGTTTGTCAATAGTCATTCAGGGGTTAACCAGCAAACCTATTCAAATTCTTATGTGTTAAGTAGAATGCAACAAAGTCTGCTGACACCATAATTTCTGTATGGAGTACTTTGTGTGGCCTTGTTCCGTACTCTTGGCCATATTTGGAGTAGTTAATGTTTGATAACAGACAATGCTTTTATTCACAGAAACTATTTTTCTGCATGTTTGTCAGTATTGTAATTTACTGAAGAGGAAATGAGGCATCTATGACGTGTAGCCTTCCCCTCCAGTTAATAACTCATTTTCACCTGCTCCCATAACTGCAATGATTCCAGTGTGCTATGATAAACTGGTCATAATCCTAGTTTGCCACTCTAGCTGTTCATTGAAGTGGTTATAAGGCCTATTCATCAACAAAAATCACAAAATCTGTTAAATGGCATTTTTTCTTTTTCTTTCTGTTGCTGAATACCACCTTAATTCATGCAGAACATTCTAGGACAATGGCTCCTCGTTAATTTTACAATGTGTTGTGGAGAAAGATCTAGGAAAATCATGCTTGACATGCATTAAATGGACTTTGTTAATCTGCTGATGTAAATGATCTAATGGAGTGACGCTTTGTATGATATCAATAGATTTTCAGAAACATTGTTCATACATTAATTGCTGGTTCCTCTAATTGCTATGTATATTTTGCCAATTACAAACTGCATGAAGTTAGTTACAAATGAAGTTGCCTTTTGATCTGAATGTCTTTGTAAATGCGAGCACCACAGTACAAACTATAGTCTACTACACAAATGTCTTACAGATACAAGTGTTGGCCAGTGTGTCGTGAAATTAAAATGGGGTCAGTAGACCACTGCATACAATATCTGCGGCTTTTAATGTTGTGGCTGCTCACTGTACACTTTGGAATATCCATTCTGTTGGACTGATGTTGAAATGCACCCTAGGTTATAGAGGTTTTTTGTTCTATAGAATAAACCTTTGCAGGGTTCTTTTATCTCTAATATATTTTTAGATGTGCATCCTTACATTTTTAGCTGCAGGAAGTACTGTCTGATGTACCTAGAGGGGGAAAAAAGGCTGCTGTTTAAATAAAACATTTTAAAAAATAAACCACAACAAAAAAAATTCTCTCTGCCATTGTGCTGGTCCTACATGGTAGGGTTTGGCTCAAGAGAGCTAAGGTTATCTGCTAAGCAGGAGCTACTGTCTATCAGCTGTGGTGTAGGTGGTGCGTATGTACCTCAGAAGACATCAGGTTCGATGTCTGTTTACACTGTTTTATTTGAAGTGCTTTAAAAGGGACCTTCAGACCGTTGCAGTCTGCTATGGCTTTGCTAACGTAGACCTGCTTTTCTGCGCCATCTCTCCAACACTGGACTTTGTTAATCGGCCATAGGCAGATTACCAGTTTGGCCTGTCCTTCATTCTTCACATAGAGATGGTTCTGGAGCCCCTGCATAACAATTTGTCCCGAAGCAGACCCATAAAGTCTCCTTTCATTTTAATCTTGCTCATGCTGGGGATACATGAAAGGCAAGGCTTAAAGTGCCAGGAGTTCATATTAAATCAAAGCAATGAAGGTTGTGCATTAGGCCTAGTTAGGCAAAATAGCCACTACTGCATGCTGCAGTAGTGGTGCAGACTTCCACTTTAATCTTGGTCTGTACAATGTCAATTCAGACCCCCTTTGGAAAGTGGTATATGATGGGAGACATAGGAGAGACTTTACCTGTCCCAGCTCATCTCCCAGCATATATCGAAGGAACTGGAGCTAGAAATAAGTGATACAATACAGTAATATAAAATATGTATATCCATTAAATGTGTTATGGGGGAAAATACCATTTAAGGTTCTGAATTTTTTTTTTTTATAAATCACTTGACCTTTTATGACTGCATTTAAAGCAAAGCTTTTTGTTAGAACATGCTGATGCATTAATCTGCAGGTGGTAGTACTTTTTGGTACTTTTTTTTAATGGCTCTACTATAATATACAAGCTACACTTCATGTGAAGGCTTATATCACAGTGAAAATAGGAGATAACTGCAGCTCTGGAGCAGCATGCTGAGTAGATTTTATCTGCATTACTTTGTTTTTGTTTGGAGTGCTTTAACATGACTAAAAGGTCTTTCTAATCTTTATCTAATGAGTGTCTTGGTTAAACACTGACATCTGTAAACAGATTAGCTGAGTGAATGATGTAAAACAATGGGTATGTACACTTCATTGTGATTTTCAGGACTACAAATTTACCATTGTATACAAGTAAAAAGTGTTTGTTTTATTGCTTTTTATTTTTTTTTTTTAGTCCATTCCAGCAATTCATTAAAATGTTCTGATCTATTGAGTAGTAACTGTTCTATACGAAGGGCTCTGGTCAAAATGTTCCCAAGCATTGTTTATTACTGTTAAACGTCAAGTCAAAAGTCCTAAATTTTATAACTTTCTCACTACTTTGAGTTTGAAACAGGTCTGGCATTATTGCAGATTACTCTTCTTTTATGATTATTTATGAAGCACCAACAAATTCTACAGCGCTGTACAATAGGACGACTAACAGACATGAATTTGTAACACTGGTTGGATGCACAGGAATTGAGGGCTGCATGCCCAAATGCCTTCTTAGCCTTGTTTTATGGGGGCCGAAAAGCTTGCCGGCTAGCCACCTTTTGGGGGCTTCACTGAGACAGGCAACCATTTGTTTCCTCGGTGCAAGGAAGGAAAGCTGTTAACAGTATTTGATATGCCTTCCTGAAGAAGTGGGACTGAGTAAAAATTCTAATAGTGCAGGGAAGGGCGTTCCACAGGAATGGTGCAGCCCTAGACAAGTCTTGAAGGCGAGCATCGGAGTGGGGAGTACAGGCAGAGGATAGATGTAGGTGTTGAAGCCTAGATGGGCTTTGTGTTTTAGGGAGGATGTCCCTGTTTCACAATTCTGAGGTGGGGTATTAACCTTAATATGTTTATGTAAAATGACCGACTAAGGACAGGTCCTGTAGTGTATGTGTATAGAAACAATGTGTGTTTTAGCATTGTGATGCAGATACAGTGCAGTCAATTCCTCCACCTAATGTTACATGAATTGTAGGAATTTACGATTAGGTTAGTTTTGGAGGCTGTATCCATTCTATGACATGATTGCTTAATACTTTCTATTAATGAAAGGTGTTTTGTTGGCTGCTTCTGAGTTCCTTGGATATCACACAAAGTGCTTGTCACACTCCACCCACAATTTATTCTGCTATAGAATGTCATAAGAATCTTCCATGTGGGATAACATTTGCAATATAATAAACATTAAAATAGACTATAGGTAAGTGTAGTAAGAAATATTGAAATGCATTTGCTCATTAGACTTTTTTTTTTTTTTTTTTTAAAGGGGAACTGTCCCTCTGGACTTATTACAACTTGTAGGTTTTAGCACTCCCCCAACCCTCTCGCTTGTTCCGCTCGTCGCTCATTCAAGCAGAGCATTTTGATAAATCTTAAATGTGTCATTTCTCCTTTTTTATGCTTTCTCTATGCGGACTGCCTGATACAAATGACAGTTTGCAACTATTCTTCACAGGCAAGGTGGATGTACATTGTTGGAAGGATAAAGCAGTGTGAATTTCTACATTTAATCTTTATTTTTCGCCTCACCAATACTCAGCTGTTGAATATAAGCCTAAGTTGCTCTCAATGTATTCTTTGTGGTTCAATAAAGTTATTGCTCCACCTCTTCCCCTATTGAGTGTGGAGCAGTGAATCCCTAAACACGTGTGGTGGTGGTGGTCTTCTATTATTGTGGGCACTTGCCTAGTTATCTTATTCTCACCATGCAGATTGCAACTGGTTATGAGCAGAGATTGGATGCCCAATATTATTGAAATGGGCTGTTTCAACAGTGATGGAAGAACTGAGAGTTGTGGGAGATCGGTTCTTGGGAAACCATCCTTATTGAAATGGATGATACCGGTGATGGGTATGAAGACACACAAAAGAATGAGGAAGCATATGCTAAGTTAATTCAGTTCTTGGATAAGTCTGTATTAACAATGAGGGAGGCCGCTTATGAGATAAATGGTACGCATATAAAGATAGTAAAAAAAAAAGTGGCATGAAATTCCAGGCCACTGTAATTATAACACTGGAAAGCTACAAAGTGTTGTAGAAAAAAATGGGCATTAATTGTAAAATTGATAGGATTCACCTAAACTAAAATTTGCACGAAAAAAAGTGCCGTGTCAAAACGTAATTAAAATGATCGTGCTTTGATGTACGTTTATATACTCACAATGCTCTTACAACAATTATACAAATACAATTATTTAGCACAAACATTTATTTAATGTCTCCCACGTTACAATTGGTGGAGGACTGATATTTGGGTACTGTGACGTAGTGGTGGGCTTAACACAATATGGCCATATGGTGGAACTGAATTCCCAAATTTGTTTGCAGAGAGGGGATTTGAAGTAGCCTTATAAAATTTAGAAATGTATTTTTAGATGTGCACTATTCCTTAATCTGAAATATGTATACATTTTGGTCACTACGGCAGCACCGGTCCTGCAAAATGTATGTTCTGTTTGTGTCCCCAGTTACCGTATATACTCGAGTAGAAGTAGAGTTTTTCAGCACTTTTTTTTTGTGCTGAAAAACCCCCACTCGACTTATACCAGAGTCACTGTCTGTATTATGGCAACTTAGGATGTATTTAAACTGGGAGAGGAGGGGGGGACAAAAGGGTGATAAAACATCAATCCAATTGTCCCCCAAAACAAGGACAGAAGGTGCCTGTAGCAAGTGTGTTAAAAAATGATAAGCTTAGAGTCATGTCTACAAATGCTCGCAGTTTAGAGAATAAGATCCATGAACTTGTGGCAATAATGGCAACTGATAGTGTAGATTTAGTCGCTGTTACTGAGACATGGTACAATGAGAAAAATGACTGGGACATAGCAATACCAGGGTACTCTTTATATAGAAAAGATAGGGAAGGCAAGAAAGTGGGAGGGGTGGCCTTGTATGTCAGCTCCCTTCTCTCTCGTCCGGTCCGGTCAGGTAAGTTTCGCGAGAGCAGCGAGGAGAAGGGAGCTGACAGGAGCTGCAGGAAAGGAAAGTTGCTGCCAGCCCCCCTCCTAGATAGCCCATCCACTGGACCACCAGGGAATGAGAGCCCCCCTCCTTGGCCAGCTAACAAGCAGGGAGGGGGGACAAAAAAATCTAAATAAAAATGTAAATATTAAAATAAAAAAATTAATAATTAGAAAAATAACTAAAAAAATAATAATGCCCACCAAGGCTCTGCATCACACATACACACACTGCATTATATGCACACACTGTAAATAAACAATTAAAATAACTTTTTTGGGATCGAATTTTATTTAGAAATTTACCAGTAGCTGCTGCATTTCCCACCCTAGTCTTTTTCTCGAGTCAATACGTTTTCCCAGTTTTTTGGGGTAAAATTAGGGGTCTTGACTTATACTCTAGTACAGGGGTAGGCAACCTTTTAGCAGCACTATGCTGATATAGGATTATGATGTCCTGTGGCTGCCGTTCCTATTTTTTTTAAATTGAGGTGTGTATGCTGCCGTATTCTGCTTGTGTTATTTATACTGTTTTACGGTACACCCTGGTATAAGAGGGGTTAATACCGCTGAGGACGTTCCCTTTCCGAATGAAGAAGCGGCTAACCGCAGTTCCAATTAGCCGAACACGAACCAAACAGCTGAACGAGTAAATCATACGAATCCAATACCCCCAAGTACGAGACCAAGCTCTGTATTGAGGATTAAGCAGAGATCTGGTTTATTGAGGGCTACCTGCCTGGTATTTATGCAGGTCTCCCACCTGGTGAACACTCCCCTAGGGGACCAGATGGAAGACTGGGACAATGTGGATACAGTAGCCAATCACAGTGGCACAAGCCACTCTATCCTGGAGATAATTGGGAAGTAATCAAATTATCTCCATGGATAGAGGCTAAACTCCATTTTGTACCTGAACATAAAAATACAATAAAATCAATAACGTTACATTACACGAACAGAATCCCCACATTCAACGTATCCCCAGATAGCTGGGATCTGAGCGCACATTATTACCGAATGCCTCTCAGATCCTATGCATACAGTTCAATCGCCATGGAGCCAAAGTCTTTCACATTGTCTTTCGGTATACGAACAGGCTCCATGGGATGGCTATCTGGGGTGCGTCTATTCGTGCCGGAAAGTACAGAACGGACCGACGTTTGTGTGCTGGATGGCAGAGAAGGGAGGTCGGCGGCTTCAGCGGTGTTCGTGCAAAATAGTGTCCGTTTTCAGTTACATAGTTTGGGCGCCGAACACCGCTGGCCGTTCGGGACTTTAAAATGGCCGCCGCCACGTGGGAGTTACACGAACAGCGACATCCCAACGTTCACCACTTAAGCTGCGGTTAACCGAAGGATAGATGAAGGCAACGTAATAGAGCATAGTTCCAAGACAGAGGGGTCTGTCACATAATGTAATTGCTTGTATCATTGTATTTGTGTGTATATGAGCTATTATATTGTATATGTTCAGGAGTAGTTTGTGGTATTGTGTAGGATACATATGAATATGTGTATGGGGGCTGCTTGTGGAATTGTGTGTGGATGGATATGTCACATTGTGTGTTTGGTAGTGTGTGTATGTGTGGGGCTGTTTGGGGTATTGCATGTGCAAGGATGCATGTGGGGTTGTGTGCATGTATGTGGATTGTTAGCGGGTTACGTTTGTGCAGATTGTATATATGTTTGAGGGCTGTTAGTATTATTTGTATGAGGGGAGGGTTTTGTGCATTTCTGTGTATATCTAGCAGTATGGGTGGCTTCCCTGGGTTTCAGTGGGGACCAAGCTGGCCAGGTACAGGTCAAGGACAGGAGCTGCAACAGCAGCTGCAGGCTGCTCTACTACATTGTTGGGAGGAAGTGATCTGAGATCACTTCCTCTACGTGCTACAATGCATAAATTGCGTATTGTCCTTCACCACCTTTTCGTATTAGCAGATATCTGAAGTTTCACTGGGACTCCTGATAGGCCAGAGCCTGTTTGGCTGTAGCAGCCTTGAGTGCCGTGCAAAGACACCTTGAGTGCCGTGCATGGCACTAGTGCCATAGGTTGCCTACCCCTTCTCTAGTATATACGGCAATTGTGAAAATGTGTCCATGACTGTAACCAAATCTCAGTTTTGTGCAGCTAACCAGAACCAAAACTCACCTGCCTTGTAGTATCACTAGTGTATATAGTTATAAGTAATAGCAACATTGTAGCATCTGTCAAAGAGTAAAATATGAAAATTGTCAGGAAACACAGCTTTGAGAGATATATATATATATATATATATATATATATATATATATATATATATATATATATATCTATATCTATAATATTATTTTGATGAATAGTATGGTTTTAATTGAATGAAAAGTTACATTTTGTATGGGATTGATAGCCTCATCTTTGTTTTTCTAAAAAATGTCAGGTATCCCACACAGAGATGGCCACTGAGCAGTCTGATCTGACTCTGTAACAGAAAGTGCATTCTTGACAATCTCCACAATGTGCCAGTCAAATGTTTCTCACAGACAGGCACTGAATCCAATCATTGCTCCTCTAAGAGCAGTATTAACAGAACATTGACTTCCTTTGGCAATGCTGAAGAACATTGAAATATCAAGAACCGAATCTGATTTGCGTATCTGAAAGGGAATCCCCATCTAGTGGCTTTCAGTGTTACAGCCAGTAGAGGTTTTTAGCAGTCCACAATGTAAACCTTGCCATATCTCTTATAAGGCATATTCTCCCTGTCTCCCTAATCTACATATCATCTAACCACACAGTTCAGCACTACACTATTAGTACTACAGAATGCCGCTTGCAGTTAATTTTCAACCAGATAGTGGGATACCATGTTTTTCCACTTCCTTCGATCATCCATGCCATTATTTGACATGTAAGCATACTCCCTTCGCTTTGGGTGTGGCAAAAAAAAATCACAGAGCTCACGCAAATGATATTTCAACTTGTGTACAAATCATGCATGTTCTTGTGCTTTCTATCGGTATACTCCCTTCAAACTTGACCCTTCTGGGACTGACAGCTGAACCTGAAGCATTGAGAGATTTTCAGCCAAAGGCCATGAAAACGAGGCTTTTGGCAAGCAAAGCATAAAAGATAACCCCAGAAGAGAGGAAGTGAAAGATCATGTCCTTCAATATTATTTGGAAATTATACTGTCAAATTATTTCTGCAGAGACTAACCCTTTAGTTCAACCTGTGCACACTATTGACTGTAGAGTAAAGGACCAAAAGACTAGAGTGCAGGTTAACTGCTTTCAAGGACAAAAAATAAATTGCTTAATTGCTGAAGCTGCAGGAGTGGACACCAGCTCTGTACATTTTGCGCATGTGTGAGAGTACAAGACTGGGGCCTATAGAGGAACCTCTATAGGTAGTCTAACTCCCTTCAGCCAACCATAGTGTTTGGCTTCAGCTGTCCAGCCGCAATGCTTGGAGGCTTGGCACCTGTTGGGACACATGTAAGTGGCAAATAATGGATAAATGTTAGTTTGTTAGTTGTTATGCATGGAGTAAGTATTTAAACCCATTTCCATGATTCCTTGGTGGTTGTCTCGTTTGTTTATTTTTTTTCTCCCACGTGGGACTTAACATGTGTGTTGCCAGTAATTTAGTTGGTAACCTGAACCCCTTTGTGTTTCTGTTGGAGATTTACAAATTGGTGTTTTTACTTAAAGGAACACTATAGAGTCAGGAACACAAACCTATATTTCTGACCCTATAATGTTAAAACCACCATCTAGTTCCTCTGGGCCCCCTCTTGCCTCCCTAAATATGGTAAAATCCTTACTTGTATTCAAGCCTGAATAGCAAGCTGTCTGCTGACCTCATCAGAAGTGGTGGTCTGAGCCAATCTCAGTGCTTCCCCATATGATTGGCTGAGACTGTGAAGGAGGCCGATCAGGGGCAGCTCAAGAAGACATCTATGAAGTGGCCAGTGAAGTTATCACTAGGCTGTAATGTAAACACTGCATTTTCTCTGAAAAGACAGTGTTTACAGCACAAAGCTTGAAGTGACTGATTCTACTTACCAGAACAAATTCAATAAGCTGTAGCTGTTCTGGTGACTATAGTGTCACTTTAATTCTGCATCAAATTGGGCCTTTAATTTTCAGTCCTCGTTAACTGCTTTTTGCCTGGCTTATGCTATATTATCTAGCCACTAACACCTACAGCATGATCAGCTATAAAGCCAAGTTGGCAAGAATTTAAGAACTGTAATTAAAGTCGCATTACAATACAAAATGCAGTCTATAGCATTTTTTTTTTTCTTAAGAATTTATTGACAAAATTATTGACTAAGTTTTTGGAGTGTGTGGTTCAGACTAGTACTATAAATCATCATAGTGATTTTAATTTAACTGTGTTTTAGCAAGACCTGAAAATCAATTGTACTCTGGAAATGTACATTGCATTTGTTGCCTTACACTGAGTACATGATTGAGTGTGCAGCCATGTGTGCGCAGAAAACAGAATTCCATGCAAGTGGTTTGTAAAATGCTTTATTAATGTATAAGTTTAAGGAAGTAGAAAAAGTTGGCGGCACAGAGATAATATGTACAATTAAATATAAGCAAGTATTAATCTAGAAATAAACAATGATATATAAAACAGAGCAATAACTTTTTTATTTTTTGTATAGATACATGTAACTAAACCATTATTTTTGCGTAGATTAGGTGTTTTAAAAAAAATAAAATAACACTAAGAAAATCTGTCAACATTGAAGTTGCTGTTTAGTGAATAGGTGAGTGCGCTGGATGTTGTGTATTATATAATTTGGCCCCCAGCAGCATCTCATTTATTCAAGTTCAGGTGAGTGCAGCCTCCACCCCTGTTTTGTGTGTGTGTGTGTGTGTGTACAGTCCAAAAAGAGTCCAGTAAAACCTTTGGGATGAGAGAACAATCGCAGTTCTATCTGAGGTAGACGTCTGTGGAGTTGTGGGATCAAGGGGTTAAAAAATTTATTGCAAAAATGAAATGTCCTGGTGTTCCTTTTAAAAACCCTTGCCTCTGAAGGGCTAAATGGTGATTTTAAACTTTTTAATTTTCTGTGTTCTTCAAATCCATTTTTTTTGTTTTTATTTTTCCATTATTTCTATCATTTGTTATACTTTCAGCAATTTTACTTTAATATCTATTTTTTTTTTTAAATCTATTTTTATCTTATATTATCCTGTTTTAAAATGTATGCTACAAATCCCTGGTATGAGTAACCGGATTTACTTTGTCACATCTGTTATGTATATATGTGTATGTATGTATATGTGTGTTTTATGTTTTGTGGTTTATTCCTTATGTATTTTGTTGCTTTACCCAACTAGTTTACTAGTCCCTTTTGTTGTTTATTATCAGCTGTTATTTATTATACTCTCCCCTCCCAATGTGGCTGCTCCCCTCCTTCCACTATTTTTTATTTTATTTTATTTTTTTATTTTTTTGCCATTCCTAATATGGCTCACACTAGTTTTATTGCCCTCCCTAACATGGCTGCTACATGTTCTACAGTAAAGTTATGACAAAGTCATGTGACCATGACATAATTTTGGCGCCAAAATGAAGTAATTTGTGGCCTATAAACAGCCAGTGCTGTCAGGTACATGGTTTTTATCCACTTGAGAAAGCCCTAAGGGGAGAAACGCGTTGTGGAAATTTTAACTGTATTTTAATGAAGGTAATTTGGCCACTTTGTTTTGCGAGATAGCTATTTTATCTTTTTTACCATTTTTATTTATAAAATATTTTACCAGGAAAGATACATTGAGATTTCTCTCGTTTTCAAGTATGTCCTGGGTCCACAAAACATTGCATTGATACATTATAGTACAATAAAATACAAAAACAATAATACACAATATAGACAAAATTTAACAGAACAGGTAGGAAATATATAATCGAGCATTCTGTTTTGAGGTATGTAGAGAGGGATCTCTTAAAGGACTTTAGGCTTGGGGAAGATTTGAAAGTGTGTGGGAAGTTGTTCTATAATTGCGGTGCTCTGCAGGAAAAGGAAGATTACGCTGCTTTCTTTTTGTATTAAGGTAGACTAAAGTGCTGGTACTGGATCGGAGGTATGAATAGAGCAGGTTTAAAGATTTTTTTTTTTTTTTTTTTTGTGTGTGTGTTTTAAGTTTTAGAAGGGGTATGAATGACTGTACCTGGTTACACAATACGTCAGATTCATAATGGTGTGGTGTATGTAGTGTTCACGTCATAACGAGTATGTGTTCTCTATGCAGTTAACTGTAAGATCGTGCATAACAGGGCTTTATCTGTTTAATAAATAATACTGAAAAGTACTTAAAGGGTTTCTGCAACTTTATTTTTATTTTATTTTTAAGCATGAATTACAAGTGAAACTAAATTTTTAGGCATAACTAGTGGGAAAAATTTGGATTCAGTCTGAAGTAATGACGACTTACAACTTGATGATTATGTATGTATGTATGTATGTATGTATTCTGCTCAAAAAAAATAAAGGGAACACATCCTAGATCTGAATTAATTAAATATTCTTCTGAAATACCTCGTTCTATACATAGTTGAATGTGCCGACAACAAAATCACACAAAAATAAATAAATGGAAATCAAATATTTTTTAACCCATGGAGGTCTGGATTTGGAGTCACACTCAAAATTAAAGTGGAAAAACACACTACAGGCTGATCCAACTTTGATGTAATGTCCTTAAAACAAATCAAAATGAGTCTCAGTAGTGTGTGACTTACCTACAGGGATCTCCTTCCAGATCTGGACTAAAGCATCTGCCAACTCCTGGACAGTCTGTGGTGCAATGTGACGTTGGTGGATGGAGCGAGACATGATGTGCTCAATTGGATTCAGGTCTGCGGAACGGACAGGCCAGTCCATAGAATCAATGCCTTCGTCTTGCAGGAACTGCTGACACACTCCAACCACATGAGGTCTTGCATTAGGAAGAACCCAGGGCCAACTGCACCAGCATATGGTCTCACAAGGGGTCTGAGGATCTCATCTCTGTACTGTAGTCAGGCTACCTCTGGTGAGCACAAGGAGGGCTGTGCGGCCCCCCAAAGAAATGCCACCCCACACCATTACTGACCCACTGCAAAACCGGTCATGCTGGAGGATGTTGCAGGCAGCAGAACGTTCTCCATGGCGTCTCCAGGCTCTGTCACGTCTGTCACATGTGCTCAGTGTGAACCTGCTTTCACCTGTGACGAGCACAGACGGCGAATTTGCCAATCTTGGTGTTCTCTGGCAAATGCCAAACGTCCTGCACAGTGTTGGGCTGTAAGCACAACCCCCACCTGTGGATGTCGGGCCCTCATACCACCCTCATAGTCTGTTTCTGACCGTTTGAGCAGACACATGCAGTGCTCCTCCTGTTCCTCCTTGCACAAAGGCAGAGGTAGCAGTCCTGCTGCTGGGTTGTTGCCCTCCTATGGCCTCCCACATCTCCTGATATACTGGCCTGTCTCCTGGTAGTGCCTCCATACTCTGGACACTATGCTGACACACAGCAAACCACCTTGCCGCAGCTCGCATTAATGTGTCATCCTGGATGAGCTGCACTACCTGAGCCACTTGTGTGGGTTGTAGACTCCGTCTCATGCTACCACTAGAGTGAAAGCACCGCCAGCATTCAAGTGACCCAAACATTAGCCAGGAGGCATAGGGACTGAGAAGTGGTCTGTGGTCACCACCTGCAGAACCACTCCTTTATTGGGGGTGTCTTTCTAATTGCCTATAATTTCCAACTGTTGTCTAAAGTGGAAAAATACACTACAGGGATCATTTGCACAACAGCATGTGAAATTGTCACTCAGTGTTGCTTCCTAAGTGGACCGTTTGATTTCACAGTTTGACTTGGAGTTACATTGTGTTGTTTACGTGTTCCCTTTATTTTTTTTGAGCAGTGTATATCCTTTGTGCATTGTATATTTTCTTGCCTGTATGTCATGCTAAAGTGTAGTTTTGCTAGCCCTGTATGTAATTGTTTTATTCACCTATATGCATTTCTCCTCTAATTTCTGACTGACCTCTGACCCCTCCCTTCTTTGATTTTAATTTTTTTTATTTGAATAACCATCCCTTCATCTCTGTGACTAAATACATACCCCCTCCCTCAGCTTTATTGCAAGCCTGTCTGACCCTTGCATATCTTTATTCAACAGCCTGATTTCAAAACTATCAAGCCCCAATACTGCTGTATGAACGTATACCTCCCCTCTCCACCCCATACTTATTACATTTATAGATTGTCTGTCTCTGTCTGTCTGTCACACCCAAATTTTAAATGAGTACAAATAACAGGTATACACACTACTGCCTCTTATTGGTACACTCCTGCACGTTCTTAACCCATAAAACTTAATATTTACCTTACCTTCACCTGCTCTTGATATTTCAATTATTTCCAATTTACTTTTTCCCAGTTTAGCAATGATCTGTCTTCTCATCTTTATTTCCTCTTTCTCCCTCAGTCTAAAAATCTCTTTACAGCCACTTCACTCATTTTCTCCCCCCCCCCCACTTTTACATATGCTCATCTCATGCCTTGTACTAATTTTTCTACTCTCACTGCGACCCACAATCGATCTCATCCTAGACCCCATGCATACAAAACCCATTCACACCTCCTGTCACTTTCTCTCCTGCTTCTAGCAGCTGGTGATGTCTCTCCCAATCCAGAGCCCTTCACTTTCTCTACACACACTAAGAAAACCAGAAACCCCACCAACCTCATCACAATACCCTGCCCTTTACCGTCACTTACCAACATTCAGTGTGCACTCTGGAACGCCTGCTCAGTCTGTGGTAATGTTAAAATAAGCCGCCATATATGTATTTTTCATCTCTGACTACTTGCACTTGCAGAGACCTGGCTGCCCCCCTCTGATAGTGCTACTCCTGCCTCTTTACAATGGAGTCTGGGAGTGTGAGAGAATTGTAGCCCACCAAAACATAAAGGAGGTGGTGTAGGCATCCTTCTCTCCCCTCTATGTACCTTTCAACCAATCATAACTGCCCCTGCCCTATCCTTTTCTTCTTTTGAAGTTCACACTGACTGCCTATTTAACCCCCACTCCTTTAATAATTGTGATCATCTACCGCCCTCCTCCCCCTCCCGGTCATCCTAAGCTATTCATTGAGCTCTTTTCTTCATGGCCTTCCCCACTCTCATGCTCTCATCTAGCACTCCTTCCCTTATACTTGGGGATTTCAAAATCCCAATCAACAACCCCAACTGCACTGATGCTTCTCGTGTGCTCTCTGTAACCACCTCTTTTTGGCCTCACGAAATTATTTCGCGCTGTCTTTTGCGCTGTCTCGCTCTCTCTTCGTCCTTCAAACATACAACTGTAACCCCAATTCTAAAGAAGCCCAACCATGAGCCTAACTCCCCGTCCAACTACCGTCCTATCTTGCTACTGCCTTTTGCATCCAAGATCTTTAAGAGTTGTGTATGTGAGATTGACAGACTTCCTTGAGTCTAACTCTCTGCTAGACCCGCTTCAGTTTGGTTTACGTGCTAAGCACTCTGTGGAAACAGCACTGACCAAAGTATCCAATGATCTACTCCCTGCAAAATCTCATGGTCACTACTCTATCCTAATTCTCACTGACCTTTCAGTGGCTTTTGACACTGTTGATCATCAACCGCTTCTTCTCATCCTCGGCAATATCAGTCTACACGATATCGCACTCTCCTGGTGCTCCTCCTACCTCTCCCAGTCTTTCGGTAGTTGTAAAGTCTTAATTTGGCTTTCGGGTATCCGCTTCCATCCTTGGGGTGATGTACTGCAGCTTCCGTCCTTGGGGTGATGCACTGTATCACCCAAGGACCAGAGCTGATACCTTAAAGCCAAATTAAGACTTTACAACTACCCAAAGACTGAGGATCCATAAACTGGACTGGTTCTAAGAGGTACCAATGGCCCGTTCCACTGATTGGGTAGTAAGCCCCCCTCGAGGCTTATAGGCTTTTTTGCACAACCAGAAATATTTTTTTGTGCCACTTTTCTTGTGAGTTTTATTCATTATTTATATTTCAATCATTAAATACTTCAATATGTATTTTTTCCTTTTGGTTTTCTCTACATGTCATCCTTTCCGACTGAGTGGTAAATATTACCCACACTTTTGTGATAGTGGCGTCCTCACTTGTATATTAATATACTTCCTGTATTTATTAAGGATTGGTTTGGTCTCAGCCAAAGTGAAGAACAGGCATAGGACTTCAAAATCAACACGATCTATACAATTTATGTTTAAATAAAAAATTTGATATAGGAGTGTAGTATAGCACAATACCAAAAGGCAAAATAGTTTAACCTAGTGCAGCTATTGTGTATAAGCTGCTCTAGCCCCGACAGCATTTATCATTGAAACGTTTGTACTTTGAATGCTCTTTGAATAAATTTGGGCTGCACTTTATATTGCAGTTTGTTTAAAGAAGATCACAAAATGCTTAGCTGACTAAGTACAACGTAAATTTCATAGTTTAAAAAATTCTCAAAGGACCACTACAGGCACCCAGACCACTTCAGCTCAATGAAGTGGTCTGAGTGCCAGGTCACTCTAGTTTTAACCCTGCAGCTGAAAACATAGCAGTTTCAAAGAAATGGCTATGTTTCACTGAGGGTTAATCTAGCCTCCAGTGGCTGTCTCACTGACAGCAGCTTGAGGTGCTTCCGAAAATCAGTGAGAAGATGCTGGACGTCCATAGGAAAGCATTAAGTAATTTCCTTTCCTATGGGCGGTTTGAATGCTCTTGCCGTGCATGCTCATTCAGATCTGACGTTGGCAGGGGGTGGAGAGGTCACCAGCACCGAGGGAGCCTGGCGCTGGAGAAAGGTAAGTGACTGGCTGAAGGGGTTTTAACCCTTTCAGCCCAGCAGGTGGGGGGGGACCTAATGACCCTACAGTGCCAGGAAAACAAGTGTTTTCCTGGCACTATAGTGGTCCTTTAATTTAAATTGTGTGTTGGATTTACACCCATCTTTCCTACGGCAGTCCAGGACCGTTTTAAAATATTGTCTACAGGTAAGTGTGTAATCTGCATACAGTATGTATATCTATATCCAGTTAGACTTTGGTTAATGTTTAATTGGAATAGCAAATACTTTTACACTTGATTTTATATTTAAAGGAACAAATGTATTCCTTACATTCTAGTGGCAAAATCACAATTTAGGTCCCTGACCCTTCTCCTTGCAGTAAGACGGTGAGTTTACTCTCTCTTTAAAATGTATTTCTTTTTTGTGCCGCGGCCATCTATCTGCAACTGGTCCGACCTAGCTCCTCCTCCATGGCTGAGATCTGGTGGCAAAGTGATGAAGTGATGAACCAATCAGCATCTCCTCACAGAGCTGCATTAAATCAATACAGCTCTACAGGGATCATTCAGCATCTCCATACAGAATGTGGAGACTGGACATCCATCCTACACACTGGGTAGCCCTGACACAGAAAGCACCTCTAGTAACCGTCTCATTGACTCCCACTAGTTGTGTTACTAGGCAGCGATGTTGGCATTGAAAATCCTGCATGGACAAACGATGGGCTGAAGTATTTCTGATGACCATAGTGTCCTTTTAATCTAGTCGGAGTACGTGACCTATCATGGCCAGGAATTGGCAAGTCCTTTGTTAACATATGTCATGTAGTAAAATCTTTGAGGTAGCAGGGAAATGTTTACACCTGGCGATTTTGTTTATTGCGCTTTTAAGTCCGTTATCTACATTAACACTTTTTTTTTTTTTTTTCATTCATGTGAGCATAGTCTAAGGATTCAAAGAATTATTTTTTTGCTCTGTATTTCAGTTTTTAACGTGTTAAAATTCTTGTGACATTCTTGTTAAAATAACACTTGACTGATACAATTTCTTTTAGATTCATAATTTATATGGCAAGTGACCTGTGACTAGATCTTTCTCCATGTGTTAAACATTTTAAACTATCAAACTCCTCTGAAATAAGGGTAGTACGTCACTTGCATCCACACTAGTTTATTACAGTAGATAGAACTCCTGTTTGCCTATAGTCTGACACTTGAATATTCTGTTCTTACTGCACTTAAAAGTGCAATTGAACTTTATATGATTTTGTCGATGCATTGATGTAAATCTAAAACGATAACTGCATTCTCCATGTATGACCGTTCCTGTAATCTTCTAAGGCAGTCTGAAGTCCAGACTCCCATCAAAGGAAAATCTGAAATAGATGATTTTTAGTTCGTAATTTTTAAATATATCTTTTTGGGATGCTTGATCTTTTGGAGTGTTTTTGGTAATGGCCGAGCTTATTTGTAATTTTTTTTTTTTTTAATTTTTTTTCTTGGCCCATGGTTGCTTCTAAACTGGGTGTTTGGCCATTACATATTGCTGCTCTTGCCTACCTATCCTCTTATATAAAAGTATGTCCCGTCCAAGCCTCTACACTGCCAAAGTTCTGCATCTATTTTAGGTTTGTACTTGCATCTCTGACGCTCACCTTCAAGACTTGTCAAGGGCTGCACTGTTCCTATGGAACTCCTTTCCCTCCTCTGTTAGACTCTAACACAGCATATCAATTAAACTGTTAATAGCTTTTCCCTCCCCTCACCTTAGTAAGCCATCCTGCTTCCTTTCTTGCAACTGCGTCATCCAATAAACTAATCCTTCAATGTAAATTATTCTAGTAACCTACTTTCTCCTGTACATGAATTACATCCTACCCTTGTCTCCTGTGCCACTTTAACCCACTTCCTCTAGAATGTAAACTCGTTGGAGCAGGACCCCCCCATATCTTCTGTTCCTGTGCGTTCAGCTAGTCTTGTTGCAAATGCATGTTAGTCCACCTATTGTACAATGCTACATACTTTGGTGCTTTAAAAATAGAGATGTGTTTTGAGGCAAAATATAGGGTCTTTTCCTCCTTACCACCTTATTCCGCTTGTGTTTATTTTTATTTTATTTTTTTTGTAATCAAGAAAGCTAATGAATAAATGAACGTTAAATCAGTTCATTTCAGTCGAGTTTGTTAGTGTTCCTTTTAATACAATAAACCGACTGAAATACAGGGCCATACCAAAACTAAAGTAGAAATGTGACACCCTTTTCTTTTAATTATGTTTGTCTTTTACATTGAAAGATAATTTAGACATCATGCATAGGCAATCCTTTTCTGCTTTAAATAGTTGCACGTGTCATAAAACAAACTCTAACTGTAAATTCTTATTTCCAGCTGTCTTTTGGGGAGATATTGCCTTAGATGAAGAAGATTTAAAAATGTTTCAAATTGACAGAACAATTGACCTCACTCAGCATTCAAATTATAAAGTGGGACACACCACAGGTAAGATTTACAATGTAAGATGTACCTTGTTGATGTTTTCTTGTATACGCAACGGAATGTGCCCAACATCTGTTTTTGCATAAGTGTTATTCACACAATTTTTTTTTTTTTTTCTTCCCTTGCCAAACTACCTTGCTGTGCTCTGAATAAACCTACCATAGCTATATAAATCTGAGCATATATATTGCTAGGGGACCTGATAGGGTGGGCCACATCTGGATTCCAAAATGCACCTCTGCTCTTACCTATTCTAGTTTTTGTTTAAATACACTATTATTTTGGTAATGCATCATCCTTTTGAGCTGTATAAATTAGTCTTCCTGAAGAAAATGTAATTCTCACAGTGACTGAAAAGACATGGTAACTTACCGTATATACTAGAGTATAAGTTGACCCGAATATAAGTCGAGACCCCCAAAAAACTGGGAAAACTTATTGACTCAAGTATAAGACTAGGGTGGGTAATGCAGCAGCTACTGGTAAATTTCTAAAGAAAATTAGATCCCCAAAAAATTATATATATTTAGTGTGTGTATGAGTGCAGTGTGTTTATGTGATGCAGAGCCTTGGTGGGGGTGGGCTTTTTTAAATTTAATTTTAATATTAAATTTTTTATTTGTATTTTTTTCGTCCCCCCTCCCTGCTTGTTAGCTGGCTAGTGAGGGGGGGCTCTCATTCCTTTGTGGTCCAGTGGATGGGCTGTGTAGGAGGGGGCTGGCAGGAAGCTGTAACTTACCTTTCCTGCAGCTCCTGTCAGCTCCCTTCTCCTCCCCTGTAAGTCTCGCGGTGTGACTGCTGCACAGAAAGTTGCCACGGTAACGTGGAAACGCTTTGACCCCTCGGCTCTCGCGAGACTTGCAGTTGAGCTGACCGGACCGGAGGAGAAGGCAGCTGACCGGAGCTTCAGGAAAGGTAAGTAACCGCTCGTTGCCAGCCCCCAACAGGACCGCCGGGCTTGTAATGAGCCCGCCGGTCCTGGTCTGTATTATGGCAATGTAAGTTGCCATAATACCGACATTGACTCGAGTATAAGTAGAGTGGGGGTTTTTCAGCACAAAAAATGTGCCCCAAAACTCGACTTATACTCGAGTATATACGGTACTCACAGCAATGTTAATTGTGAAGGAGTGATGTTCTAATGTGACTTTAGCATGTATAGAATGCCTGGCAAAAATGTACATTAAAGTATGCTCGGTATTTGGAGTTGAGAACAATCGGAGTAATTTAAAATGTTGGCTTTTTTTCTACTTGTTTCTCATAAAGTATAAAATTTAGAAAGAAAACAAGTAACTTTGAGAAGGAATTCTACCATCTAGAAGTCTAGCGTTGACAACACCGTTAATCCTTCATGTAGGCTGTAAATGGATTTAAAGCCCGTTTTGAATAACGCAAGGGATTGGTTTAGTTATTCGTTCCCTATGTTTAACTTACCAGTTAAAACTATATCCTGTCTGGAGGTATTTTCTCTGTTAAAGTATAAAACTATTCACCTTTCTCCAGTGGCCTTTCAGCTACAGACCTATGACCTTTCTGACACAATTTGTTTAGTTTCATTTAAAAAAAATAAATAAAAAAAATAAAAATCTTTTGGGGGTGGGAGAGTTATGATCCTAGGAGTGAGAGGAAACCCTGAATTACAAAATGTTTTGCACCAAGTTATCCCTTTTTGGGAAATGTTTCCATCTGAAGTTTGTGTAGTTTTTTACTTGGGCAAGTATCAACTCTTATATTTCCTTAATACGAGACAAGCCTAGGTGGACAAATGATTGACCTGAAAGGTCTTAAAAGAATGATGCAGGTTACTTTTTTAAACCAAACTTGTGGGACTCCACAAAAAGTTTCAAACCCCCCCCCAAAAACTAAAATATAATTCCTCTTTAAATCTGGCCGAGCTGAAGTGTGAAACTTGACAACTGGTTGTTTTTGCTTCAGATATCTTGATGTACATTCTGCTAAGCACCAGCATGTTTTTGGAGATGCTGGAATCACACAAACCACTGACTTTTTGTCAGGAAAGATATATCACGGGGCCCTAGGCAGGTTCTCCATTTGGAGTCCACCTTATCTTCACGGATTACGGGGCATAGGCAGCTGCCTTAGGTCTACTTATGTTTTATCCAGATATGTGCGTACTTGCCACTTAATATGGAACTCTACTCTTCTACAAACTATAGAATCCTCTCTTTATTCTCTTTCAATCCACAAGCATGTATTCTGCATTCCTGCTGTTGAAAACAAATGTTTGTGCATGTAATTTTGGAAATCCAGAATGTCCTCTGCACTCTCCCAAAATTAACAAGCTTGTGTATATTATTGGTCAATCCTTTTGACAAGTGAGGCATATCATGGTTCTCACATTTCGTTGCAGAAAAAACAGAACTGGGCACTTCATTGGCTTCATATGTTTGCAGTAAAAATAACACCAACAAAATGTACTAGTATGCTTTAGAAATCTTATTTATGAAGACAAAAGTGACTTTTTTAAAAATGTTGATTAGACGACATGATCAGAAGACAAGTTTGCAGGCAGATTACACCCGCCACCCCCTTGCGTTAACATACTCTAGACCTAACCAACTATCAATCTGTAAAGAAAAATACAATGGATTTGATCTTGAAACTGGTCCTCTCTAACTTGTTGTTTCTGTATTGTCCGATTGCTGAAGTTTGTATACACTAGACAGGATGAATAACAGTCGTAGTACTGGATTTTCAGCGTTATATAGACTTGTTTTTTTTTGTAGAAGATCATTCATTATGTCATTTGGTATTGCAGCTCGCATCTAGATTATTGATTTTTAAACCTACTCAGGAGTTTCTGGTTTTATTACAAGTCCGTAGCTGCCTGATACCATTGCCATTTTAGTGTGAACATAGGATGTGGGTGTTTATTTTTTTTTTTTCCTTCCAGATCAGTTTCAAGACCAACGATGGTTTGAAAAAAGTAAATGCGCCCTTTTTAAAGTCTCCTTTTACTTTGTAATTGACCTTCTTTTGAGGTTGAAAATGAAAGTCACTTATATGCATTCAAGATAAAAGCCATATATTTGACTGCCAATCAGTATGGCACAAAAGATGTGAAGGTCACCAAGAGCAAAGACTTACAGATAATTTGATGTTGTCATGACATGTTTGAAGTTTTCATTACAGTTTGCTTTAGAAAATGTAAAGAATTAATCAACATTGAGCACTGCTTGTTTAAAATATCTTCCTATTTCTAGAGTGGTTGGCTAGAAATTCTAAAGCATTAAGACAAATACTCAAAACCTTTTAAACATGAGAAACCTTTGGAAAAAAATAATGCGAGTCTTACACAAAATTCCACCAAAAATATACAATTTGTCTTTTTAGCATACCTTTCTGAAATTCTTGCAAGCTTTAGCTTTTTTTCATATATATTTTAGCCCATACAGTTTTGGTTTATGTTTAGTTCAAGTGTCTTCAGATAGGACACCAACAGGGATCTTCACTAAAGCTTGAATTGTAGCAATGATCACACAATCAGCAAAATGTATGCTACAACTGCAAAGCTGTTACTATAGTGAAGATGCATGAACTTTCCAGATTGACTGTATGGCCTAAATTAATATTAATGGTTGCTTTCCTTAAACGGATTCTAAAGTGTTAGGAGTAGAAATCTGTTTTCCAAACACTATACTGCCCTCTGGTCTCCTTCTTCCTTGCTCCCCCACCATAGAACATAAAAGGTTTTAAAAAAACCTTTATTTACAACTCAAACTCCAGCGCTGTGTACCTCGGCACTCCGACTCCTCAGACATCATGTGCGGCAAGCAGATTCAAGCCTGAAGCTGTAGCTCTGCATGCTGTTTTTCTTGGAAAAACAAGCTGTCTGCTGACCTCAGAAGTGGTGGCCTGATCCAATCACAATGCTTCCCCATAGGATTGACTGAGACTGACAAGGAGGCAGAGCAGGGGCAGAGCCAACACGATTCAAACACAGCCCTGACCAATCGGCATCTCCTCATAGAAATGAATTGAATCAATGAATCTCTGAGGAAAGTTCAGTTTCTGCATGCAGAGGGAGGAGACTCTGAATGTTTGGATGCATTTTAGGCAGCCATGACCCAGGAAGGATCGCTAACAGCTATCTGAGGAGTGGCCAGTAAAGTTATCACTAGGCTGTAATGTAAACACTGCATTTTCTCTGAAAAGACCGTGTTTACAGCAAAAAGCCTGAAGGTAATGATTCTACTCACCAGAACAATTTCAATAAGCTGTAGTTGTTCTGGTGAGTATAGTGTCCCTTTAATTTTATGCAAGGTTATAGTGTTTTTCATTTAAACATTGGTTATTCACTAAACTATGACTTCTCCTTCTAACCATAGTGACAATTTGTCTATTTTTGCTTTTGTTATGTCACTTGAAAGCCATTTGCAAAAATACAGTGTTGTAAATACTATATGTATATAGATGTAAGGTAGCAGTAGGACAATTTCTACACTGCTTCTTATCCAAAGAACAGCTATGACTGACCAACAGCTTATCTAGTGTTAGTATGTTACCAAGTAATGATCTGAAAGGGGTACTCATTCCAAAAAAAGATTGGGTAGCAGGAGACTGAGACTTGTGGTGTACAATAAAACCTGTCTAAATGGGAATGGTGGACTCCATTCCATATCACTTTTTTTAATTTGTAACACTTTTGTTTTAGTTCTCCTCCTTTTTCCCATCATTAGAGCAAGTGGCATGTGTCTGAGCTGTTTTGGGGAGACAAACCTTTCAACATTTAATTGGTTGTGTCTGTAATATTGGATCATTAACTTTTTTCATTTTTTTTTTTTTCAGGTGGCCTTGGAGAACATGATTTAGAAAAAAAGAGGGGTGCTCTCTATCAGCTTATTCAAAGGATACAAAGATTTGGATCTGGTACTTCCATATTTTTTTTTTTTTTTTCTCTCTTCATGGTCTTGTAAATCAAAAACTGCTTGCCTTTTTAACCTGAGTATTGTACACCTCTTATGAAGGGCATGTATAATTTTCCAATTAAGCTGTTTAGACATACGTAAACAGTAAAGCTATTAGGTTGCTTCTTCAGAGCACTGATAATAAAAACATCTGTTCTCAAGTGCCATTCCACATCTTAGGTGTCAACAAACTGAGAACTAAGGGACCACTGTGTGCGTTTTAAAATAGCAATCCTTAGGGAAGTATAAGTGTAAATCTCCTCCCAAAATGTTCAGTGTTACTTAAGGTTACCAGACTAAACTGGAAGTCATGCCTGCCTAGTCACACATTTCTTAGATCTATACAATAAGGCTATATACAAGTCTTTACACCAAGGGTATTCCTAGATGTAGGACTGACCTGAGCTGGAGCCATGATTGGGTTCCTATAAAGCCACATGTCTATGTAATCTTGTGAGAAAATAACCGGCATAATTGTAGTTGACAGTTGGCATAGTTGTTAGTGCAGAGTTTTAATGCAGCAGGGGGTACATATTTAGGGATTGAAGTTGGAGTGAATGTTGCATGTGCAAGATTTGTATAGAGTAGACTTGACAAAGGTTAATCTCCCCACAGCTGAAGTTGAGGAAATCCTTCTTTATATCACTAAAGCGAATTGGCTCAGGCTCAAGGAATACCCTTTTCCTTGTTGAGCTGTTTTTTGTTTGTTTTTTTTAAACTGAATTGACAAAATTTAGAGGGACTTTATCCATTGTCTTCTAGCATCTTGACCCCTACAATAAGCTGACCCTTTGGAAAAAAAACACTAATGTTAGAAATACAAACCTGTATTGATAACAGGAGATTATAACTAATTAGATTATTGGATCCACTTTTCTTATCTTTAGCCCCCCCCTCCCCCCATGTATGCCAGTCTTTTCTGGTGTGCATGCACAGATATCGCCACCCTGGGCTAACCTGCCATCTTCATCCTTTGCATTTCTATGGGGAGCATTTGTCTTCATGCAAACCTCTATCCTGCAAATATTGCAGTACTGCACCGGGAAGGGCCCCTAGTGCCTGTCTGAGGGGAGCTAATGGAAGGAGGAAACAAACCTCCCAAACTGGCTGACAGCCAGGGGGGTGTTCATAATGTAAATATAAAAGTGAGGATTGCTCATTAAAATTAGAATACTCTTCACCCATAAAGCACTTCAGCAAGCTGAATTGGTGTCTTTTAAGATGTGATGCTTGGTGTCACACTGAGAAAAGCAAATACCGTTGGCAATGTTTTTCTCTGAACACTTCTGACTCAAAAAGGATGAGTGCTATAAAAATATATGATTGTTTAAATAATATACATGGTTTTTATATTTTGTTTTGCGGTGGCTTCCTTTTTTGGACTTTTTTTTTTTTCATTTGTAAGTGATGATCTTGATAATTTTAGTATTGACAAGGGTGAAGAGTAGGAAGACTCTGTAAAGTCTAGTTTTAGACAGTGTTTGACCACTTCAATTCCTCATAGATTATGAACGTACTAATGGAACTAACGAAAAGGATTCCAAGCCTCCAGGGAAAAATGAGAGAACTCGAATTCCCAGAGCAGCTACATCTCGAGCAGAAAGAATATGGCCCGGTGGAGTCATTCCATATGTTATTGGTGGCAATTTCACTGGTAAGAGAATTGGTTAATTGTCTAAAAATTTCTGAAAACTGGGTGCTTTGGGAGATTGAGGAGCTTAGACTGAAAGGCTAGTCTTGGTTATAAAGTTTCTGAAGTGTGCAGGCAAACATTGCCACTATACCTTAAAAAAATATATATATTTTTGAAGGGTGGCAGGGAAGAGACCTGAAGTTTGCATGTTTTTGCTTTTACCAGTTTTCATACAGCAACTACTCACTTAATCTGTTCTAACAACGAACATTGTTTTTTTTCATTACATAGTTACATAGTTACATAGCTGAAAAGAGACTTGCGTCCATCAAGTTCAGCCTACCTCACATTTGTTTTTTGCTGTTGATCAAAAAGAAGGCAAAAAAACCCAGTTTGAAGCACAATTTTGCACAAGCTAGGAAAAAAAAATTCCTTCTTGACCCCAGAATGGCAGTCAGTTATCCTTGGATCAAGCAGTTATTACCCTACTTTGAAAGATTATATCCTTGAATATTCTGTTCTTGCAAGTATGCATCTAGTAGCCGTTTGAACATCTGTATGGACTCTGATAAAACCACTTCTTCAGGCAGAGAATTCCACATCCTGATTGTTCTTACAGTAAAAAAAACCTTTCCTTTGTCTAAGGCAAAATCTTCTTTCTTCCTTAAAAACAAATACCAGAGTTCTAAGCCATGTTATATTTGCTAAATCTGTTCTATACTGCAGACAACATGCAATAAAAAAATAAAAAAAAAATTCTAGCAATACCCAAAACAAGGTACCCTGTACAGAAACAAATCCTGCCTAAGCCCTACAGTAAGGAAACTGTGCAACAAATGCTAATGTCAGTCATTGATTATAACCTCCAATCCAGTACCAGCACGATATTGGCATACCGCAATACAAAAATAAAGTGTCTCGATCCTCATTTTCCTAAAGAGCACCGCAATTATGGAATAACCTCAGGGACACAGTCAAATCTTCATTAAATCTAAAATCTTATAAGATCTATGGCAATATACCTCAGGCAATATATTGGTCTAGATGAAAATGCTTGTTCTTGGGTAGAACATTGGCTTAAAAACAGAGTACAAAGAGTTGTCATTTAATGGTAAATTTTCAAGCTGGACAGAGGTGGCGTCCCTCAGGGGTCTGTTCTGGGACCCCTTCTATTAAACATGTTTATAAATGATCTTGAAGACCGCATTGAAAGTCATGTTTCAGTGTTTGCAGATGACACCAAACTTTGTAAAACAATACAATGTGAGCAAGATATTACTTTGCTGCAGAGGGATTTAGATAGACTGGGGGACTGGGCACTCAAATGGCAGATGAAATGTAATGTTGAAAAATGCAAAGTTATGCACTTCGGCGTAAAGAATACACAAGCAACGTATACCCTTAATGGAAGCGAATTAGGGATAACAACACATGAAAAGGACTTGGGAATTGTTATAGACAACAAACTATGCAACAATGTGCAATGTCAATCAGCAGTGGCCAAGGCCAGTAAGGTATTGTCATGCATGAAAAAGGGCATTCATTCTCGGGACAAGAATATAATTTTGCCTCTTTATAAATCACTGGTAAGACCCCATATTGAATATGCTGTGCAATTTTGGGCACCTGTTCTAAAGAAGGATATTATGGCACTAGAAAAAGTGCAGAGGCGGGCTACAAAATTAATAAAAGGAATGGAACATATCGGCTATGAAGAAAGGTTAACAAATTTAAACCTATTTAGTTTAGAAAAACGTCGCCTGAGAGGGGATATGATAACATTATACAAATATATTCGGGGCCAATACAAACCATTGTGTGGAAATCTATTCACAAACCGGACTTTACATAGGACACGAGGCCATGCGTTTAGACTGGAAGAAAGAAGATTTCGTCTAAGGCAAAGGAAAGGTTTTTTTACTGTAAGAACAATCAGGATGTGGAATTCTCTGCCTGAAGAAGTGGTTTTATCAGAGTCCATACAGATGTTCAAAAGGCTACTAGATGCATACTTGCAAGAACAGAATATTCAAGGATATAATCTTTCAATGTAGGGTAATAACTGCTTGATGCAAGGATAAATCTGACTGCCATTCTGGGGTCAAGAAGGAATTTTTTTCCTAGCTTGTTGCAAAATTGTGCTTCAAACTGTTTTTTTTTGCCTTCTTTTGGATCAACAGCAAAAAACAAATGTGAGGGAGGCTGAACTTGATGGACGCAAGTCTCTTTTCAGCTATGTAACTATGTAATATCTATGGCAATAGAATGTACCTGTCATGGTTGAATATATTAAAATGTATGAAAATGAGAGAAATCTCAATGTATCCATCCTGGTAAAATATTTTATAAATTAAATAGGCTTGATTTTTGATTAAGGCAAACCATGCTTTGTAAGCCCATAATACAGCTAATAGTAGCAAGGACTATTTCTGTTTTTTTTATACTTTTCCTAGGTAAAATCTCATTGCACAAACCTTTTGTAGTCCCTGTTTATTCACTGGGACGTACACAGACGCCCCTCCCCCACCCCTTATTGTCTAGGATAATAGGAGCCATTTTGAATGATGTTGGTCAATATAATAGCCACAACATAGGTGTATTTAGTTCTAAAGATGTATTATTCTGCAATACATTTTTTTTATCAAAACCCAAAGAAGTCCACTGTTATTAGAAAATATATGCTTTCATTCTTCATTGATTTGATTTTTTTTTTTTTTTTTCTTCTAGGTATCCAGAGAGCAATGTTTAAACAGGCCATGAGGCACTGGGAGAAACACACATGTGTGACTTTTATTGAGCGATCTGAGGAAGAGAGCTACATTGTGTTTACATATAGGCCTTGCGGGTAAAAAACCCTAAATGTAGAATATTGTCCAGTCTATGTACGAATTAAACTGTTCTTATAATAGATGGGTATCACCAAAAAGAATCTGACTTCAGCTTAAGCAGTTGCATCAGTGTATTAAAAAATAGGCACTTCTTGGAATTTTCATCCCCTTTTCTCTAGAGAAATCTATACTGTGAAGACCGTGAGTAACTGGTGCTAGTGAAAAGCATCATATTGATCACCTACACCAATAAGTGGTGTCCAGGCTTTCTTACATAAACTTTAAGAAACGTGGGAAGAAAAATAGCTCTTGAGTAATTTGTCTAACTTCAGGAATAGAACATTAATTAACCCAGTTTCTAAGTAAGAGCAGAAGTTTGCAGGATGAACACTTATAGCAATAGATTGCACCACCTATATGTCCAAACTTCATTGTAACAAACTTTTTTTTTTACACTTTATTCTCTACTCATTTGGATGACTGTACACACAATAACATTTATGTTAAATCCTAAATGAACCTGGGAACAATTTACCACCTAAAACTATTGTTTTCTTAGATGGCCACACCATACTGAATCCTGAATTATTTTTTGTAGTAATCTTTCAAACAAAGATTTGCCCCTCTTTCAATGTATGACTAAAGGAAGTTCCAAAGACAAAACTTCCTTATTGTCAAATATCTAACTATACTGGTATTAAGCAGCAAAAAGTGACATTTCACTTAGATTGATATAAAAATGCACTAAACTAATAGATTTGTTTGTGAGAAACCTAGGAAAGAAACACCCTGCCCCATGCCCTGGTTTACAGTTGGTTATTTCAGCTATAACCATGATCATGGAGTAAAAATCTGAGGCCTGCTGCCTTCTCTTGTGTGGGGCATAAGGACCCTTTTGATAAGATGAGACCAGTAGAGCCCATTCATCCTGATGCAAAGGAAGCAGGATGTTCTGGAAATCACACAGAGCTTCTTTGACAACTAAATGATGCAATATGCAGCATGCATTTGTAAAGAATATGGAGAGGACCTTGCTTCCAGGATGGCTTTGGTGGGGGAAAGTTTAATGTGTCCTCATCTTCTCGTTGGAACAATGTAATTAGAACAGAGCTGATTTTCAGAAATAATGCAAAAGATCAATTCACCAATTACACGATCACACGTGAGCTTTTCAGGCTTAAAAGAGCACTATAGGGTCAGGAACACAAACATGTTTTCCTGGCCCTATAGGGTTAAAACCACCATCTAGCCACCCAGGTCCCCCCATGCCTCCCTAAAAAATTTAAAATCTTACTTGTATTCAAGTATGGAGCTGCTAGCTCTGGCTCTGTTTCCTTTAGACCTGCCCACTGCCTGCTGAAATCAGCAGAAGTGGTAGCCTGAGCCAATCACAATGCTTCCCCATAGGATTGGCTGAGACTGACAAAGAGGCAGATCAGGGGCAGAGCCAGTGTGATTTAAACACAGCCCTGGCCAATCAGCATCTCCTCATAGAGATGAATTGAATCAATGAATCTCTGAGGAAAGTTCAGTGTCTGCATGCAGAGGGAGGAGACTGAATGTTTGGATGCATTTTAGGCAGCCATGACCCAGGAAGGATCGCTAACAGCTATCTGAGGAGTGGCCAGTAAAGTTATCACTAATGGAAACACTGCTTTTTCTCTGAAAAGACAGTGTTTAAAGCAAAAATCCTGAAGGTAATGATTCTACACACCAGAACACATTCAATAAGCTGTAGTTGTTCTGGTGACTATAGTGTCCCTTTAACCAGTGAAAATGCAGAACAAATTTAAACAAAAAAAGTAAAGCGGATCATGCTGCTATATTAACCACTTAAAACCTCTGTTTTTTTGTTAATTACCTGGTCGCCGGCGATCGCAGTTAGGGAGACTCACCAGCAGGGGGACTGCCTGTAATGACAGTCCCCCTGCTAGCTTGAAATAAAATTAAATTAAAGTAAAATATATGTATATGTGTGTGTGTCTAGGTGTGTGTGTGTGTATGTATATATGTATATATGTGTGTATATATATATATATATATATATATATATATATATATATATATATATATATATATATATATATATATTTTTTTGTTTGTGGTCGGCAATATAGCCGTATATGGAAACATAGCATATGATAACATATCAATATTGAAATTAGTCGGTTGTGGTGTGCCGAAACCGACAGAGGAGTAGGCCTGTAAAAGTGGGCCCACCTTAGAGGGTGTTTATAATAGAGGGAGTGGTGGGTGGGTTGACTCGCCAGACCATTACGGTAATGTGGGAGTGGATTGGCAGCCCTTTTAAAACCAAGCCCCTCCCACAACTACAGGCCAAGCCTTTTAATTTGTGGTCGTGGCAATATAGCCGTATATGGAAACATAGCATATGATAACATATCAATATTGGAATTAGTCGGTTGTGGTGTGCCGAAACCGACAGAGGAGTAGGCCTGTAAAAGTGGGCCCACCTTAGAGGGTGTTTATAATAGAGGGAGTGGTGGGTGGGTTGACTCGCCAGACCATTACGGTAATGTGGGAGTGGATTGGCAGCCCTTTTTAAGGGAAACCAAGCCCCTCCCACAACTACAGGCCAAGCCTTTTAATTTGTGGTCGTGGCAATATAGCCGTATATGGAAACATAGCATATGATAACATATCAATATTGGAATTAGTCGGTTGTGGTGTGCCGAAACCGACAGAGGAGTAGGCCTGTAAAAGTGGGCAAAAATAAATTATCATAAGACGTAATACGTTGACCAAAACTTTATTTAGATAAATCACAGAAAGCTAGTCTTAATTCTTTAACAGGATTGGGTATGTAAAGAGTATAAGCGGAAGATTTCCAGCGTCCCATTGTTTTGATGATGTGCGGAGGAATGTGGTTAGCAGAAGCTGTAGATGCTGCTCCTATTTGGAAAGAATGACCCGAAAATTGACTAGGGTTCAAGCCGAGTCTAGTCAACAGCAGTCTTACATATAGCATAAACTTTACTGTAGTTAGAACGTTACCGTGCAGTTCTAGCAAAGGTTGTAATGGTTGTTTGTGGAGTGATAAAAGATAATTGTCAAAATTTTGTACAGGGCACCATTTGTTATGAGTAGGGTATAAGGGGATCGTAACGGTATGACCTATGGCACTGGTTTTTGAGTGTTTTAGCGTGAGTAGGTAATGGTCGTTTTGTTTCGCTAAGTCCATAATTCTTAGGTAATCAGGGGACGTGATAGTCCTAGTTGTGAATTCGTTGGGACGGAGGAATCCATAAAAAGCAAGATATATGGCTGATTTTATTACCGTGTTTGTCCTGGGCTCAAAAGGAGAGGAATCTAACAAGTTTACTAGTGCATGAAATATGTGGTTATCAATAGGTAGTCGTTTCTCGGGGATATGTGTATCTAATTTCTTAATGCCTCTAAGAACTGTCTTGATTTGATATGAGGACAGGAAACTCGTGGTGTTGGGTTGTTGAATTAGCATGTGGTGTTGAATTCCCGTAAGGTATAGTTTTATAGTGTTAAATGATAGTTTAAGGTTGATGTGGCAAAAAGAAGTGAAACCCAATATTGTTTCTATCGTGAACATATCGTGAATGTGAAATTCAGTGATGAATTTTTTTGAATATGTGAAAAGCTCTGTCGTAAGTGTTTCTAGTGTTTACAGAGAGTGCCATGTGAGAAATGTGACGTGCGTGATTTAACAAAACTTTTAATCCATTATCATGTCTGTGAAAAGTGGGACTGGAGTTGCCCGTCTGGAGGCGGTGGGTAGTGTCGTGAAGAATTCCTGAAAACGAAATCGAGACAAGTGATCAGCACTGATGTTTGTGCACCCTGGAACGTGAATACATGTTAGAAAGAATTGACAAGTGGCTGCTATCCATGTGAGTCGCCTCAATAGCCTCATAATTACCAGGGATGAAGACCGGCCTTTATTGACAATATGGCAAGTAGCCATATTATCAGAATAGCACCACACCGTGTGACCGGACCACTGGCGGCCCCAGGTAACGGCCGCAGCCACGATGGGGTACAATTCGAATAAAGCTGAGGTCTCTGTGAATTTTGTGAGTGATTTGACCTCAGTTGGCCATGGCCCCACGAGCCATATGTCACCCCATATGGCTGCAAACCCCGTGTTTGCTGCAGCGTCTGTCCATATTGTGGGTGAAGTGTCTGAGTGAGATGGTATAAACATGGCACGCCCATTCCAAGAAGTGAGGAAAATCCTCCACATGCTCAAATCGGATGTCGCATGTTTGTCTAGTGAAATGTAAGATGTGTCTGAGGTGAATTGTGGAAATAGTGATAGCAAATGTGAAATAAATGATCTCCCCTGGGGAATGATTCTCATTGCAAAATTAAGCGATCCCAGCAATGATTGTAGGTCTTTCTTAGTGCAACGACCTTGCTGTAGGTAGTGGTCAATACTTGCCAGGATACGCTCAATTTTCTCCTGAGGGAGGCTGGCCTGCATGTGTACTGTGTCTAGTTGTATTCCTAAAAATTGCATCTGGGTGGCGGGCCCCAGGGTCTTGTGTGGGGAGACTGGAACAGAAAGTGACTCAAATAATGCCAACATGTGTTTTAAACTTGTGGGTGGACTTGTGTTGTTCTCAATTGTGAGGAAGTCGTCTAAATAGTGAATCACAGAGGGACATTGGTAAACATTTAGCAACAACCAACATAAAGCCTCTGCAAATGTGTCGAAAATACGCGGGCTGCTCTTAGAGCCAAAAGTGAGACGAGTGAAGAAATAGTATAACCCTTCCCATTTAATGCCGTGAAGGTGCCAAAGTGTAGGGTGCATAGGCAGTAGTTTGAAGGCATTTACTACATCCGTTTTGCTTAACCATGCCCCTGTGCCAGCTTTAATGATAGCCCCGATGGCATGGTCGATAGTGGCGTAATGTAGTGAAAACTCTTCAGATGGTATCAGTGAATTTAGGCTAGGGACCGTGGAGGAATGTGGTGCGGATAAATCAATGATCAGCCTGGGTTTAAGTGAGTTTTTCCCCGTGACAATCCCAATGGGATTGGTTCTCCAAGAATTGAAGGGTGGTGAAAGGAATGGACCCAGCAAAAACCTTGTTTCACCTCGGTTGTGATAAGTTTAAGTACCAGCTGTGGGTCATCCCGTGTGGAAAGTAAGTTGTCACATTCCAGTGTGCCTGTGGGTAAATGTATCAACCCTGTGTGAAATCCTTCTGCTAATCCTGTTATGAGATAGTCGCTGAAGTGTCGTGATGGGTGTAGACGTAGCAAATCGGTGAATAAGCTGAGGTTCACGCATGTGAGATAGGGTTTTGGGAAAGCTTTATTTGGGCACATTGTCTTGGAATGAGCCCTGAAACAATGTGAACAAACATGCATTAGTCTACAGGAACTAAAACCACAATTGCCGGCATTAAAATTGTTACATACTTGGGATTTCCCTAAGAAGACAATATCTCTTCCTAGTTTGTCTTTCAAACCTTTGTTTGATCTTGGGGGGTAAGTTGCTGCTTGGTTTTGTTCTACCTCAGCTGTATTAGGGCAGAAATTTGTGCTGTGGGTTGCTGATGAGCATACTGCACAAGTTGGGGGCCTGAGGCCTGCAAAGTGCCTACAGAATAGCTCAGTGTCCAACTTGCTCCAATTGATGTTTAAGTTGAACTGAGCCAGAGCTGCTGCCACTTTTGCAGAGAAGGAACGGTGGTAATCGTAAAACGCTGTACCACCGTATTTGTGTCCCAGATCCACCAACTTGTGCATGTACGTATCCAGCTCGGCTCTTTTCCCTGGGTATACAGTGCAATATACATCCCTATAGATGCCAAACCCTAATACAAATTCTGGGATGTTCAATTTTTTGTTTAGGCGAGGGTCTCTAGCTCTAAGGACTACGGAAACATCCCCACAAGCAAAGGTCCTGTTCTCAAGGACATCCTGGGAGGCAATGAGCAATGAAGCTAGGTTAACGTCCTTGCCTTCCAGAATGTCTTTTTTAAGGTGAGCTGGGACCATATGTGAAGGATCAGTGGATTCTATGTCAGCCGTAGCTGCCAGGGTATTACCGGGTAAGGTATTAGCAAGAGGCTGAGTGGTGACCGTTGCATTTGTGGACTGAGTAACACTACCGGCCTCCAATTTGTCCAGCCTGTCGCTGATTGTCCCTATGGATGTCATAAGGGACGTCATCATAGCATGAAATGCTGGTATTTGCGATCCGCTAGTGCCTTCCCCTGCATCGGAGTTGTCAGTGGTAGTGTATAATAGCCTATACAACTCTGCCTTCCTAGCTGTAGCCGGGAAAGGGATGCAGCGTCTTCTTAGTTCAGCTGTAAGACGTGGGATGGTCCATGATCTAAGGGATGCAGGGCTATTCACATCTGTACCCGGAACAGGGGTGGCAGGCCTAGCGGGTGTGCTAGGTAGTGACAGTTCTTCAGGGATATCAGGTGTTAGTGACATAACTGAAATTATAAATATAAACAGTCAGTCGTATGAAATGTATTGTGGGTGGGTACTGGTGGGCTAGCTAAGTACCAAGCGGTGAAACAATTAAACTTCTTTTGAGAGTGACAGATGAGACCCTGCTAGTTGCCAAGCGGCTTCAGAGGCACTATCTATGCGTGGGCCCGAGGGGAAGATTGAGGCCACCGAACGTTGTGGCGGGGTGTAGGCCTCTCGGTGTCATTTAAAGCATAAAAAAGATTGGGAGTGACAGGTGAGGCCCTCTCTGTATATTGATGCGAGGCGGCTAGCTATGATTTGGCCCGAGGGACGTATTACCTCAGAGTGTGAGGTTAGGGATGTTGGCCTCGCGGGACCACTAGCCTATGGATTAAGACCAGAAATATTTTAACTAATTGGGACACCTAACCTAGGACCAGTACCCCTCAATTTTTTTAGGGTATATTGGGTTCTGGCGTAGTACCTGATAGTGAGTCAGGCTGATCTCTCAATGACGTAACTGTGATATTTGTTGGGTAGTTTGACCTGTAGGTATAAGATGATAAGTAAATATCTGGAAAGTGGGGTGGTAGTTAGGCCAGATCGTGGACCAGAACCTACCCGATAACTGCGGAGGAGATATAATCAAAAGAAACCGGCTCCTTGCTTGTAAAAGCTAGGAGAGTAAATTATAACATTTTACCTAAAATCATATGTTTATATGGTCATTTATATGAATCATATGACAATGTTACCAACCTATAAAGTATAATTGATACCGATCACTGGGTCCCCAAATTTTAATATGAATTCTGGTAAGGTAACCTGTTGGAAGATGTCAGAAATCAGGATTGAATTAAGTGTAGCATAATTTAATACATTTTAATTTGTATTTTTTTTTTTTTGTATTTATTTTGGTGCTATATCATTATTGACCTGTAGGGGGCGAGATTCCACCTAAGAAGTGGATGCAGGATCTTGTATAATTAGTGAGAAATGCACGAATTTGAGTCGAATGTGATGATAGTATATAATGACTATTTTGTATAGTAGAAATCCTAAGGATCTAGCCGAATGTAGCGTTCGTATGAAATTTAAAACATGAATTACATAGCTTAGCGGCGAAGTGTATTTAGGCGAAAATAACCGAATGCGTTTGAATGCGAATGGGGCTCCGCCGTGTAAGCCGTAAATGTGAAGCGGTTTGCTTTACGGCGGGCCCACTTACGGTTTTTTGGCGGCAGCAGTACCGGGGAAGCTGTGCAGTCGGCGGTGACGGCGGGAAAAGCGCCCTGGAGAGCCCGGAACCACTCAGGAGGGCACCGGACCAGGAGACCACGAGGAAACAGGTAAGAGAAATCCAAAATGGCGGTCTGAACCGGAAGTAACGTTTCAGACTCGCCAGACCATTACGGTAATGTGGGAGTGGATTGGCAGCCCTTTTAAAGGGAAACCAAGCCCCTCCCACAACTACAGGCCAAGCCTTTTAATATACTAAAAAAAGTAAAGTTAAAAAATATATAGATGTGTTATTTCGTTCTAACTGTATTGTGATATTAATATATTTACATCAAAATACATGTAGAATGAAATAATATATATACATAAATATATATTAAAAAAAATTATATATACATACATGGGTGTATATCTATAAATTAAATATATGTAGAATTAATATATAAAAATATTCAAAAAATTATATATACGTGTGTATGTATGTGTGTGTAATATATATATATTATAATTACATAAATATATGTAGAATTAATATATAAAAATATTTAAAAAAAATTATATATACACGTGTGTGTGTGTGTGTGTGTGTGTATATAATAATTTTACATAATTAGGTATTTTAATTAATTACAATTAACGGGAACTGCCTGACATCCCATGCCAAAAGTATAGGGAATTTAATTTGCTAGCACTATATTTAACCCTATAACTTTCCAAGACACCATAAAACCTGTACATGAGGGGTACTGTTCTACTCGGGAGACTTCGCTGAACACAAATATTAGTGTTTCAAAACAGTAACATTTATTACAACGATGATATCGCCAGTAAAAGTGACGTTTCTTTGCATTTTCCACGCACAAACAGCACTTACACAGACAATATTATTGCTGTGATACTTTTTACTGTTTTGAAACACAAATATTTGTGTTCAGCGAAGTCTCTTGAGTACAACAGTACCACTCATGTACAAGTTTTATGGTGTTTTCAAAAGTTACAGCGTCAAATATAAGGCTTGTTTCATTTTTTCTTTTCACATTAAAATTTGCCAGATTGGTTACGTTGCTTTTGAGACCCTATGGTAGCCCAAGAATGAAAATTACCTTTATGATGGCATACCATTTGCAATAGTAGACAACCCAAGGTATTGCTAATGGGGGTATGTCCAGTCTTTTTTAGTAGTCACTAACACTGGCCAAAATTGGTGTTTTTTGCAATTTTCACACACAAACAAATACTAATGCTAACTTTGGCCAGTGTTTGTGACCAAATGGCTACTAAAAAAGACTGGACATACCCCATTTGCAATACCTTGGGTTGTCTACTATTGCAAATGGTATGCCATTATGGGTGTAAATTTCATTCCTGGGCTACTATACAGTATCAAAGGCAACGTAACCAATCTGTCAAATTTCAATTTCAAATGTAACGTACTATATTTGACTCTGTAACTTCCCAAAACACCATAAAACCTGTGCATAGGGGGTACTGTTTTACACGTGAGACTTTGCTGAATACAAATGTGTATTTTATTGCAGTAAAAGCAAGCAATATTATGACATTGACAGTTAAAATGTCATGTAGAACTAAAAAAAAAAAATCTTATTTTCTCCCATTTTTTTTCATATTAAATTATGTTTCATAGCTAAATATTTGATATTAGCTATGCCCCCACCCTCAGGGTCCCCCTCCCACCGCGCTCTAGGGGGTGGAAGGGGTTAAACTTACCTCTTTCTCCAGCACCGGGCAGGGAGCTCTCTGCCTCCTTTCCTCCCTCTTCTCCTCCCTCTTCGGCTGAATGCGCAGGAGCTGCGCGTGCGCATTCAGCCAGTCCATAGGAAAGCATTCATAATGCTTTCCTATGGACGCTAGCGTCTTCTCACTGTGATTTTCAGTGAGAAATGCGGATGCCCTCTAGCGGCTGTCAATGAGACAGCCACTAGAGGCTGGATTAACCCTAACATAAACCTAGCAGTTTCTCTGAAACTATGTTTTATAGAAAAAAGGGTTAACCCTAGATGGGACCAGGCACTCAGACCACCTCATTAAGCTGAAGTGGTCTGGGTGCCTATAGTTGTCCTTTAAATGAAAGCCCTGTTTCCCCTGAATAAAATGACACATAATAAAGGGTGGGTGCATTTAATATGAAAGAGGTGAATTACGGTTGGACAGACATGTAGCGCAAATGCCAGGTTTTGTTTACGTTTTGTTCACAACGTGTACATTTGGCTCTGTCATTAAGGGGTTAAATGCTGAATAAATAGAACTCTCTAATCTATAGAGGAAATTGGGAAGCTTTCTTTACTGCAACTATACAAATAGAAATCCAGTTGGTAAACAACCCAACAAAAAGGCGGAAAGAAAACATGCTGTACAACAAGAGTGCAAGTAGTAGAACAATTTAATAATCCATAAAAAGATTGCACACTAACCCAAATAAACAAAAACAGGAAGTTGCCCTTATGTATTTCATGTTTGGATTAATCTTACTCATAGACTACTAGACTGAATAAGTGCCACATTAAGCACAAAATGCCTTGGGTGCCTCTCCTGTTTTGTCTTCCGCATAATGTGGCAAGAAAAATATTCAATAACATACATGGCATAGTTTCCAGTTTTTTGTTTTTCTCTTTTTGTTGGATTTGATTTCAATCTGTAAAAAATGCAGAACAAACACCATAACCATATTGATGGTTAATGATTGTACTACTTTTTGGATAAATGTAGTCTGCAGAAAAATAATATAACATAAATTAAATAAAGCATCCATAGGTGAAGCAACCTTGTTAAGAAATTAATTTAAAAACTTAGAACTGTGTGTTTCAAAAAACTATCCATTCTGACCACATCACATAACTGATTTTTGTCAGATTTAATTATACATGACATTGTCACATAGCAAAAGTTATATTTTTAGTCAAAACACAATGCAGTTTTCTCAGAATATTTGTTGCTATGATACGATAGAAATCTGGTGTAACAGATGTGACGTGATGAATCAGTCTATTAATAACTGTAACTATTTCACTACGTCAGGGTGTACCTACGATTTGCGGTAGTTCATGTCGTGTGTTGCGCCCGCTCCCTCTCTCCCCCTAGACTTCTTTAAATTTTGAAAAGTGTAAATGGTAGAAGGCTTCCACAAAAATAATCTTCATTTAATCAACAGGTGCTGTTCCTATGTTGGAAGAAGAGGGAATGGACCTCAAGCAATATCAATTGGCAAAAACTGTGATAAGTTTGGGATAGTTGTTCATGAGCTGGGCCATGTCATTGGCTTTTGGCATGAGCACACGCGGCCAGATCGAGATGATCATGTTACAATCATCAGAGAGAACATTCAACCAGGTACGCAAAGAAAAATATATTTTATTTTTCCTTCCCCTCTAAAGATGTGAAAGGGATGCGTTTTTGTGCCCCCTTGTTTTGCAAACTACCTGATATGCAAAGTATCAATACCATTCTCCAGATATTTGAGTTTTTGGTTTTTCCTTACTTTTTCTTTCTATCTAGGTCAGGAATATAACTTTTTAAAAATGGAACCAGGAGAAGTAAACTCACTTGGAGAGTCCTATGACTTTGAGAGCATCATGCACTATGCAAGGAACACCTTCTCAAGGTTGGAATCTCAGGTTATAATTTTTGACTTCATTTTTTTCCCAGAGTAACACCTTATAACAACTCTAATACAGGGCAGATAAGTCAGCCAGACTCACTTACTGTATAACATGGCACCTTTTCCACATCAAACTTCACCGAAGGGAAAAGTAAAGGCAAATGAAGAAACTGTAAGAGGCTTGTGGCATCCCTTATTTGTGAAATCTACTACTTAACCAAAATACTGAATGATGCTCAGATTGCTGGCGCACACTGTAAAAGGTTAAGGGGAACTGCCAATTCTCTGGATTTTTACTACTAGGTTTACTTTTTTTTCCTATATATATCAAATATGAATGTTTGTGTGAGGTGGTGGGAACACTAAATGTAAACTTTATCCTGGCAACAAGGTTCCTCCAACTTGACTTCATGTAAATCATTTTAAGCTGTGTCCTATGCACCTATGTTTTATTGACAAATCTACAATGAAGAGGAAAAGTAGAATTTATTTTGCAAATGTATTTATTTTTTTTCTCCTCGTTGGCAATGTGCAATACAATTCAGGCCAGGCAATGCCAGGACACCATGTTTATTGCCAAGTTGTTCATATAAAATTAAAAGAAAATGGCATATCCATGAAAAGGTTAACAATTGTTTATAGGTGATTTTTCAATATTGTATTTTGTAATATCCAAAGTGACATTCAGGAGACAGATGTTTTATTGTAGGACAGTTCTTTAGGTCAAAGTACAGTTCTACTGTCTACATGAAGATCTGCATTATAGTGTATTTTGTAATACATGCAGCCGCTTTCAGTGCCAGAAACAGATCTTCTGACCTTTTTGGCTCCTCTTAATTCAGTCCAATAAGCATTTTTTTTTTTTTTTTCTAGAACACATATAAGCCAAGACTAGCTTTTAGGAGTGCTAAACCTTTTGCTGTTCTGCAGTATTTATTTATCCCCCCTTCCTTTGGTATGTGAATGCCCTCGTTAATCTATTTAGGAGCAAGTTTTGACAAATCCCATGTTGTGCAGTTCTGATTTAGTGTCTCTGAATGTATTGATTGATTTTTAGTTTTGATTTTGTGTGGAGGGAAATTAGTTGTATTTGTTTGTATAGCTTTATACTTGGCAGGATGTTAGCTGTTTTGAGCTTTAATTTTAATGATGCATAACTTTGCAGTCTGTTCACCTTAAAGGGACACTATTGATTCCAAAACAACTTTAGATTGAATGAAGCAGTTTAGGTATATAGATCATGGCCCCTGTAGTGTCACTGCTCAATTCTCTGCTATTTAGGAGTTAAATCACTTTGTTCAGCACTTGTCACACCTCCCTACATGTGACTTGTACAACCTTCCTAAACACTTCCTGTAAGGCTAATATTTAGACTTAATTTATTGCATTTTGTTTAAATGGTCATTTATTATCTTATGCTTTATTAATAGCTTGCAGGAGGCTTCTGTGTGTGATTAAAGTTCAATTTGCAAAGTGGGAGAGAACTTGCTTTAGAAGGTTTTAACATCTGATTGAAAATGAAACCATTTGGTTTTTCATGCAGGCTGTGTGAGTCCCCGCCAAGGGAGGTGTGGGCAGGGCTGCGTGGCCAGAAACAAAAGTGATTTATCTCCAAAATGGCAAAGAATTGAGCAGAGACAATTCATGGGGCATGATCAATACCAGGGGTTTTAAATAACATTTTTGGGTAGTGTATATAATGTTAGCATTTTAATATAGCTGTGTTTGTAATATTTGCATTTACGATCAGTGGTGTGATTGTATGCAGTGTTGAATTTTTAAATGGGGATGTACATTTGTGTGTGTGTGTGTGTGTGTATTTATCTGTTTATATAATTTTGGAGTTTAAGTTCAAGGGTATTTTTTGTATGTCATGTTTTTTTGCGGGGGTGTCTATACCGAGATGCCCAAGCACTTAGAGCCCCCCGATGGCTATCGTTGAACCGGGCCCCTGTTCAGTGATACCCATCGGGTGGACCTAAGTGCTTGGGACACCTGATGGGTAAATCATGGAAGAGCCCCAGTTTTAGTCTGTTCTGCAGAACACCAATTGGGAAACTCTGATCTATACACAAACTGCTTCATTAACTAAAGTTGTTTTGATGGGTATAGTGTAACTAAGTTATATTCTGTTATGTTTATACTCCCCATAATGACACACTATAAACCTAAAGATGTATTGCTGATTAGACACAATTCTTCTGCTATCATAAACTTTCATATGCATACTTTTTTTTTTTTTTTAGATGTAATCTTGAATGTATCTTTAAAATGTGTTTATTTTTATAACTTTTCATAGAAAACCTAAACTGAGTACAATAGCCAATCTAATGGTCAGATTTTAACAAGCTTAATTGTTTATTTGGTTTGTTACTTTGATGCATGCCATACTTGCATAAAGCCACAAAGAAAATTATCAAGCATACACTATGGGGAAGTGTTGTTGTGTTTTTTTTTTGTTTTTTTTTTTTTATAAATGGAATGGTGGTAATTTTTACATTTTCTGTAATTCTGATATATATTTGTTAGAGGATTCAAGACAGAAGAAATATAAAATTAACTGTATTAACCTAATGTTCCCTACTGGGTTCCACTTCATGAATATTAGATCCACATATAATTGCTACTCCCCACTAGAATAACAAATGATAAAAGGCCAATTAGGAACCATTGCTTTTTACTAATGATCAGCTTTGTGGAATTGACCTTTCTTGCAGAAAGTAGACTGCTGGATATATTTTCAAAAGTGTTTTTGAAGCAAATTGGGTTTTTATGCTTTTTTTTTTCCTCTTTTTCAGATGCAAACACCATACATTTTACATGATTGCAGTGTATTCTAATCACAAATTGTCACATGTCAGCCTGCAAGTTAACTGTGAATTAGTAACTCAAGCACATATCCCCCGCATTGCTCTTCCTCTTGAGCTTGTGCTTTTTAAAATTGTTTTCCTTTTTACTTATATCCCCACCTGTTAATGTTTGTTAAAGAAAAGTCCAATTTGCAGTTGTCCCCACTTTAAAATTTGTAAACATTTTGTCACAAATACAAATACGAATATGCAATTAACTATTGAATATATATTCTATTATTCCCCTCTCTCAAAACCCATCAAGACTTGATAAAGGCTCCAAGAGGAGCCGAAACGTTTTCTCCACTTCCTTTTATTTTTTTATATTTTTATTTCTTTTTTTTAAATAAAGCTTGCCTTTTAGAAGACACGTCAGGTGTGCTTGCCTTTTAGAAGACACGTCATGTGTGCCTGGATATTTCTTTTCTTCCATTGGGTGTTAAAAAATGATCCTGGGGAAAAAAGACAACTGTTGCTGTTTGAGTAAAGAATTGATATGGAAAGAAAATCAAAACTAGTTGTTTTTTGTTTTGTTTTTTGTGAATATGTGTAATAGAACTGATTCTCTCTTATGTTTGGATTTAGGGGTATGTTTCTGGATACTATTCTGCCTTCCCGTGATGAGAATGGCTTGCGTCCTCCTATTGGCCAACGAACCAGATTAAGTAATGGGGATATCGCACAGGCAAGAAAACTGTACAGATGTCCAGGTATAATAAAAGCAATAAGACTAAACAAGAAGATTATATTTGGAGCTTGTACAATTAACTCTGCCAGAGTTCAAAAGTCAATGCATAGTCAGCCAAACAATCAGGATCTTGTATTGAAATAAAGCTGATAACTCAAAAGTAACCTGGGGTAAGGACTATTGGAAAAGAACATGATTCTGCAGGAGAAGGCTGACATCTATAATCCATTAAATCGTATCAAAATGAAACCTCCTGGCATTGCTATTTTGCTTTACGTCCAGAGTAAATAAGTATGAATAACCTTACTTCTGTTTCAAATGAGTAGGTTGGTTAGGTGGCTATGTGCAGTAATTTGAAGTAAAGAACTAAGAAGGCCTCTTCTCTTTTTTTTTTTTTTTTAAATACTCCTGCAAGAAGGCCTACATTTAAGGTAACAGGGTGTGTAGTAAGCTAATAACCAGTAAGAAATGCTAGGCTAGAGTCTCTTTAATATTACGATTACAGTATTATAACGATAAAAAAAAAAATCTGGTCGTAAGCTCTGTTGCATGGACATGCCTTTCATCTTATTCCATTATACAGGTCTGACTTCTCCTCTGTTTGGATGCTGCAGTTAAACATCTGGCTTCAGGGCATACATGCCAATGTGTTGTGGGTAGCTCATATTGGTGTGTGATACCACCCACTGGACTATTTTCATATCCTAATACCGTTTAAAGAAATCAACTCATGCTGTACAGAATGGTTTCTCTTGCATGGACAGCTAGATTCTTAAATATACTGTTGTAGAGTATCTACAAATCTCAATCCATTAAAGCTTCCTCAATAGCTCTTCATTATTTTGCAGCTGTCTGTGTTTATTTGCATATTTAATATAGCATACAAACAACATTGTTTATTGTTTCCCTATTGAAACTGGTATACAGTGCCCTCCACTAACATTGGCACCCTTGGTAAATCTGCTCAAAGAAGGCTGTGAAAAATTCCTTGTATTCCGGACACTATAGTGTTAACACTATTTAGGCTTCAGCATCCCCCCTCCCCCATCAAAAAGGCTTTAAACTTGTCAATTCTGATCTCCACCAAGGAGACGTGGCAGAGGCAAATGCCATCCTGGCCAATCTGCACAGAGATGTATTGAATCCATGCATCTCTATTGGGGCAAGATGTATTGAATCAGTGCATCTCTATGGGGCAAGTTCAGAGTCTCCGTTGTGCAACACTGATCCAAGAAGTACCTCTAGTGGCTGTCTGCCACTGGTGGTGTCCCTAGGGAGCAATATAAACAATGCCTTCTCTTTGAAAAGACAGTGTTTTAAATTAAAAAAGCATGCAGGGACTGATTATACTCACCAAAGCATCTACATCAAGCTGTAGTTGTTCTGGAGACTAGTGTCCCTTTTAACCTTTTTATATTTTGATTTAAAAAAAAAAAAAAAATACATGCAAATGCTATGCTTTCATGGACATCAAACAAGTGTACATAGTTTGTTATGCTAATTTTGTCTGCCATTTGTGAAATCTACAAATAAGCTTTATTCTCATCACAATCCAGGAAGTAGCAAACTCCAGAGCAGGCCTTTGACAAATGATTTATATGAAAAAATACTAAATGTCTATAGTTCAATGCATTTGATACCAACTGACCTAGACTGATGATACCCAGAGTCTCCCCTGAAGACTGTAAATCTAATTTTTTATTTTTTTTTGCATCATAAAATAAATATATTTATTTTGCAGCATGTGGAGAGACCTTACAAGAATCTACGGGCAACTTTTCATCTCCAGGTTTTCCAAATGGTTATCCATCCTACACTCACTGCATATGGAGGGTGTCTGTGACACCAGGGGAAAAGGCAAGTAAAGAATGTTCTGTAAAATATGCTTTTGCCCCTTTTGTTTCAAATGTAGAAATTAACCAATAATGTTTTTCTTGGTGGTAAAAACATTTTAGGCCAGTTGTTCCATTGATGGGGCAGGAGATCACATTTTCTACTTTAGTATTTTGCCATGTGCCAGACTTGCTGTGAGTACATCCTGGCCTGTTGGCACTCGGTAAATTAAATGTTTTCTTTTTGAGGCAGGGTTAACCTCAGTGACAATCTGCCAGGTATATCACCAATCATAACTGAACAATAATGTGCAAACGTTTGTGCTCTGGATTTATAGTGTGTGTGTGTGTGTGTGTGTGTATGTATATGTGTGTGTGTGTATATGTGTGTGTGTATATATATATATATATATATATATATATATATATATATATATATATATATATATATATATATATATATATATATATATAGTGTGTGTGTGTGTATACATTGAAAACAAAATGTTTGTTTTGGCTGGATTCGGCTGAAAAGTCTAGGACTATATTCAAATTGTTATATTGTCCCATATTTTCCTTTTACCCCAATTGTGTAACCTCATGGATTTATTTGGACTACTTTGAACCCTGCATCATTGTACTTCTATAGCTCACTAAATGGATTTAGATTTGGCACAGGTGACTCATCCATAAAAAGTACATAAAGAACCAATTCAATGTCATAAGCAAGTAAATACTTTATAACACAAAGGTATTTAAATTAAATTACTCTATAACCGGATAGGAGGGGGTTGTGGGGCAGCTTAAACTAACAGGTTACCTAGACTTCCAGGAGCAAAAGGGTGTCTCAATGGAGACCATTATATTTATATAATTACTCCTAACTACCTACCTTTTTAGTATAGAACCGTATTATTCAGCCATATATGCACCTTGGGTGAGACGTTGTCTGAGTACAGAAGCTAGGAAGACTATATACATGGTGTATGGCTTAAGGATCTAGTCCTATTCTAAAGGGGTGTTGGTTCCCTGAAGTGGTCTGGGTGCCTTAAAGTGTCACTTTAAAAACAAAATGTACTGCATGCACACATCAGAGCGATTTTCATACATGTGTCCTTTTACAGCTCTGTATAGAGGCCCCTCAAGGGAACACTGCTTATTCTGAAAATCTGTGTATCTAGTCTTCTTATGTTGCAGTTTTTGTTTTTTTGCAGATTGTGTTAAATTTTACCACTATGGACCTTTACAAGAGCAGTCTGTGCTGGTATGACTATATTGAAGTAAGGGATGGATATTGGAGAAAATCACCACTTCTAGGTAATTTGTGTGTGTGTTTTTTTTTTTTGTTTTTTTCTCCCAACCCACTATTCATCTTGGAACTATATATTTATTTATGGTGACTGCCTGCATATGACAAACTCATGCACTCCTCTTAAGGCAACATGTTCCATGGCCTTTTTCAGTTGGGTTCATAAAATACCCTTGAGTTTTCATCATTTTGTTCATGATCATGCTTCACTGATAATGCAGTTGAAATTTTCTGGATCGTTATCTGTGATTGTATTCTTGTGGCTTCATACGTATATATCGCTAGCACACTTTTTAGTTAATATGGATTATCATTTTTAAAACTTCCATACACTTCCAGTCATGTAGGTAGGTCCCTTTTCATATAATCTTGGGTAATACACTTTTTTCCTGCAATACCTGAAATAGTTAATGTAGAACTAAAATGACTGACTTACTGCAATGTTAATCTAGAATAAAGTCTCTCAAATTTTATTCAACTTTAATTCAGAGTTTTGAAATGACCTTTGTAGCCATTTAGTTTAAGTCTTTGTTTTGTCATTCCTCAACAACATTCCATGTTTTTCTTAAATTGCCACTGCTTAATTTTTGCAGGTAGATACTGTGGAGATAAACTTCCAGAAGTTCTCACAACAACAGACAGTAGAATGTGGATTGAATTCCGAAGCAGCAGCAACTGGGTCGGAAAAGGATTTGCTGCAGTTTATGAAGGTTAGGAAACAATAGCAAAATGTATACAAAGTAGTAGAAAAAAACTAACAAACGTGATGGCTCTTTGTCCATGATTAAACATAGTGAGCTGCTTAGTTTATTAATTCCATACCCATCTAAAGTGATATGGTATCTTGGCATAATGAGTGGGTTAATATTTGTAAACAAAGTAGTAAGGTATGTACATCTTAACCCATTAATGACCCATGACAGGATTATTTCAGAATGGATGTCCTTCCATTAAGCACCCATGACTAATTCTGTCATGCTATATTTTACCAGCAGGGGACAGTGTTGCTGCTAGTAACAGGGGAACCCCAGGTTTTTTTTTTTAGATATCTTATACTCCTGTTTGCCAGCTGGGGCTTGGGTTGGTGGCCCCTCTCTGGCAAATTAGCTTATTAAATGGGGTGTTAAATTCCCTAATTGTGCAACTTGGTGTAAGCAAGGGATAATTTAAGGAACACTGTAGGGTCAGGTTTACCAACGTGTATTTCTCTCCCTAAATTTTAAACACCATTTAGGTGGCCAGTCCTTTCTTATCTTTATTCGAGGCTACAGGGGCGTTCTGGTTCTGCCCCAATTGGTAAGATAGTCAGAATTGACTCTCAGCCAGTCCAATGCTTTCCCATAGAAAAACATTAGGAGCCTACTGTGCACACACACACAGCAAAACGCCACGCTGTGCCAATCCGTATCTCTTCAGAGATGCATTGAATCAACACACATTGTGCAGTAGTGACCCAGGAAGTACTTCTAGTGGTTTACTGAGTGACTGTCTCTAGGCAGTGTTTACTTTAAAATGCTTGCAGGGACAGGCAGTTGACACTAGAACAACTACATTCAGCAGCGGGTCAAGTTTGCTAAGGGATAGCTAACGCATGTATTGACTTTAACACCTGAAGGGAACCTCCGTTTTTTGTGGTCAATAGGCTGATTTTAAAAGATATAAATGTCGAACACCAAATGCAAGAAATCATTAACTTTAATGGAAAATAGAATTGGTAAGACTTTTTTTTTTTTTTTTTAAACTTCATAATATGTAAGGAGTTTGAAAATATGGCAGACACCCAAAATCTTAATATAGTATATATCTATTCTGAACTTAGTCTGATTTTTAGCTTATTTCTATAAATTGTATGCCTAAATACATGTTTTCTTTGTTAATTTATTTTCTTATTCCACAGCAATTTGTGGTGGTGAAATCCACAAAGATTCTGGTCAGATTCAGTCTCCCAATTATCCTGATGATTATAGGCCATTGAAGGAATGTGTGTGGAAAATAACCGTTGGAGAAAACTACAATGTCGGATTAACGTTTCAGGCATTTGAGGTAATGCCATCTTTACTATCACTCTGGATAAATTATATTGCTTTCATAGATCTCCTAATCCAGACTGGCACGAACAAATTGCCATTGAGAAGCTAACCTCTTGATCTTAATTTTACATGTGGTTAGGCTGTTTCTGTTGCATACATTTTCAAGAGGATTAAACTGGCTTAATCGTATTGGTGCTCTTTTGAATTAAAATGTTTAAAGTACTGACAATGGCCCATTTTTCACAAGTTCTTAATCCCATTACACCAGACAGCAGCAAATGGCTTTAAATAATGGGACCTTTTATTTATTACAAGTAAATTCATAGGTATTTTGCTAAGACGGGCTCCATGTGAAATAGGGAAAACTATAACCAAATTAGTGTATTCTCAAATTTACTTTTGAAAAGCAGGTAATTAAACCTACTACAAATAACTTTGCAAATTGTTGCCAAACTTGATAACCAAGTTAAACTATCACAAATCAGCTTTGCTATCTCAGGGTCTGTGATTTCTTGAGGGGAAGCAGTGTTTGTGCACAGGAGGAGCAGAGCTCAGCACACATGTGAAAATGTTTAAATCCCTTTTTACATGCAAAGTGTAACTCTTTGAAAGGACTCCATGCCAGAGTTAGCCTTGTGTGTTCAGCCTTTCATTGTTGCGTAGATTGGGGTAGTAGTTTCCACATTATCAGTGAGGCTGAAGAGGTAACTGGATGCTGATGACTGCTTTAAAACAGATGGACAAATTGTCCATATGATGGTAGCAACATAAGTTTAGAAAACTGTAACTTTCTTTGAGGACTGTGAAAAAATAAAGGGAGGGGGGGGGTCGAGAAAGGGAAGCATTATATGATGCTTGGAATGCTTTCCCCACCCCCCTTTATTTTTTTCACAGTCCTCACAGTGCATTTCAGCTTGGTTTGGATTTGGTATGACCCAGGTAAACTCTTCAGTCTCCATCAGCAGAAGCCAGATTTCTCTATAGAGTAAAGCACGGCTGATGCAGGACTGTGCTAATTGGCTGAGAATGCTTTGCTCACTCTCAACCAATGGCCATGGTCCTGTTTAGTTCTACAGGGCAATCCAGCTTCCCCAGCTGGAGAAGGCTGATGCGGGGATGGTGCCTGGCAGGGCAATTTTTTCTTTTTTACTTCAGACTGTGCAATGGCACCAGGGAACTAAAGGCACCATAACTACTATCATGGGTTATAGTGATTATTTGGTGCTTGAAGTATTCCTTTTAATGAAACTTAAGAAAAAATGTTTACAAAAAGCTCCCAAACCATGGTTTCATTAAACACACAAGCATTTCAATACTGCTGTCGTAAGTGCAACTTTAGGTGGTGTGATGTACGTGCATTTATCGTGTGTGTGTATGATCAATAGCATTGTCAACATTTGGTACAAGGGAGGGAGAACAGAATAACAAAACCTAAAAGGCAGGGATAAAGTGGAGGAAAAACTGGGTGAACAAATTACTTTTTAATTGTACTGAAAACTTAAGTGAGGTTTAGCCAGTGGATCCTAACATTATTATTTTTTTTTTTTTTTACCCAAATGGGACATTTGTATTGATTATTAAACTATTTTCAGATTGAACGCCATGACAGCTGTGCTTATGATTATTTGGAAGTAAGGGATGGAAGCAGTGAGAATAGTCCACTCATTGGCCATTTTTGTGGCTATGACAAACCAGAAGACATCACATCTACCTCAAACACCCTGTGGATGAAGTTTGTTTCTGATGGAACAGTAAACAAAGCAGGGTTTGCTGCTGACTTTTTAAAGGGTAAGCCTTTTATATGCATTAATATTTGTGAATATTGAATGGAACAGACCTGTCATTTGTGGCACAAATTAATAATGAATCGAAGTATGAGGGCTATATTGCTTTGATTTGACGATTAAAACAATCTATTTGGAAGCCCTGCTTGTTCATAGAGGTAGAGATCTATTAAAATGTTGTACATGTAGTCCTTATGTATTCTTAACGTAACTTAAGTGGTATTTAAATATATAGTATTAATGGTATTTTGTCAATGTGAAAAATACATTGTAAAATAAAATTGAAGTGTTCATTTGAAGGCACATGTGTAGCAAGATACTGCTTTTTTTTCTGATTGTCAATTAATGGAAAGACCTGGGATTAAGGATTCTGTTAATCTCCTTTTTTGTGACATCAGGACAATGTGCAATTCACTTTTAGATAATGTATCCTTCACATGACCTTGAATGGAATTTTAAAGCTTTCTGCAGAAGTGCTTCCTCATATTGTATTTTATCTGTAGCTATAACCTTGCTATTTTTTTCTTTTAAAAAAAATGTCAATTAATTTATTCTTTTTACAGAGGAGGATGAATGTGCCAAACCAGACAATGGCGGATGTGAGCAGCGCTGTGTTAACACTCTGGGAAGTTATAAGTGTTCCTGCGATCCTGGTTATGAGCTGGCACCCGACAAAAAAAGCTGTGAAGGTAGTAGCGCTTATCCCCACTTGTAAAATTGTATAAAATAAGAATTGAAAAATATCACTACTCTTCACCTAATGATTCTGTCTGCTTTGTTTTAGCTGCATGTGGTGGGCTGCTGACTAAACTTAATGGCACCATAACCACTCCAGCCTGGCCCAAAGAGTACCCACCCAACAAAAATTGTGTGTGGCAGGTAGTGGCTCCATCTCAGTACAGGATCTCCATGAAGTTTGAGTTCTTTGAATTGGAAGGCAATGAAGTAAGTAAACGACAAGCTGTCCAACAGATTTATCAATCTAGTAATTTTCTTTTAAACCTGTACAGAATAATGTAAAATGCTGGCAATGCTTCTTTCAAGAAGTATTTTGTTACTAGAGAGAACTTTGGCTGAATTTTTTTTTTTTTTAAATTTTATGTTCATATTTGCTCATCAAACTTAACCTTATTTGGAAGATTAATTTTCAACAGCAATTGCTGTCATCACTTATTTTAATGAAATAGACCCTAGTGTTTGTGAATTACATTCAAATAAAATTGTCCAAAGTATAATGTGTAGTTTTATTTTTTCAGTGTATATTTGTTAATGCAACTCACTTTGATCAGTAGTTGAGTATTCAGGGAAAAACACATACAATATCCAAGTATAAACTTATATAGTTAAGATGTCACTCATGGAAAAGGAATGTAATTTAATTAATTTGGCTGCCTTCTGATGCATTTATGTGGAATGTTCTGAAATTAAAATTAACTAAAATACCAGACTAGGCATGGTAATCTACAAACTAGATCATGCTTTCCCAGCCTGATCAACAGTACAGTAACAGAAGACAAGCGTATTGACGGAAAATTCGCACACAATGGGTTTCTGAAAGATCCTGGCACAAAGTTGCAGAATATTGTTAGGTTTTAAACCCAGAATTGACAGGTCCTCTACATACTAATGTGCTATAGTGTATCTGTATCTTCAGAACGGGCACAACTATTCCTTTTTTTTTCTCCTCTTCAAATAAATAAGATTGTTTCAAATTATGAATGTAAAACATACAGGTGTTCCTCATTCAGTGACCTACCTGTTTTACGATGGCTCGCACTTATGACCAGACGCAAGTGCGAGCCGTCGTGGGGATTCCCTGCACTGGTGCGCATGTCTATGTTCGGGAAAACTTCCCTGAAGGTAGACGAACACACCAGAGCAGGGAATCCCTTAACTCCTCACTTACCTACCTCCTCACTTATGTGTCTGTATTTTTTAAGTTTAAAAAAAGCAAAACCTCCAGCAATAGCTGCTCATAGTGGCTAAAATAAAAATTAATTTTAAATCTCAGGTCTGCTTTAAGGACGAAGTAGTGTCTAGCAAGCTATTAACATAGCTGGAGATAATCATAAATTAAACAAAATTTGCAATAATGGAGGTATAAACATTAGATGACTCTTTACAGAAAGTGTTTAGGAAGGCTGTGCAAATCTCATGCATAAACATTGTGTAAACGTAGACATGCAATTATTAACTGCTAATGCAGTGTATATATACCAATGAGAAAACAAAAACCATATCGATCTTGATAATAGTCTTGCAATACGGTTTTAAATTGGCTTTAACATAACTTGGGGTTAGGCCTCAAATCGCTAGATCATTTGGAGAAAACTGAACAATTAACTGTAAAAACAGGTCATTTTGTATTACATGCTTGTGTTGAAGAAAATATACCCACAATCTGTAGACAAGTTGTGGCGATTGAAGATTACAGAACAATACACATATTTGTTCAGAGTCAATCTTAACTCAATATAAACTAAAGGATTGTCTTTGTTCTGTAATCTAAAATCACTACAACTTGTCTACAGATTTTGGGTAGATTTATTTCAACACAAGCATTTAATACAAAATGGTCTGTTTCTCATATAGAACCCTTAAAAGATATTGTATGTGTTATAAAGCCTAGATCCTATACAATCAATCGAGGAAAACCTGTAGCCTATAAGAGACTTGTTCCAACAGTTTAGAGCAAAACATTTCAATCATTACTTACATTGTTTATGAAGTGTTTAATCCCATGTTCTTTTTAAATTTCCAGGTTTGCAAATACGACTTTGTTGAAGTTCGTAGCGGACTTTCATCTGATTCAAAATTACATGGAAAATATTGTGGAACAGAAGTGCCTGAAGTTATTACCTCCCAATATAACAATATGAGAATCGAATTTAGGTCGGACAACACTGTATCAAAGAAGGGCTTTCGGGCACACTTCTTCTCAGGTATTGTCTTCATGTTGATAAAATATATAAAAATGTGTGCTGTGTTCTATCCATATAAACACTAATTTATCTATCTTCTCAGACACTAGATAGTTTAACGTTACTTTACTCCGACACCAGACTTTCCCTCCTCTGACAGAAACCCTATTTAGGGCCTTTATCAGGAGACCCCATAGCCTACCTGATGCACATCAATTTTTTTAATGATCCCAAAAATCCTCAAAATCTTTATTTTTATTTTTTGGTCTGAGCCTAGTACAAAAAATTGTGTATCCCCAACCCCCCTTACCTCACGTCAAAATATCCAGCAGGACCGGGCCTGCGTGAGCAGTGTGTAATTCCTGCATTACTCCTACAGATATTCAAATGTGCCACCAGGTGTTTTAACTGTAGTCTACTACCTGTATACGCTAGTGGTATGGGTATATTTGCACCACTTTTCAGAGTTCCCAAAAACCATTCATGCACAAAGGACATAATATATAAATATATATATATATATATATATATATATATATATATATATATATATATATATATATATATATATATATATATATATATATATATATATATATACGCGTATAAGTCGACCCGAATATAAGCCGAGGCACCTAATTTTAGCACAAAAAACTGGGAAAACTTATTGACTCGCGTATAAGCCTAGGGTGGGAAATGCAGCAGCTACTGGTAAATTTCTAAATAAAATTACATTATTTACAGTGTGTGTATATAATGAATGCAGTGTTTGTGTGTAGTGTGTGTATATATAATGAATGCAGTGTGTGTATTATATATATATACACACACACACACTATGTGTGTGTGTGTAAACTAGGTGGGGGAGGGCATTTTTATATATATATATATATATATTTATAGATATATTTTTTAATCTTTTAGTTTATTTTATTATTTTAATATTTTATTTTTATTTGTTTCATTTAATTTTTTTGTATACCCCAGCTTGTTACCTATCCAGGGAGGGGGGCCGGGAGCAAGCTGTTACCTTTTGTAGCAGCTCCGTTCAGCTCACAGTGTAAGTCTCGTGGTGTGCGTGCCCCGTGGAGCGGGGGAGCTGATAGGAGCTGCTAATAGGTAAGTAACACCTTTCTCCAGCCCCCAACAGGACCGGCGGTCCTGGTCTGTATTATAGCAATGTAAGTTGCCATAATACAGACAGTGACTCGAGTATAAGCTGAGAGGTGCTTTTTCAGCACAAAAAAGTGCCGAAAAACTCTGCTTATGCTGGAGTATATACGGTAAGTCTTTCTTCCCTCTGACACCACTTCTTGTAGAGGAGTCTGCATGCACACGTCACCCAAATGACCAGAAATAAAAAAGCTTGTGTATTTTATTTTTTATTTTTTTTTCTCTTGCACTGTTCATTGAACTTTAAACACACTTATGAAGCTTCTGCAGCTTCTAGCAGGATATACAAAATTCTAAATTAAACACACTGGAATAAAGGAAGATTAAACCTTTACATTTCTCTTTACATTAGGTGTTTATGAAGCATTTGCCTTGGACTTGCATAGCCTTTCTAAACAAAGTTAACTCCTAACTGGCAGTGAATTGAGCTGTGAGACTGCAGGGGAATGATCCCACTCCAATGGGCTGGAGTGTCCTTTTTAAAGGATACTACTTGGTGTTATCACTGCCATTTTTGTGTGTGTGTGTGTGGTTTTTTTCTGACCAGTAGCACTCCAGTTCAAGTTCATTATATTTCTCAAGATATTTGATGAGCTGAAAGGCTGGCTAAGTCACTAGGGAAGGGTAGATTGCAAGAACTGCAGTGCTAAAGGTAGGATATTACTATTTGAGGTTACTACTAAACACTTTAGTTCCGTCAGACAATGTCCTACCTGGTTGGGGTACAGTGCTTTCAGTCCCTGACTTGATAAGACTGCAGGGAAGAAATGCATGGAGCTAGGGAAGAGATGTCACACTGCCAACTCCACCCTCTAGTTTTAGTGAGTCCACGTTCTTTAGAGATACCTATTTATGGCAGCTGTGTAATCTGGCTATGATGGTTATAAGACCTTTAACACCTAAAATATTCCTAGTTTAAAATGCTGGCCAGTAATATTCCAACCCACCGTTTTTTCTCTATGCAGACTGGAATTACAGAACCGAAACCGAACATAACCTGTATTTTAGGTGAGAGGTGCTGCTTAAGATTTTTCTAATAACCAGAGGCACTTCCACGATCATATAAGAAATTGCATGGATAACTGGTGTCCCAGCATATTCATTCCAAAGCAGTCTGTCATGGTTTTATCTTGCCAGTCTTGTACAGCTCTTAAGTGCTCAAAAAAAGTACAACAAAATGATACTCTAGACTATATATGTACACATACCAGATCTAGTTTCCATGAAGGAATCTAGATAATCTAGTTTAGATTGTGTCCAGGTTTAAAATGTATGCAAGTCCTTTTTGTGGTTTTTGTGTTTTGTGTTTTTTTTTTTTGTTGTCTTGTATTTAGGATTGTAATTAAAGCTTTTATTTAGTAAGTTACATTTAAAATTTAACAATGGGTTTGCCTTCCATTTGAATTTAAACCTTTAACTATTGGACATTAAGAATTGGATGCTTTACATTTTTATTTTTGAAATGTTTAAATTTATTCTATGAGCGGTTTTAGACACTATCTTCCAGATGTGAAATAAATAACAAAGGTAAAGCTTGTGTATCTTGCTATAGTGTGTTTTTTTTTTTTTGTTTTTTTTTTACATTTTATTTTATGATTTTGCAATTATAAACAAAAAAGCATTTAACTGAATCCGTGTTAGCATTTTATGCCTGCATTAGGAGGTTTACAAGGACTTCTTTAAGCTACACTAATATGGTACTCAATATAGATAAACCTAAACACATGAAACGGTCTTTAACAAAGTAAACACCATTGTTTTATGATGTACAACTTTGCTAGGTGACTGAGTTTCTGTGTATCTGTACAATGCATGTAATGTGTTATGGCAAATGTATAGAATTGTAAAAAATGATCGCAAATAACATTTTAATTTTTTTTATAAATCTTCCCACCCTTCAGTAAGGTAGAGAATGTGACCTAACTAATAAATAAATAAAAAATGTAGATTAAAAACTATATACACTCTTTTTAAAAATTTAAACATTCTAATATGACCAGAAGTATTTTTTACAAAGCTGGACCTGGAGTGTAGGAATGTAGGCGGCATGGTTTAAATAAACATCCCCACCAAAAAAATATTTGTAAGCATTTTGTAACTATAAAAGGGCATGTTTTTGCCTCCAGTTTTACCTTTAATATATGTTGCCACCGGAACAATAACGTAAGCATGTGTCTTTCCAGATATATGCTGCTCTGCATTAATCCCTGCTGACAGGATCAGCCCTCCTCAGACAACATACATTGTTGCTGTCAGCAAAGGGGCAGTCAGGCATTGAGGTTTTCAATGTCATCACTGTGAGAGATTTGCTTTGCCATAAGATCAGATGGGCCTCCTTTTATTTTGAATGGTTTTATTTTTTTTTTCCATATAAAAGATGTCCTCTGCATGTTGCATACTGAACGCTCTTCAGAATGAAATTCTATTGAACTTGATAAAAAATAAAGAAAAATGACAAGACCAGAGATAAAATTAGACTAATTTTTTTTTCTTTACGATTACAAATGTATCTGTTTTTATGATTCATTAGTGTAAAAAAAACAAAAAAAACCTTTTTATCTGTTCACTTAGTAGAGATACAATGTCCAAGGAGAACAGATCTAAACTGTTTAAATATTGTCATTGTATGGAAATCTGAGTTCATTGCTGCTGTTATCCTGGTACGTTTGTGTTCACAGACAAGAAAGCTTCCTGCAAAGGAAAAATTTTTATTTTTGAATCTTGCAAGGACTTGATAAAAGGTGATCCATCAGGCCGAGTACGTGTAATTGACAGACTGGTGTCCTCTGTAGGTATCAGAGGTATGACCACCTGTTGCAAGCTAACCGGAGGTGGGAAATGGATCTTTGCTTTCTCTTGGGGCTAGGGACTATTGATCCATTTATAACTGCTTGATGCTCTCCCTGCAACAAATGCTTTTCAACGTGTAGCACAAAACATGTGTAAGCAGAATGCAAAATCCATGGGAATACTGGTGGATACTAACAATGACTGACCTCTAAATCTGCAGGCAGGGTATGGATATGTGCTAAATCGTTTTGGGTGAAGTTTTAGTTCAACAGTTGTCTCCTTTTGATGCATGGATTAACATCATTTTCTAAGACTATGTTGGAGATCTGTGACTTGGTGAATAATTTTATTGTTTTTTTGAAATCCGTAATTATCACTTAAAGGAATATTGTGATGTATAGGATTTTAAGAGCTTCTCGATTCGGAGAACATTTATCCAATCTCTCATTGTCAGCCTTTGTACGCTTTCTCTCTGCTCAGCTGCCCTGGAGTAAGGATCCAGATACTGCCGGTCAATGCGTAAACATTTAAAGTAATTTTATTGTGTTAGGAATGCAAATCTGTATTCCTAACTTTATAGTGCCCTTTGATCCTCCTTCCTGCAAAGAACAGATTAAAAATCCTTTTATTTACTCACCTGATTCCAGCGCCGACCTCACTCTGTGCTGGTCGGCGCTGCGCCTCTTCGTACGTCATCCTACATGAGGAACCTAATGTGCATGTGCCACAAGCACATTAGGCCCTTCCCATAGGAAAACTTTGATTCAATGCTTTCCTATGGAGCTTTCAGTGACGCTGGATGTCCTTATGCAGAGCGTATAGATGTCCAATGTGAGTTAGATGTCCTATAGTCCAATAAAATCCAGAAAGATCCTCTAGTGGCTGTCTGGTAGAGTTTCTCAAAACTAAGTGGGACAGGGACCCTGCACCCACACCACCTCAGTGAGCCGAAGTGGTCTGGGTGCCTATAACTACTGATCTTAAATACAAAAGTTTTTTGCAGCTACTTTGAAATAGCAATTCAAAGGTACAGGGCCAAATACCTCCACTTAACCAAGGGAAATCCTTTTGCCTTCTATTTCTGAATACCTTTTTAATTGTCCTTATATACACCCCTAAAGTTAGTCTCCTCTTTGTGCCATTTGCTCTTGTGTGGTAGAGAGTTATCGGATAGAAGCATACTTTCTAACCTTTGAAACTGGACTGCATATAGTTTAATTCCATACTAGGCCAGTTTCTTTTCCTTTAGCTATCCAGCTTTAAGAGTTACTCCATCCACCATGACCAATCCTGCTTCTAGAACTTGTCATGTTAGTAGGGATATGTGTGTGCAGCATTTTTGCTTGAAAAGCTGCACAACCAGAGATATCACTTTTGTGCCATGGGGCCAACTGCACTCCTAGCACACACAACATAGAGTAGAGTTCTGGGCTGCCAAACCTCAATTCTGTGAAAAAAACTCATCAGCATGCACAATATGCTGGCAACAGACTTAATGAGCTTTTCCCTTGCAGGAAGTGCACCTACATGGGGGAAAGTTCAGTGTCAATTCATTCCTCCTGTCTCCCTTCTTTCAAAGTTATTCTAATTTCATTTTTTTTTTTTTTTTTTAAACTAATTCCCCTCCCACTGTTTACCTCCTCCCTCTCCTATCTGGTTAAGTGTGTGGATGTGCACTGAGCTGGTAACATGGTCCAATCAAAAGCTTCTCTGAGAAGCATTTGATTGAACAATGGAGAGTTGTTTTGTGAATTGTGGAATCCAGGGAGGGGTTGTGGAAAACAGGGAGGGGTATGTCACCCCGGTGCTGGGATCTATAATTATATTTTAAAAAAAAGTTAGTGTAATCTTTTAAAAAGAATGTATGCTTTGGCAGTCAAATGATTATGAAATGTTTTGATTCATAAAATGCTTCTTTTTAAATTACTGTCTGAAAGAAATACTTGAAGGGAGCAAGAGGGCCTTCCATACAATGTTTAGGTCAATTTGAAGTTCTGTTAGGCAATATAGACCTTAACGTGCCCCATTCTAAATTAATTTGGTTTCTTGTTTAGAAATATCTTTTCAAACTGAAAAGAAAGGGGTCTGCCAATGCTATTTCAGATCAGAAATTTTACAAGAATTATTGCAACTTAGACCTTATTAAGAATTTCTGTTCTGCAGCATTTCAGTGAATTTTAGAAATTCCATGGGGAAAAAAAAAACTGCCTCAAGTGCACCAAATACGTAGCAAGTGCACATCATTTTGTGCCTTTTAAAATCAAGCCACAAAATCCTGATTAATAGTCTAAACTCAGGGTATCCACATTTTGTGTAATATTTTTGCCTGTTCTCAAGAACAGACTTTACACAGCAACTTTTGCAAGAGTTGGTTGCAATTATAAGATGGTAGGTTGTTTTGTAGAAAAAGTTTACTTCCCAGGCATTAACCTTTTGAGAAGAGTTGAGTGAATGTTCTGTCATATACTTATTCTGGGGCACATGGTCTAGTGGTTAGAGATGTCGCGAACTGCTCGCCGAACTGTTCGCGAACTGTCCGCCGGCGAACAATAGCGTGTTCGCGTTGGGCGAACATATACGATTTCTGGTCTGCCCCCTATTTGTCATCATTGAGTAAACTTTGACCCGGAACCTCACAGTCAGCAGACACATTCCAGCCAATCAGCAGCAGACCCTCCCTCCTAGGAAGTGTCTGCTGACTGTGAGGCTCCAGGTCAAAGTTTCGTCAATGATGACGAATAGGGGGCGGACCGGAAATCATATATGTTCGCCCAACGCGAACACGCTATTGTTCGGCGGCGGACAGTTCGCGAACAGTTCGGCGACCAGTTCGCGACATCTCTACTAGTGGTGTGTTTCCCAAACCAATTCTCAAGACCCACCAACAGTCCATATTTTGTCAGTATCTCCATTGGAATAAAATGGGGAAAATACTGGATTTAGTGGGGCATGAGAACGGGCTGGTTTGGGAAACACTGGCCTAGTGGTTGAAATCATAAAGGTGGATTATCTAGTGCTTAAATGTATATTGGAAGAAAAGCATTCATAATTACCGGTTGAAATATTTACACAAAACATACTAAGTTTCTGCGAAGTGAAATAAATGACCTTAAATTCAAAATATAATCTCTCATGGGGTTACATAAAAATGACACCACAGCTAATGACAGCAGTTCCAGTATAGTGCTTTTTAACACGATGTAACATAAGAGGAAATTATACTGAATTTACATGCTAAATATCCAGCTTGACTACCTTTTTTTATAACGAATATTTTATAACGAATATATTATGCGTATATTTCTTATATTTTAATATAAATTGAATGGGTGTATTTATGAAGGCTTTTTGCTTAACTTTCTGGTGTTTAAAGTGACCCCACTTGTAACCTTGCTTTGAATTGTATTTAGATTTCAGTGATTCTTTTGGCTATCAATTTGCAAAAAACTAAACATATCTGCATACTCCAAACAAGTGCATTTTACCATTTCAACCTCCTTTTGTTTTAGCTCCTATGCAAGGTTACAGGTGAGGGGCCAAATGCATGTTTTCTTCTGCCTACATTAACACGATTTTCAAGTCCGACTTGCTTTAACCTTTTTTTGAAAACCTACATCATTCTAACTCTTAATTTCTTGATTTACCTTGTCTACAGATAAAGATGAGTGTTCGAAAGACAATGGAGGCTGCCAGCATGAGTGTATAAATACCATAGGTAGCTATGTTTGCCAATGCCGTAATGGATTTGTGCTCCACGAGAACAAACACGACTGCAAAGAAGGTACAGAGGCCACAAAATATTTTCAAGACTAGATGTATTCAGCTGATAAAATATCTGAATGTGGGGTGTGTGCTACGTGAGACTTTTGGATCCATTTCCGTAAAGGCTATTTAATAATCTTTAATAGTCCTTAATCCAAACAACCAAATTAAAACCAATGTGTTGGTGACAAAATTCAGATTTGTACTTTTTTATGTTCTGTTATGTGACGGTGTTCCATTGAAATCACATTAGTTATGTGACTATTCCTTGTTTTCTTCCAGATTTTGTTTTTAACTGTGAAAATGTCACCACACATTTTTGTCAGCACGGTGTACAACGCGTCAGTCATGATCGCCTCTCACAGAAACACCTGAACAGTTCAGCATCGTGCCAAAAATAGTGATGTAGCATATGTTTGATTTCTGTTTCTAAACTTAAAAATATATATATATTTGCAGGACCAGTCTGAGCCCTTCAGCACTGCAGGGTTATTTTAATAAATCCGGAATAGACCAATTACAAACTTCCAGCAAAAATAGCTGAACTGGAAAAATATGACTTTATTTTTCCAGAATGGCCATTTTGAAATAAACTGTGCAGTTACAGCATGAATTTTCCATAATTTATATCTTTGTAAATAAAGCCATTGAATTGTCTGTAATTTGTAAGAATTGTTTGAATTGTAAGATATGTTACATGGAACCTCAATGTTAGTTTATTGTGCACAGAAAACATACCAGGTTTTTATTCATTTTATTTTAAATTTAGTTTGAGCCACAGTCTCACCTGCCCTTTTTTCAATAAGTTTGCTTGTTTAACCTGATCTGTGATTTATCTCTTGCCACCTTCTTAAGTCTCTTTCCACCTTGCGTGCTAATTAGCCATATTTATGAAGGCAGATATTTGTTTCCTATTTTTCCATTTGGTTTTTACTTTAAATTTATTGGAGACAAAATCTTTCCTATACAGAAATGGAACACTTTTATTAATCTTTCTGTGTGTATTTTTTTTTTATTCTGCATGTAAAATGTGTTCTTTTTAATTATGTATCTCTAATTTCACAAAAATTGTCTTCTAAATGCAAGTGTTACATTGTTACAGAACTTCGATTTAACATAACCTCCAGCTCCACTTTACAGTTTCATTTTAAAGAGCAATTCTAGGGAAAATGGTAAACATTGCAAAATGACTAGGAGCCATTTATTGAAACTTTGCCCCAGTATTCTACATAAATAACTCTGTATGGGAAACTGATGCCAAGCCTTACACAGAAAAAAAGTACTCTCTGAAACGTCTCCATTTTATGGTATCCATTTTTTTTTCCATGTATGACAGTCTATGATATCAAATGATAACAGTGTGTGGCTGACTTTTATCTGGTATTTACAGTAGTAAAGACTCTCTAAGCAGTTATCTTGTAATTGGATAGGGTTTAAAGTGAATTTCTCCCTCCTTCAACATTCCCTTCCCCTGCCTTAGCTGCATACTCCCATTAAGGGTGGGATTAAAAGGCTGTTTCTGTAGTGCTAATGGTAGAGATGGTTACTTGGACTACAGTCCAGATAGTGCAGTAGCTAGAGCATCACCTTACATCGAGAGGATAGGCAATGATTTGCCAATTTTGTGCTCCTTTGCGGTGTACACAGTACGGCTGAACATTGCTTAATTGATCTGGACATACATAAAAATGGAGCCATGTGTATGTTTAGGGTGAATTGCATGCTGTTCTGTAAACTACAACAAGGCAGACTTTGTAGTGCACCATAGCAGTTGCACATTTACTGGTATGGTCTTTCTCTTGTAGCTACAGCAGTACATTATTCAAACCTTTTTTATTTTTTTCTAGCCTTATTTTGTATTTATGCTTCAAACAAATCTGCAGCTCTGTCCTTGATACCCTTTTACCAAATCTATAACTATCTTTATAATTTAATGGCAATTAACAGAAAATCTAGGTGATATTAATGTATAAGAACCAGTTAATATATGCACCTACATATGCATTGATGAATGCTTTTTTTTTTTTTTTGACAGCTGAATGTGAACACAGAATTCATAGTCCAAATGGAGTAATCACGAGTCCAAACTGGCCAGACAAATATCCTAGTCGCAAAGAATGCACGTGGGAAATAAGTGCCACCCCAGGCCACAGAGTGAAACTGGTAACTATACACGTATGAGGAAAGACTGTGTGTATCGATTTCACACAATGTGGGAATCAAACACACAGAGGTCAGTATGGTGGTTCCAGATCCACCATGAGGGGCTTGTACCCCAAATATTGTAAAGAAAACAAAAATAATAAATTAGTCTCAAGGGAAAGAGGCTCAAATCTGGTTTTAAAACAGTCAAGGACAATAATGATTACAAATATATACTATAAGGAAATTGGTAAATTAGCACAGAGTAGTAGTAATGGGGGTGACCTAACCTAATCACATATATCCGTTCCAAAGAGGTGCCAAAATTAAAAAAGGTACAATAGATGGAACATATTCAGAGAAGCAAAAAAGGACAATGATAGTGTCTATGTAGAGGGATAAAGTATAAACCATGAGGCAGTTAAGCATAAAGTAAGTTATCCACACCAATAAAGAAATTGGCTGGTGATCGTACACATATCCAAGTCTATGAAAGAGGTAATGGACACTTATAGTTTGAGGACACTGTAAAGGTTAAAGGGTAGAGGGAGGCTCCAGACAAATACTGCAGTGTTAAAATCCCCGTCAACTCCTAAATAAAATACCTTCAAGGGTGTACTATGCTGTCCTTATGAGGCTCCAAAACCCACTTGGCAAAATGACAGAAGTAAGCTGTCTGCTTTTGAATCGGACACCTTGAGAAATCTTATATACTGATTGTATACTAAAACAGGCTCCAAAACAAATAAAGCGAAGCTATACAGCCCTGTCAGCTCCTGAGACAAACACCTTCAAGGGTGTTCTATACGGTCCCTAATAAATGGAGAAACGTCTCTCAAAACATCCCCCAAAGCTAAATAAACTCCGGCCTGAAAGAGTAGAAAATTAAGAAGTGCTAAACATCTAGTGCTACCATAAGTGAGAGAGAACACAAAACAAGGAACCCGACGCGCATTAGGTGCATGGAGTTGCACCTTCGTCAGGGGTGGTAACAATACACCACTCCTTTAATCTAAAAACCTGAATTTGCACATAAAATAGGGGTGCCAAACTTAAATGAATACATTTCTTTAAAATTGAGTGTGCACTACAGTGTACAGAGTTTACTGCCCACTCTCCCTCCTGTAAAACAGAGGCAAAGATAATTTATCATTATGAAGAAGTAGAAGCGCATCAGTTTTCTGTGGTTTGTTTTTTTGTTTACTTTTTGTCCCATTTTCTGCAGTTTTATTTGAGGGGAGAGTTAACTAAACTATTTGAATTGCCAGCTGATCATTTACAATACTTATTTTAGTTTGATGAACAGAGAAGAATTCAGTTTGCGTTTTCAACAGATACAGTTGCAAGAAAAAGTATATGAACCCTTTTGGAATGATATGGATTTCTGCACAAATTGATCATAAAATGTGATCTGTTAATCATCTAAGTCACAATAATAGACCATCACAGTCTGCTTAAACTAATAACACACAAAGAATGAAATGTTGCCATGTTTTTATTGAACACACCATGTAAACATTCACAGTGCAGGTGTAAAAAGTATGTGAACCCTTGGATTTAATAACTGGTTGAACCTCCTTTGGTAGCAATAACGTCAACCAAACGTTTCCTGTAGTTGCAGATTAGACGGTCAGGAGTAATTCTTGACCATTCCTCTTTACAGAACTGTTTCAGTTCAGCAGTATTCTTGGGATGTCTGGTGTGAATCGCCTTCATGAGGTCATGCCACAGCATCTCAATCGGGTTGAGGTCAGGACTCTGACTGGGCCACTTCAGAAGGCGTATTTTCTTCTGTTTAAGCCATTCTGTTGTTGATTTACTTCTATGGGTCATTGTCCTGTTGCAACATCCATCTTCTGTTGAGCTTCAGCTGGTAGACAGATGGCCTTAAGTTCTCCTGCAAAATGTCTTGATAAACTTGGGAATTCATTTTTCCTTCGATGATAGCAATCCGTCCAGGCCCTGACGCAGCAAAGCAGCCCCAAACCATGATGCCCCCACCACCATACTTCACAGTTGGGATGAGGTTTTGATGTTGGTGTGCTGTGCCTTTTTTTCGCCACACATAGTGTTGTGTGTTTCTTCCAAACAACTCAACTTTGGTTTCATCTGTCCACAGAATATTTTGCCAGTACTGCTGTGGAACATCCAGGTGCTCTTGTGCAAACTGTAAACGTGCAGCAATGTTTTGTTTGGACAGCAGTGGCTTCCTCTGTGGTATCCTCCCATGAAATCCATTCTTGTTTAGTGTTTTACGTATTGTAGATTCGCTAACAGGGATGTTAGCATTTGCCAGTGACTTTGTAAGTCTTTAGCTGACACTCTAGGATTCTTCTTCACCTCATTGAGCAGTCTGCACTGTGCTCTTGCAGTCATCTTTACAGGACGGCCACTCCTAGGGAGAGTAGCAGCAGTGCTGAACTTTCTCCATTTATAGACAATTTGTCTTACTGTGGACTGATGAACACCAAGGCTTTTGGAGATATTTTTATAACCCTTTCTAGCTTTTATGTAAGTCAACAATTCTTAATCGTAGGTCTTCTGAGAGCTCTTTTGTGCGAGACATCATTCACATCAGGCAATGCTTCTTGTGAAAAGCAAACCCAGAACTGGTGTGTGTTTTTTATAGGGCAGGGCAGCTGTAACCAACACCTCCAATCTCATCTCATTGATTGGACTCCAGTTGGCTGACATCTCACTCCAATTAGCTCTTGGAGATGTCATTAGTCTAGGGGTTCACATACTTTTTCCACCTGCACTGTGAATGTTTACATGGTGTGTTCAATAAAAACATGGCAACATTTTATTCTTTGTGTGTTATTAGTTTAAGCAGACTGTGATTGTCTATTGTTGTGACTTAGATGATCAGATCACATTTTATGACCAATTTGTGCAGAAATCCATATCATTCCAAAGTGTTCACATACTTTTTCTTGCAACTGTATTTTCCCTTCTAGTTAATTTTTTTAAATCCGCTTGTGCTCTCCCCTCAATACTCAATTGTAATGCACTGTCTTTCATTGCAGACTTTTGGAGAGTTTGAGATTGAGCAACATCAAGAATGTGCTTACGATCACCTGGAGGTGTTTGATGGGGAAACAGACACATCCCCTATCCTGGGACGTTTATGTGGCAACAAGATACCAGAACCAGTGGTTGCCACTGCAAACAAAATGTTTTTGCGTTTTGTCTCTGATGCATCAGTGCAAAGGAAAGGTTTTCAAGCCACGCATTCTACAGGTCAGTATGTGTGATAATTTTGCCTTTCAAGGTGTTTACCAAACAATAGTTGGAAATGTAATTGGATGCTTATTTTTCTTTCGGTTTGTTTTTCTTTTAACTTTTTTCTTATAGCAGATCTTGGCGACCCTGTAGCCACTACAACCATTTCACCTCATTGAATTGGTTATCATGCCTGGAGTTCCCAATCACTCTACCTCCATTCACTATTAAATTTTTTTTAGAGCATTTGAACATTAAATCGCTGTTTCTGGCCATGGCTACCACAGCCTGACCCCTACTGGAGGTATGGCGAACGCATAGATTACACACTTTCGAGCCATACCAATTCATACTAGCTGACACTCTTATCCAATTATAGCTGCTTATTACCGCTCAGGCTTTGACTTCATGAGTTCAAGCAGCACAGAGGGAATGGGTTGCTGAGTACTCTTGTTTAGCATTAAGGATGTATTAACACCAAATGGAAAGTTGGTGCTGTGAGTTTTTAATTTTTTTTTTTTAATTTATTTTTTTTTTTTTGTGAGTGAGTGGGGGTGGTGTCTTCCCATTCAGAGAAACTGTTTTTGCCACCATATTTTCATATATGTAAGTTGGTTAATTCAATATTTTTTTTTTATTGACCACTGTCTATCTGAAGGTTTCCACGTGTACTTTGTCCATGTTATGTGTAAAATCTTTCTTGAAAAAGGTTTGGCATGCATATTGGATAAAGCTTTTTTTCCCCCCCTAAATATCCTAAACAAAATAATGTTTAAAAACAAAAAAAAAAAAACTGGGGATTCAAGATCACAATTTTATAAATATCAGAGACCCAGAGCAGCTCATTATCCCTTATGTGCTGTGGTTGAGGCTTAAAAATTAAACATTTGACCATCTAGTGGCTGCTCAAACATTATATCTTTACCCCATAAGCTTTGGGGTCAGAAGGATTTTAAATAGAAGTCCTCTGTCTAAAAGGTTTTCTAGAAGATTTGCTTTTAATTTTGAATCAGGAGGACTAAACAATTTTGTGTGGTTCTAGTTAAGTGGTATGGATTTTTTTTTCCTCTCCAAAGTTAACAGTAGTACACTCCCTGTAATGTTTAAGGCTGTGTGAGCATTGTGGCCGTTGGTCATTTGACTATATCGTGTCCAAGGTTGTGTAAAAACCTCCTTCCCTATGCCCCCGCATATGTCCAGGGGAATGGGAATAGCCTGGAACTGGCTTGGTGGGATATACTTGATGGGTGTTTAGTGAGGATGGAGGGCACCTCCATACTGGGTTAACAGACACTTAATGGTAATCTTTGGAGTGTAAATGGAAGGGATCTCTCTTCCAAGCCAACTGGAACTTTTGGACTCCCTAAAATCTCCAATGCCCTTTTTGCTTGTTTACCCTATTTGAGGCTGTAGCAATGGACCATTGGCTGTTTCTTCTTAATTTAATTAAGATCCCTGTTTGCAGGATGGAGAGGCGTAGCCCATTATATCTTTAACTTTATACTATATTTTCCATACATCACAAATGTCTATTTAAAGAAAGCATAGTGGATTTATGGGGTTCATCTTCAGCCCTATATTAAGTGCTGGCTTCATACTACTAATGACTCTTTACAGCCTTGATAAAGGTGGCCATCTTGACCATTTTAATTTTAACATAACTTTAATGATGCTTTTCTTTTGAATGCATGACTTACCATATCTCTTTAATGAAACAGAATATATGAAATGTTACTTGATCCTGACTTTTGAATGTGTGCACACTGTTTTTTGCAGGCATCTTAAACTCTCCTCCCCCAGTTTGTCTGAACTTCGTCTTCCAAGATTCTCTGAGCATCTGGGAATTGTAGGTCATCAACATCTGGAGAACTGGAGTTTGAGATGCCTGCTTTTAGTGACACATTTGATGAGATTGAGTTGTGGGGGTGTTGCTGTGTAAACTGTTTGCAAAGATGGGGAGGAGAGGTATGTAAGTACAATATTCAGTTGTAACTCTTTAATTTTTAGAGGATGGTGCTTTTTAATCCCCTGCTGTTAAGCTCTGTTTGACGGTGCCAAAATACACTATTGCAGACTTAAAGTAATTTTATTTTTTGTGCCCATCTGCTCACGATACAATAGGCACATTATACACAAAAACACAGAATAGGCTCTCACTATAGTAAGGTGGTAGGCAGCAGTGAACCAGCAGGTATTCCCAAACCTTGCTAGAACTCAAAACGTAACAGAGAAAAAAATGTTGTAAACCAAAAGATCGTTGAATATAAAGTGTTAAACTATATGCATACACTTAAGGAGGTCCAATAATTTGCTGGTGTATGGTGATCCTTAAATAGTAATAGGCACAATATTTAGTTCTGCTGCTTTGTGTCCAGTTTAGAAGCAAGCAAAACCTGCCTTCTATTTTGCTGATTTCACATTTAAAGGACCACTATAGTGCCCTGAGGGTGCCCGCACCCTCAGGGGCCCCCCTCCCGCCGAGCTCTAGGGGGTGGAAGGGATTAAACTTACCTCTTTATCCAGCGCCGGGCAGGGCACTCTCCTCCTCCTCGGCTGAATGCGCATGCACGGCAGGAGCATTCAGCCAGTCCATAGGAAAGCATTCTCAATGCTTTCCAATGGATGCTGGCGTCTTCTCACTTTGAAAATCACAGTGAGAAGGTCAGAAGCGCCTCTAGTGGCTGTCAATGAGACAGCCACTAGTGGCTGGATTAACCCTATTATAAACATAGCAGTTTCTCTGAAACTATGTTTATAGAAAAAAGGTTAACCCTAGCTGGACCTGGCACCCAGACCACTTCATTAAGCTGAAGTGGTCTGGGTGCCTATAGTGGTCCTTTAAAGCTCTCCCCAGCCAAAATGGTTCCCCCTTCTTGCTTAAAGGAACAGTCCCGTCATATTAACTTCATTATTTTATTTTTTTTAAATGAGTAGTTACTGAATGACTTAGAGTGTCATCTGACCTCTCTAGCCAATCAGCTGCAATCCTGCACAGCGGCACTCTGCTCTTTTTAAAAGAGCAGAGTGCCGCTGGATCCTTCCTGTTGTACCTGGAAATCGGCACTGGAGGCAGCCCTTGGGGTTAAAAAGTTTGAGAACTGTTTAATCCCTTAAGGTTAGAGTGCATCTAGGGGCCTTGTGGCACCATAACTTAACTTAGAAGAAGTTATGGTGACCGGGGTGTTTAACAATTTTGCTGCATTCATGGTCATAGGTTCTGTATGGAAATAAAATGGGAAAAACTGAAAGCACAGAGTTAGATATTTGAAAATCCATTTTGTGTCAATTACTTTTTGTTCTGAACCTCTTTGATGCATCATTCCTTGTTTAAATTTAACCAAGTTTGTTTGTTTGTATGATGGAATACTATTTTGATTGAGTTTGAACCCCCACTCCCTTGCTTCAGTTTTTCTAAATAAGCATGGAATGGATAAAAAAAAAGGAAAAATGAAAGCCATTTATATTTAATGTTAGTGGTCTTTTAGCAGTCTCTAGTGGTGAATTGTGAAATGTAGTTTCATTTTTTGAAATGATCAGTGTGCTGATTCTGTATTTGTGTGGGTTTTTGTTAAGCGATCAAAGAAAACGAGTGGAGGAAAAAAACCAAAAACAATGTTATTGAAATTGGTCACTCAAGGGTTATGTTAAGGAAAACAAACTTGCCAAATTATCACTGGAAAAAAGAACACGAAAAATTGGAAGAGGGAAAAATACTGAACACTACTGTTATTGTTGCTAGTTTTCCTCCTTCTCTTTTCTTTCATATTATTCCCTACAGATTAGTCCGCATTGCATGGGTTTATAATATTGTACATACATCACATCTCCTTTGCACTATTTTGTTGACATGAAATATTTATGTTGGTGGGAATCCATAACATTTTGAAGCATTGGATTTAATAGGGCATGTTATAGCAAGGTGTTCAAGTGACTTAAATTTTAGTCTTATTATTGTACATATTTTAGTTATTATATGGTTTTGCTAACTTTTCCATTTCAGGAGACTGTCAAATTTAGAGACCGTAGTAGTGGGGAAAAGTAGTAAAACACTTTTCTGCTGGGGAAAAAGTGGCAGAAAAAAAATTATCCTTTGCGTCACCATAAATAGTGAAATGACAGCACAAAATGTAACAAATTTTAGCATATTTCTCCAAAAATTCACAAAATAATGGTCTTAAAAGGATACTATAGTCATCAAAACAACTTTAGCTTCATTAAACTGTTTTAGTGTATAGTGCATTCTCGCTGTTTTATTCTCTGCCATTTAGGGGTTATCACTTTTGTTTCTGTTTATACAGCCCTACTTACACCTCCCCTGCCTGTGACTCTGTCTGCATGAAAAAAATGGTTTCATTTTCAATGAGATGTTAACTTGCATTTGACATTTTCATATCCTGCTCTGTATATTGAACTTTAATCATACACCTGCAGGCGGCCAGAAGGTTAACAAACCAGGAGATAAGACATTCTAAATTCAACTAACTGTGCTATTTAGAAAGTGTAAACACTGGATCATTTCATAGGATGGTTTAGGGAAGGTTACGTAAGTCACTTAAGGGGAGATGTGACTAGGGTTGCATAAACGGTGATTAAACTCCTAAATGGCAAAGAATTGAGCTGTGACACTGCAGGTGCATGATCTATACAACAAAACCGCTTCATTAAGATAGTTGTTTTGGTGCCTATAGTGTCCCTTTAAGTGTCAGTGATACTTTGATAAATCTTCCCCAAGTGTGTTAAAAGCAAAGAACAGAACATCTACCTTACAACGGCTAATGTTTTAGTTTTTTCATTTATCCGTATTTGGTAAACATGTTCTTCTCTCAAACCTTTGCTAAACCTTTTTTTACTGTAAATTGAAATTATCCCATACCCTGGAGCTTGCTTAGTAGTTTTCTGCAAGACATTTACATTAAAGGAGAAACTAGCTCCTACTCCGTTTGAAATCTAGAAGTGTTGATACTTGTCAAGCTGGTTCAGTTAAGAGATGAATTAAACTAACCAGCCTTCCAAGTTAACATTACCATTCTAACACAAGCTTATATTACCCATCTTTCTTTGGTAGTAAAAAATGTATTCTAGAACTGATGAATGCATAAACCTACCTAAACCTTGATCTTCATATATATCTTTTTTATTTATTTCCCCAGAGTGTGGCGGCAGATTAAAGACTGAAACAAAACCAAGAGACTTATTTTCTCATGCCCAGTTTGGTGATAACAACTACCCAGTCCAAGCAGATTGTGAGTGGTTGTTGGTGACAGAAAGAGGGTTACATGTGGAGCTTACATTCCAAACATTTGAGGTGGAAGAAGAGGCCGATTGTGGTTATGATTATATTGAGCTTTTTGATGGTTATGACACATCTGCAATAAGGCTAGGGCGTTTCTGTGGGTCGGGGGTAAGTATGCTATTATAGTTTTAAGAACTTTGTCCTGGGCTTTGCCATTAATTTTCTGTTCAATTATGCGAATACCCTTGTGTCTGTTTTTTTTCCCCTCATTCAAAGTACTTGAATAAGAGAGATTCTAACTCTTTATTAAAACTTGATTCTTGAATTAACCATACAATGGCAAAAATAGCTATTCTCCTTTTAGTAATTACCCTTGTAATTGAAGGCAATAACTCCAATAAGTGTGTAAATATGCATTTGAAAGTGGTTTGTGTTTTAAACTTTGAAGCTGAAATTTATTCCAGGTCAGAAAAATAATCACACTAGTTAAAGCAGAATTCAGATAGGGTAGAGCAGTGCTCCTCAACCTTTTCTCACCAAAGCTCTTTCCAGAATATATAATTTTCCAATTAAACCTATGTTAAGCCAGGTGCCCATTATTAAATCACAGTAGGTTTTTGAATTAACAAATACCAGTTTGCCTATTAATATTTCAGTAAGTTTCCCAATTAATAAATACCACAGACACATTGACAAATGCAGACAAGCAGTCACAATGTGTATTGGGCTGTGTCTTCCTACATCTAAGTATTTCTGGCATGGTCTGAGTGTGACAGTGTATATTTTTCTGTGTGAATGTATGTCTCGGTGAGCATGTGCATCTTTTGTGTGTGTGTGTGTGTGTGTGTGTGTGTGTTGGAGGAGGCGGCAGCTTGTGGATTTTCTGCATTGAGTTTCTCAAGCTATGTTTTTATGACTGTGTGTATGAGGACTGTCTGCAGGGGTTGACTGGGTGGGTAAAAAGGTAGCTGAGCAGGGTGGGTTGAGAGGGATGAATGAGACCGGGTAGCAGGTTGAGCGTGACATGGTTGGAGGAGCGAGTGTGACAGGGCAAAAGGAGATTAGTGGGACAGGATTGGGGTGTTAACATGACAGGGAGGTGTGGCTTAGTTGTGACATTGGCAGGGGAGGTAAGCGTGACAAGATTAGGGGACTTAACGTGTTAGGGGGTGAGTGGGCATTGTTGTAGCAGGTGGGTGTGACAGGAATGGGGTGATTAATGTGAGTGGCAGTGTGGAGGGGGAGGGGGTGACAGTGTGGCCAGTAAATCTGTTACTTTTGCATTCAGTACAGGCTTTAGAAAACCTAAAAAGCATTGCCAAAATGCAATAAAATATATTTCCAATAGTAGAGTGAACATAGTTTTAGAAACTTTTTACAAACTTTAAAATGCGAGGCACAACTGAATATATTACATCTCCATTCCAACTGGAGGCTACACTCTTATTATTTATTATCATTTATATAGCTCCAACAGATTCTGTATCGCTTTACAATGTTATAAGAGGGGGATTTAACTATAAATAGGACAATTACAAGAAAACTTACAGGAACGATAGGTTGAAGAGGAACCTGGACCATTTATAGGTATGGGTTAGCACTTTGAATTGACTCCTATGATACAGGTAGCCAATGTAAAGACTGATTTTACTCTCTCACTTCACCCCTCTGTCAGTCTGGCGGCGGCATTCATTAGACTGTAGCGGGGCAATATGGCTTTTGGGAAGACCAGTTAGAGGGTTACAATAATCCATGCTGAAAATTACTAGAGCATGGACAAGCTCCTTGGTAGCATCTTGGATGCGGGCTATGTTTTTAAGATGGAATCTACAGTTTTTGGCAAAACACTGGATGTGAGGCCAGAATAAAGTATGACGCCAAGACTGCACGCTTGCAAGGATGGACTGATGTGGATACCACTATCTTGAAGGGAGCGAAAGGGGAGGATCAGCACTAGGAGGAGGAAAGACGAGCTCTGTTTTAGAGAGACTGAGTTTCATAAAGCAGAAGGACATCCATTCAGAGATGGTAGAAAGGCAAGCAGTGAGAGGTTGCAGGGGAGAGGTCCGGGGAGGAGAGCTACATCTGTCATCAGCGTACAGGTGGTATTGGAATCCAAATGAGGTAATAAGTTTGCCAAGAGAGACCGTAAAAAGAGAAAATAGAAGGGGACCAAGGACCGAGCCATGGGGGACTCCAACAGAGACCAGACGAAGAGAGGAGGTATCATTAGAAAAGGAGACACTGAATGAGCGTTGGGAGAGAAGCGGAAAACCACGAGAGGACAGTGTCACAGACTCTGTGATTGAAGAGTTTGGAGAAGGAGAACATGATCAACGGTGTCAAAAAAGGGGGCATTGATATGGCACGATGGTTAGGGGGAAGGGGACTGGTCGGGGGATTTTTTTTTTCGTGATAGGTACTACAATGGAATGTTTAAGGTCAGAAGGGACAATGCCAGAAGAGAGAGCAGTTGAAGGTGTGTGTGTTAAGGAAGGCACAAGAGGAGAGAGATCTGATAAGGTGAGATGGGCAAGATCAAGCGGGCAAGTGGTGGGGCGAGAGGAAAGGAGAAGCTAGACCACCTATTCAGTAGCCAGGGAGAAGGTCTGAAGGGTAGGAAAGGCATGATGCAGGTGTGGTTAAAGAGAGGGGCAAGGTGGGGAGAATGATTTCCATAGCATGCAAAGCTATCACCTGTAAGGTTAGTCTGAGGGGTGGCCACAGTAGGGCAAAGAGTTAATGGTGTCAGACAGCTGTATTGCATGAGAGGAAAAATGACTGTTTGGCAAGAGCACGGGGCTGCGTTGTATACACATAGTATGCATCTATAATACAGAAAGTCTGACTGGATGCGAGACTTCCTCCATGAGCGTTCATCAGAACGGGAGCATCTTTGCAGGTAGCGTGTTGATTTAGTATGCCATGGTTGGGAGCGTGTCCTCCTTGAGATGCATGTTTGGAGCCTGGCTGCAGTGTCCAAGGCAGAGGTGAGAGTAGTGTTATATGTGGCCCTACACCACCTTTACATTCAGAGTGTCTTGGGTTGTGGGTAAGTTGAAGGCCACCAAAAGATAGAGGCAGAGGGGGAGAGCCATGTTTCTGTTAATGCTAGTAAGTCTAGGGTATAAGAGATAAAGAGGTGATGGACCGCAGTGGATTTTGTAATATTGCAAACAAAGTGTGCATTTCAGAGGGCAGTATTAAAGGAGGATTTAGAGGAAGAGTAAGATGAGATTGGTGTGATTCCTTGAGTTAGTACGTGGTGGGTTTGCCGATGTAGGATCGGGGTTGGAGATGCATCACCTGCTGCTAGGAGCAGAAGGATAGAAAAGAAGTGAAGTTGGGAGTAGGATTTGAAAGTTTTGTAAGAGAGTATGTATATAGAGGATTTAGGGAGAGTTGGTGGAGATAGGCAGGCTGGGAGCAATGAAGATGGTGTCACCAGGGGGAGATGAGCAGAAGAATAGTGATATTTTAGCAATGAGAGAAGCTAGAGTGAAAGTGAAAAATAAAAGGGAGAACATTAGAGAAAATGTTTTGTTGTATAGCTAGTAAGATTATACATATATACACTGCTCAAAAAAAATAAAGGTAACACAAATAACACATCCTAGATCTGAATGAATTAAATATTCTTCTGAAATATTTTGCTCTTTACATAGTTGAATGTGTTGACCACAAAATCAAACAAAAATTAAAAAATGGAAATCAAATCCAGACCTCCATGGGTTGAAAAATTTGGAGTCACACTCAAAATTAAAGTGGAAAAACACACTACAGGCTGATCCAACTTTGATGTAATGTCCTTAAAACAAGTCAAAATGAGGCTCAGTAGTGTGTGTATGTGTGTGTGGCGCGCCTCCACGTGCCTGTATGACCTCCCTACAACGCCTGTGCATGCTCCTGATGAGGTGGCGGATGGTCTCCTGAGGGATCTCCTCCCAGACCTGAACTAAAACATCTGCCAACTCCTGGACAACATGACGGTGGATGGAGTGAGACATGTGCTCAATTGGATTCAGGTCTGGGGAACGGGCGGGCCAGTCCATAGCATCAATGCCTTCGTCTCGCAGGAACTGCTGTTACACTCCAGCCACACGAGGTCTAGCGTTGTCTTTCATTAGGAGGAACCCAGGGCTAAGCACACCAGCATATGGTCTCACAAGGGGTCTGAGGATCTCATCCCGATACCTAATGGCAGTCAGGCTACCTCTGCCGAGCACATGGAGGGCTGTGCAGCCCCCCAAAGAAATGCCACCCCACACCATTACTGACCCACTGCCAAACCGGTCATGCTGGAGGATGTTGCAGGCAGCAGAATGTTCTTCAGTGTCTCCAGACTCTCACATGTGCTCAGTGTGAACCTGCTTTCATCTGTGAAGAGCACAGGGTGCCAGTGGCGAATTTGCCAATCTTTGTGTTCTCTGGCAAATGCCAAACGTCCTGCATGGTGTTGGGCTGTAAGCACAACCCCCACCTGTGGACGTCGGGCCCTTATACCACCCTCATGGAGTCTTTCTGACCGTTTGAGCAGACACATGCACATTTATGGCCTGATGGAGGTCATTTTGCAGGGCTCTGGCAGTGCTCCTTGCACAAAGGCGGAGGTAGCGGTCCTGCTGCTGGGTTGTTGCACTCCTACGGCCTCCTCCACGTCTCCTGGTGTACTGGCCTGTCTCCTGGAAGCGCCTCCATGCTTTGGACACTATGCTGACAGACACAACAAATATTCTTGCCACAGCTTGCATTGGTGTGCCATCCTGGATGAGCTGCACTATCAGAGCCACTGTTGGCTATCCCATTTGCACAACAGCATGTGAAATTGATTGTCACTCAGTATTGCTTCGTAAGTGGACCGTTTGGTTTCACAGAAGTGTGATTGACTTGGAGTTACATTGTGTTATTTAAGTGTTCCCTTTATTTATTTTTTTTGAGCAGTGTACACATATATAATTGGTTGGAGCTCACTGATGGCTACTTTACAGTCTGCAGCTCTCCACCCAGTGTCCTAGCACAGTGCTCTAGCACACTGGTTTTGCAGCCCACTGGTTGTGGAGCAGTGGGTTAGTCTAAAGTGCATGTAACCCAATTGTGTTTTCCCAGTATTTTGCTGATGAGTAGGGATCGTGAAATCGTGTCTTGCTACCATAAACCTCTTCCAATGTAACCCAATCAAGAAGTTTCCAATAAAATTTTGTAGTCGTAATTTGGTTCTTTAAATGGATATTGTTTGTGTCACAATAGAACACTCAATTTATGGCATTGCTATTCTACAAAGTAAAGTAACACTCTTTCTTTGCATTAAAGGACCACTATAATGCCCTGAGGGTGCCCACACCCTCAGGGTCCCCCTCCCGCCAGGCTGGATGGAGAGGAAAGTGTTAAATCTTACCTTTTTTTTTTTTTTTTCCAGTGCCGGGCGGGGAGCTCTCATTCTCCTCTTCGGCTGAATGCGCATGCGCAGCATTCACAATGCTTTCCTATGGACGCTGGCTTCTTCTCACTGTGATTTTCACAGTGAGAAGCACGCAAGCGCCTCTAGCGGCTGTCAAGAGACAGCCAGTGGAGGCTGGATTAACCCATTTATAAACATAGCAGTTTCTCTGAAACTATGTTTATAGAAAAAAGGTTAACCCTTGCTGGACCTGGCACCCAGACCACTTCATTAAGCTGAAGTGGTCTGGGTGCCTATAGTGGTGTTTTAAACTTCTATCTCTTGCATGTCTTCTACTACATGTTTTTAAGCCATTCTAAGTAAAAATGCCTCCTCATTATGGATTTACTGCAACAATAAAAAAAATGCATGTTTAGTATAATATTTCACCTAAAATCAGTCATCTTTTAATCTCTATTTTAGTTTTGCAGGCCGAATGATAAAACACCTGCTTTGAATATGTTCTGTAGTTTTATAGTTTGTATGTTTTGCTTCTAATGTAGTCCATTGTAAAGTACATATTACAAGAACTGGTAGTGTTTTAATGCATAAACATAATCCCTAGAGTGACATTTTCTTTTCACTTACAGCCTCCAGAAGAAATTGTATCAACCGGTGATGCAGTACTGATTCATTTCCATACAGACGACACGATAAGCAAGAAGGGATTTCATATACGATACAAAAGTGTGAAATTTCAAGATATCCTACACACCAAATAACATAAACCTCTGACAAAAAAAACAATTATGTGCACGCAAGATTGACATTTTGGTTTTATGGATTTTTAATGATTTTATTTTGTTTCTTTTTCAAACTTTAATAGTAGACATTTTTATAAGGCAAGTATAAACTAAAGTACCCTGGAATATCAGGAGCAACATAAACAAGAAACAATGATTTCATTAGAGACATTTTTAAAGTAGATACAGAATGACTTTTTTGCTGGAGTCCATGAAAGGCCACTGCATGCTTATAGGAAGAAATGTGCTTTCGTACTTTGCTTGACATTTGTCAAAGTTGGCTGCAGAATCAGTCCGTAACATTCAGTAAAAATCAACGGGAGGACAGCATTACTGCCTGATTGTTTCTCAGAAACAAGAAAAATATAGGCAAGATTGGAAGATATTGCCAGTCACAGACCTGTATGTTTTCAACATTTCTTTGACTTGACTCTTATGCTTCTGCTGTCTGCATATAACCTATAGACAACATTTAGGATGTTCTGTAGAATTCAGGATTCCTCCATTTATTTGCATAATGATTCTAAGAAACTGGAATATTAAAGCCCTGGTCTTTCTTTATACAGATGTCTGTTTTACATTCTATAAACAGCCCTTCTGTTCCTTCCATTGTAAGCATCATTTAGAAGAATGTAACAGTTTTATTGTTTGAGCATTCTATTTGTGTGACTACTAAGAAAGGTTTTCACTTTGCTGGTCTAATGCCATATGTTATGCACTGTTCCCTTTGTACCAAACCTAATCAGGGACCTAAGTGAGTTGTGTTGTGTGGTTTTTTTGTTTTGTTTTTTTTTGTTTTTTTTAAATCTACTACTTTATCTAATTAGTGATGAGGGAGGAAGGTGAATTTTAGAATGACCCCTCAAATTTGTTAAACTTTGATTTTTCACTTCAGTAACAAGAAGGCTGCTATATTGTCTATTTTGGGATTCTTTTTCCTTCTGACAAAAGATTCTGTAGTGTTCATATGCCTATAGAGATTGTCTGTTTGAAGTTGATGGAAGGAGACTACCTTTATATCGTGGACTGTTTAGTATATACTTTGTTATTGGAAGAAATCTCCAATGGTGCTATTCCTCAAGCATAAAAACTAAGACAAAATTATTAGATAAACAAAACCACAAAGAGAAACTAAGAAATTATTGAGCCAACAATCTACAAAACATGAATGTCTTACTATGCCTGGCTGCATCTGAATGCTTAAGACTTATTACGTGTATGTAAAGATCATTGCAATTGCAGCCCTATGTCCTGTGGAACAACTTTTGCCTTAGAATTATTGCACATGATCGAACGGATCGTATTGTAGATAAATCTGTAATTTGATACAGTATAATTTTAAGTCGTTAAATCATGTATGTTACGAAGGAAATGGTAAACAAAAGCTTATAGCTTCTCGTGTACATATGACTCTTTCAGTGTAAGATTATATTGTATGTTTAAATGGTTATGATGTACTTTAGGCCCATACAGATATAGTGATGTATATGCTAATGTCTGTTTGAATGTACATGTTCCATAAGTGTGAAATACCCTGTATGGTTGACTAGTTAAACTGTTACTTTGTGCCAAATTACTTGGATTCCTTTTTGACAATAGCAGCTTTTAAAGTTGTTAAATGCAGAAAATGGGATATTTAACATTACTGGAAATTAAATTCAAATGAGTTGTTTTGATTGTTTGTAGGTTGCTATGTACATTGGTATCAGGTCTTATCTTCCAAAATTCACTGGCACTACATTTTTTATTTAATTTTTTTTTTAATTAAAATTGTTCTTTTAAAGTGTATTAAAAATGTAGTAAGGGTGACTTTTTTTTAATTTTTTTATTTTACATTTTTTTTTTTCATTTGGCTAAATGTATAGTTTCTTGGATTTTAGATAAACTTTAGTACAAAGTTATTTGAACCATTAAAAAAAAATTTTAAAAAAAAATCATTATGTATCTGACCAGATACCTCAGCCATACGCATGCACATTGAGTTGGTCTTTGTCTTCCCCAGTGGCAGTGCATGGGCATACAGCCAAGCAATCAAACACAACATGCAAACACACCCCTGAATTAAAATGCTGTAGTTGTATACAAACACACCCCTTCACTCAAGCACCAATACTACTCACAAATGTACATCCTCATTTAAAGCACACTCCTTCACACAAATGCAAACATCACATACAAACACACCCCTGTATTAAAATGGTAAAACTCTATACAGACACCAACTCTACACTGAAAACCACACCTGCGTTTAAAACACTAACACTACACACTAATACACTACTGCATTCCAATGGAAATATTACATACAAATACCATGCTTGCATTCAAATACGCATCCACTGCTCACAAATACAATCCTGCAAGGATGGTCGTGGTTGATTCCCCAGCTGGCATAGCATCGTTGTATGACAGAGGGGAATCTGTCTCTTTACCACTTTTGCCCCAGAGGGGCCCACATTTATTTTATTTTTTTTCCTTGCACCAGAGCCCTCTCTACATTGGTTCAGACACTGGTCTACCCTGCTTAATTTCTTGCACAGAATCAGGGAAGACCCCATAAACTGTCTTCTGTTGGTTTTCAAACATTGTTTTACCCAATGTGCATGTATAGTCTATCCCATGTTAATGGAGTGATAGGAACTTGTTCTGGAGCAAAGGTAAGTTAACTGTGAATAAACATATCCCTTTTTCTACTTTTTGTTCTTGCAGAGTTTTATTCTGAGGAAGCTTGAAAATGGGTGGGTGAACTGAAGTGGTCTGGATGCCCATAGTGTCCCCTCACCTATTATATATTGTGTTCAGGAGAAACAGGTCTTTCATTTGACATCAAATATTTATATATGAAACACAACTTCATATGCTTAGTATATAAAAAAAAAAATATATATTTTTTTTCCTTTCTGCAGGCCATTTTAACAGTAAATGTCATACTGTTGGCTTTTACTGCAATAAAATATACATTTGTATTTAGTGATGTCTTTCAAGTGCAAAGTACCCTCTCTGTACAGGGGGGGGTATGATCACCTTCAAGCCACCCCAAAAAAATAGCGTCTCAAAAATAAAAATAATAAACAACTTTAATAGGAAAAAAGTACAAAATAAAATAAATGGATATAAAGGGTCTAATGTCTGAGGATTGTAACCAGACTCACATAGATCAGTATATATACATTGTATCGAACTCACTCATAAAAGAGTGGTAAATATATAAAGTGACTAATATCTTGTACTAGACCCCACAGGATAAGCACTAATATATGGAAATCAAAAGGATAGAGAAGGTAAATAAGTGAGAGTGAAAAATAAAGTGGAAATAACCAAACAAAGGTATAGTACAATAGCTTGAAAAGGTTATATCTAACCACCAGGTAACTCACTGGAATCTATCCCTATAACAGCAAATATTCAGAGCAAAAAGCAGCTCAAAAAACGGTGTGGCATCCTGGTATCCAAAAAAATAATAATAAAAAAAAAATAAAATAATAAATGGATATAAAGGGTCTAGTGTCTAAAGAGTATAGCCAGGCTCACATAGATCAGTATATATACTTTGTAACAAACTCACTCATAGCAGAGCGGTAAATTTATAAAGTGACTAATATCTAGCACTAGATCCCACAAGGTAAACACTGATGTATGGAAATCGAAAGGATAGAGAAGGTAAATAAGTGAGAGTGAAAAATAAAGTGGAAATTACCTAACTAAGGTATGGTACAGCAGATTGGAAAGGTAATGTCTAACCACTAAGTAACTCACTAAACTCTATCACTATAACAAAGTATCAACAAAAGATCAGTGTAACATCTTGGTATCCATAAAGAAAAAACCTCAAATAGGTCTGAGTAGAAACAAAGAGCAGCCCAACGCGCGTTTCGGCGGACTAACCGCCTTTTTCAAGGGCAATCAAAAAGTGAAAAAATAATAAACCGCAGATACAGTTCCCCCCCCGCCACTATTTAAATGTCTTTCCATACCTCCTCCTTATTGTGATTGGTGGAATCGCCGTGCTAATTAGCAAACAAAAACGCGCATGTCCGAAGAAAGACATGCGCAAGTGCATCCAATATGTCTTGTTTACGAGGTTGCGCATGTCCGAAAAAAGTAACGGAGATGAGTGCGCATGTCCGCCCACCGGCGGACACGCATGCACTGAAGATTCCTGTCTACCCGAGAAAACTCCTAGATCATGCGCATGTCCGCAGCCTAATTGCCGCGCAGGCGCAAAGTATCTGAGTACAAAGTGAACTAAATCTATACAGATTGCTCGGTAAAGGAAAATATATATCCATGATAGATAATAGCTAAAGCGATAGAATATGTGGAGGAATAAAAGAAATGTTATTCTAAGAGATAAGGTAAAGCGGAGGGCAAATTAGGAACAATAAATAAATCCACAAAGATGGTTGGACTTATCCAACCCAATCCATATTAGTTTTATATTTATAATCAAAGAGACTAGATAGCGAAATATAGAACATTCCACACCGGCTGGAAATGGTAAAAAGGTATGTATGTATAAAAAGATAAAGTAGTGAGATGTATAAACATATATACATATATGTACTAAATTAGAGACACCAAAAAATGTAGTTAGCTCTATCTTGGTGTATCAAAATTATTTACATATTTACATATAGAGAGAGAGAACATGTCCAGATGTGTATATATATGTAGAGCCCTATACATATATAGTTTAGAAGCCCTTACATATAAATGAACTAGAAAAAGGCAATATATGAACTAGAAAAAGGCATTTAGATAAAGGGAGCAAAAGAAAATCCCTCATTCAAACCCAAAGGCTGAAGGGTCTTGAGTTCATATATCCATCTGGACTCCCTTTGTCTTAGAGTTTTGTCATAGTCTCCCCGTCTCGGGGTCCTTTTAACCAGTTCTAAACCGCAGAACCTAAGGTTACTGGGATCTCCCTGGTGGTGTTCTCTCAAATGTCTCGAGATAGGAGTCTCGAGGCGATTCCTGGG